ACAGTGGCAGGTGTGAACAACAGAGGCACTACACAGATTGAGTTGCAGATTCATAGCAACCTGGTGACCACATGTCAGGATAAAGCCTGCAGTGACTCCTGCAGAATGCGTAATACGATTCCTCACTTTTCCTAACATGGATCCATATGATGCCATTTTAATTAGATTGTAGTTGTAGTTTAAATGTTAAGGGACGGGCTCATAGGCTGTAGTAAAGATCTTTAATTAATTCATAGATTCAAATTCCCAGTGAGAAACATATTCACATTTCAGTGCAGGAAGTTAAATAAATAGTAGCAACAGTTTCCAGTATAAATCAGTACAGTAGCCCAGCAGTAAATGTGGTATATTGTGATATTGTTAAATTAATGTTTGTTTCTTCGAAAGTCCTGACTCATTTGCATCTCAATTTATGACACGTGTCTTTCCCAGAGCAGGAGTTTTATTGTGCAGATTACTGATAGTGCTATCATTTCTGAGTCTCATTGAGGAAGGATTTAGGAGAGGAGCTCAGTCTCACCAGTACACCGAGCTGCCGTTGGGTTTAACTGTGGTAAACAGACCAGGGCTAGCAGTGTTCTATCATCAGAAACCATCAGGAGAAGAAGTCAGAGATAGGCACAAAATAAATGAGTGTACAGTTACATTCTCTCACTGTCAGTGTTCCATGCTGTTATGGTATTTTAGATAAGTCCTGGAGAGCCAGCAGGGAGTCAGAAAGAAAATGAAACATGCAATTCTTACAGTCGGGTTTTGGAGGGAGTGAAAATTCATATTGCGTGTTTTGTCTTTGTGTTAAATGATACTGTAAAAGACACCCACAGACTTTACCATGGCAGTCATTAGACAGCTGTATAAGGAGGTTTAGTGTAACAAATTTTAAATGCCTCCAGCATTGCCTGATTAAAAAAACTACTGAAAATTTTATGCCAAGGGAAATTTCAAATACATGACTGTGGCAGATACACTTAGAAGTGATATAGACTTAAATTACAACGTAAAAACATATTTAGAAATGTTGCAAATAGTAGATGAAAAACACAGAAATGTCTAGTTTACTTAGAAATTTAGACTCTTTATTATTCTCTGAAAGCTCCATTTGCAGCCATCGCACCTTTAATTCCTCTATGCTTTTACCATCTAGCGCACCTGTTTTTGTGCTCTTTGTGGCATTCTTATATAGAGATGCTCTCAGATCCTATTAGATCGGATGTGTAAAGAGATGCTGTCCCTCCACAGATTTTCAAACAGGTTCAGCTCCAGACCTTGTCTGGTGCCTGGGTCACTGATATTCAGACTCTTGTCATGAAGCCACCGCAGCACTGTCCTGTTGGTTACGCTGCTGCCATCATCATCTTGTTTGTTGGAACACTATTAGCTAGGTGATGAGCCATGGCTATTCGCTGCTGCTTGGTTTGCCACATGGCATCCAGGCCAGTGTTACATTTCTTCTCACCAGACAACAGAATATTTTGATCTCGTGCTGTCAGGTTTACTCTCATTAAGTAAACTCCAGGCTGCCATATGCCTGTAATTTAGAAGTGGAATCTATCTAGCTATTCTACCAACAGAGATTGTTGTCTTTGTGGCAGGTTCTTCATCTCTGCAGAGGAACTCTGAAACTCATTTAGAGTGGCCATTTGTTCCTAATGAAGCTCTAACATGCAGTTGTAGTCGATCCAAACCATTTGTAAAAACCATTCCCAAGATTTTTACCCTAACACAGTTACCTCAAAGTTCAGTTGACAGTTCTTTGGACCACATAGTTTTAGATTTGTTATTCTTGCCCTGTCAACTGTGGGAACTATGTTTGTGCTTTCATGTTCAGTTAATTGAATCTCAACGTCCCAAAGAAAACAGGATAAAAGCTGTATTTGTGCCATGGCAAAGGTTTGACTATAGATGTAAAGTGGGTATTTTTAGGGATTCTTTTTTAGGCATTTTGCTTTTATTAGATAGGCCTTAGTAGAGTTGCAGACAGGAAATGATGAGGGAGAAACAGAAGGGTTATGACATGCAACAAAGGTCCCCAACTGAAATTGTGATCACCGTATATAGTATATGACTTAACCACGTACCACCACAGCTGCCCCATACATTTTTATGCCTCCACTCAGGCAACAGCCAGGGCTGGAGGCATTATGTTTTTGGGCTATCTGTCCATGCATCCATTTCAATCAACTCTGGAGCTCAGCCAGACTGACCACCAGGTTTTTGGTCACCTCTTGTACTAAGGCCCTTTCCCCCTAATTACTCAGTTTGGCTGTTTGGTTGTTCCAAACTTCTTCAAATTAAGAGTTATTGAGGCCACTGTGCTCTTTGGAACCTTCAGTGCTGCAGACATTTTTTGTAGCCTTCCTCAGATCTCTGCCTCGACACAATCCTGTCTCTGAGCTCTTCAGGCTGTTCCTTTGACCTCATGGTTTGGTTTTAGCTCCTCTATGCAGTGTCAGCTGTGAGACCTTATATAGACAGGTATATGCCTTTTCAAATCATGTCCAATCAATTGAATTTATCACAGGTAGAATCAATGTGTAGAAACATCTCAAAGATGATTAAGAGAAAATGGGAGACACATGAGCTAAATTTCAAGTGCTATAGCAAAGTGTCTGAATACTTATGTCAATGTGATTTTTCAGTTTTTCCTTTTTAATAAATTTGAAAAAATGTCTGAAATTCTATTTTCACTTTGTCGTTATGTGTAAATCGACTGAGCAGTTTGCTCCTATATACAAAGAATTTGGTCTTTTACTTAACATTGATTATGGGGTTTACATCACTGAAATTAAGTGGTATTCAAACTCTGCATTGATTTCCTCTGTAGAATTTTTGTATGGCTTACAGAAGCTCTGCTCTCGATGTGTTAAGTGTGTAATCAGTGATTTCATGTCTTTATTTACCTCTTGTAGCATAATGGGTGAAAATTGTCCTCGGGATCTGAATCTGCAATTACACCACTTCTCAGGATTGTGGCGTGCCTGTGAATAGTGTGATTAATGGCAATAGCACTGAACAATGATGAGGTTTAGTCTAGACCTCATGGCTCTCTCCCCTCCTTCCATGTAATATTGCGTAATGTGCATCATGATGGTTGCAACAGGAGAGCCTTTTGTCTGATGATAATAACTTACTTTTAGACAAACAACCTGTGACAGCCTCTGGATCCAGCAAACGTCTCTTCTTCATTATCAGTTGATATATTGGTATCCTTGATGACACAAAGGCCACAAAGTAATAACCATATTAACACAATGTGGTAGCAGGGGAAGTTAAGGCTAACAGTGTTGTCACTGTTAATTCATGAAGACAGCACAGTTTACCTGGTCACAGCACCTTGAGCTGGATGTCTGTCTCGTGACATTAAACTGAATATGAACTTTTTCTCCTCTGGACTTCAGGTAGTTGAACTTATTCATCTTTTATAGGCAGACATTTGCACCTTCACTGCAATGTATAAATGATCTAAAAGCAGAAGGGAGCTTGACAGGTGCTGCATAGACTCCATTATTAGGTTTTTGTCCTCAGCAATATTTCATATGGTTAGCATACTGCCAGGTTTGCTTGAATTTGTTTAGTTTGATTGAGTGAATACGTGATGGCATCAGGCAGGTTGTAGGAAGAGCAGGCAGTTTGGCATTGAGGATTGTCTCCACACAGATAACAAGCTTTCCACTAGTGTGTTAATTTCCCATACCACTTAACATAGTGACTATATTTAGGAGACGGACTTGTTACAGCCTGCTTGGCTTTATAGGAGTCTTCTGCACATTTTGGTCACTGAGCTGTCTCAGACTGCATATTACCCCCACCCCATGAGTTTTCAAGCTGTGAATTCCTGTTATTGTTAGTGCCTCACTGAACAATGACTCTGCTCTCTGGGCTCATTGATCAAGATGTCTGTCTTTTCAGGCTGAATTTCAGCATTCAGCATGGTTCTCAAAATATGTTGGAAATTTTTTAATTTTTTTTATTTTTCCAGAGTAAACTGCCACTATAAGCTGCTGAAAATCTTCCTGATTGAGATTTATTCTATCACTTACACTGCTTGGATCTACACACCTGCAACACCAGCTGAATGTAGAAACTAAAGTGTGTTTAACAAGGTTAATTATTCACATTAGTGCAGCATTTCACATTGATGTGTGTTATACTTGAGAGAGATTAAGACCCCTAGCTTTAGTGGAGTTTTACTTTTTTTTTTTATCTGCACAACAGCCGGAAAGACTGTCTTTCAGATCTTCAGGTCCAATCAGTCCAGTGCCACACATCATTGTAATGTAATTGCACAGAGATCTGATGATGATTGAGGTGAGGCTGGATTTATACCTCCAAGGACTAGTCTCTTTCCACTACTTTAGGCTGCTTTTGATCTCACCTAGCTATTACCTGTCAATCACAGTAATGTGTAGTGGGTATCTAGGCTCATTTTCCACCTGCTTGCTTTGATGCCCAACAGCAAGTTGTTGTCAGTGCTTTCCATATATACCATGCACTTCTTTAGAGGGCTAATTTCATGCTTGTTGGACTTGAAGAACTCTGTTATTGATTGTTGTTTTCTACTTTCTTAATAGTGATTATCTTTTGTGACTCAAAAGGAGCAGTAGGGCTGTATGGACGCCCTTTCCCTCTTCTTTTCATTAAATGTCAGGCAGTTTTATTTTCATGGGTGCTTAAATTCGGATCAAAACCTTTTAAAAGGAAAGAGATATCCACTTTCTTTTCCAGTTCTGGCCAGCCCTTTAACATCAGAGTAGTGACCTGGAAAATATGTGAAAGGGTCCTCTTGGCTAATTTCCCCTCAGAGAAAAAACCTATCAAGAACAGGGTTGAAAGCTGGGTCAAACAGCAGTGCTCAGCTTGAAAGTTTAGTTTAATCCATGTCGCTCCAAGCTGGAGCATTACATCAGTAGAACACCAAATATGATTTAATAGCATGTGAAAGGTATCAAAATCCAGTCTTTTCTTATATTCCTTATCTCTGTCCCATCTTTTTTCTGCAGTTGGTGGGTGGTGAGTTTGATATGGAGACAAACTTCATTATACAGGATGCGGAAAGCATCGGCTGCATGGTGGAGCTGTTGGAGCACTGTGATGTCACCTGTCAGGCTGAAATCTGGAGCATGTTCACCGCCATCCTTCGAAAAAGTGTTCGAAACCTGCAAACAAGCACCGAGGTGGGCCTCATCCAACAGGTGCTGCTCAAAATGAGCTCGGTGGAAGACATGATTGCAGGTATGATAACAGTCTGAGCAAGCCTTGTTTTGCTCAGTAGCAGTGGTGACACATGCATGTTCTTTTTCAGTTTGATCCTTATCATGTTAATGTCCAGCAAGTACCACATACATTGGTTATTTCTTCTTGGTTTTGGCTTTCAGTCAGGCAACAAAACCATCTCTCTGTATCTTTTAATAGATCTGCATTTGGAGTTACATTAGACTGGCAAAGTTAAAATATAGATTCTCGATAGAATAATCGAATTTCCATCTGCAACCTCCACTCCAAGGGACAAATTCATGCAAAAGCAAAACATTGCTGATTGGCAGTAGAGAATTTATTATCTCCTTTTGAACATATAGAAGCTATGAAGGAGAGAAGTACTTTAGTACTACTTACGAGTATTTTTTTGATTTGGGTTATCATACACCTATTTAATGATCATTATCATTATCTTTTATTTTTGAGAGTGATTAGATTAATTCAAACAATTCTCTGACACTTGAAAGTAAATTTGAATTAAAATATGATTTCAAAGAGTACTGTATTTTTAATGGATAGTGGATAAAAATGTACACTTTCACATATTGAATTTAGAATATTTTTATATATATATAATAATTACAGTTCTAAGTATTTTCTACCTGACTTGTGAAGGGGCCTCAGGAGATTGTCTTGACAAATGCGAGACACATTGTCATGAAATTTGGTCGCTGTGAACTTTTGTCTCTTGCAACTTCAGGTCAGAATTTCCCCTCGACCAACATTTTATTCATGAACAAGTGTCAGTACAGCATCTCAAATGAATGGTTGTATTTCCACACAGTGTTATAGCTGCTAGCACTGCGGTTTGAATCAAGGATGGTTATTAACATTGCAGTCTACCACTAGTTGGGTATTTTGGTATTGCTGTATGACACATACAGGCCTTTCTGGAATGAGCCCCTCAAATTTGAATTCAGGTCATGGTGTTATTGTCTGTGGAGGTCAGTGTCACTTTCATATTTTGCACCGTGCAAATGACATCAATACCTTGTGTAACATATAAATTATATTTCAGCTGATGAAATCTAAATGCATTTTCCCTGCAGTGTTACTGTTAAACAATTTACCATATAGACATCCCTTTGATATACAATTTCCATGTAATTGTAGTGGAGGTGTTTCCGTGATAAATATAATGGAATTTCACAGACAATCAACTCAGTGAGAATGAAGTTAATCTATAGAAAAACTGTTTTTTTCTCGGGAGTTGATGCATTTGAATACTTCTCACCATGAAGACCTCTTCTGCAGTGCGGATGAATTATGATATAAGTAAAATGCAGTTGCTTTTGATGATTGACCCCTCTCTCATCTTTCTCCTCTTGTTTGTGTGTGTGTGTTTGTGTGTGTGTCTCTTTGGCAATATGTGCATGCTATCTTACCTTTAAAGACCTGCTTGTGGACATGTTGGGAGTGCTAGCCAGCTACAGCATCACAGTGAAAGAACTGAAGTTGCTCTTCAGCATGCTACGAGGAGAAGGAGGCCTCTGGGTAAGTGATAACAGGGACCAGATGCAGCGAGTTGGACAGAAGTGTGTGTTGGTTTGACACTGTCACTTGAGTTTCCCCCAGAGAGCCATCAAACTGATCTGTTTGGAGCTTGTTCTGTAATTGACTAACTGCAGAATGAGTGAATGTGATAACTGACAGTGTATTGACTGCAGTCCAAATGGTCGGAGAGAAAGCCTTTACCGTTTTGTTGTTACTCTTTTTTATTCTTTGCCACCTGTGCAGCCGAAGCATGCAGTCAAAATGTTGTCAGTGCTGAATCAGATGCCCCAGCGACATGGTCCAGATGCCTTCTTCAACTTTCCTGGTCGCAGTGCAGCAGTAAGCTTTCACATTCTTCCACTCTGCATTCAATTTTAAAATGACTTGTACTTGTAGAATTTTATGGAGCCCTGTAGGTTATAAGGGTAAAACAACTGAGAATCCATACGTAATAATTAAGAAAACAAATAAGTTCTTGTACTGCACCGTAATGGATTATGCATGACATGTGGAGAGAAACCAGAGACATGGGAGAGATAATAGATAGAGAGAGAGATGGGAAGCCCGTGACATTACACTGGCTACGGAGTTGAGCATACTGTTCATCCCCTTTGCATCTTTTTGCATCATGCCAAAGCATGATGATTAAAGTAAGTAATTAAGTCTATTTTTTCATTGATGGCTAAAGGGTTGGACTAAATTACTCTTTCCAGAATCATAGAGATTAATATCAACTTTACCCAAATGCAGATAGGGGTGGAATCGTGGCTGGAATTATTTCAAAGAGGCTTGACACTTGCCATCAAATATATTCAACATGTGCAGGAATTGTAATACAGTCAGTCGGCCAGTAACATTTTGGAGGACACTACATATTTGCAATGTCCTGTGTGATATTTGATTTTATGAAAGTTATAAAAGACCTAAGATAATATTTTTTAAATAAATTTACATTAAATATTTGCTGTAAGTGTTAACCACAAAAATAGATTGAAAATGTTTTGGACTATACTATAGTCATTTGGTCAGTAATGTTAAACACCTTAGTTTTGTTTTCTGACTCAAGCTTATTTCTACACAGTGTAGTTTAAGTTTACCTTAACTCACTGTAGTACGGGCAGAGCAACAGATTACACAAACAGTTATCTCTCATACTGCATGGTTGTGTCTTATCGTTTTGTTTTTTTCCCAGGCCATCGCTTTACCTCCTATTGCCAAGTGGCCTTATCAGAATGGGTTTACGTTCAACACCTGGTTCAGAATGGATCCCTTGAATAACATCAATGTTGACAAGGACAAACCATATCTCTACTGGTGAGTAAACAGTTACATCTATTTGTGTTGCCAGTTTCCAGACGTGTTTCCAGTGTCCTCAGCACACTCGCAGCTCTCTCACAGGTGCTGTAAGTCTACATTATGATGCAAAAGGCAAATGCCACTTTGTTGTTTTTCATCAATCTAATTGCTTTAGCTTTGTTTGAGAAATTTTTCCCTCTCAGCAGACACCTATAAAGCTACCAGCAGCTTTATTATGCCAGCACACCAACGACAGCTGTGGCCTCAGGCATTATCTTTTCGGGTTGACTATGCGTCTGTACCTGCATCCGTCCCATCAGTCTGCTCCATTTTATTTTCAATTTTCGTCAAATATGGCACAGCCATTCACTTGGATTCAATGATAAACTGATTATATTTTGATGGTCAAAGGTCAAGGTCACTGTGACCTTACAACCATGGCAATAATTCAGAATTCATACACTAATTATGACAAAATTCCATACAAATGTCAAACAGAATAAAATGATGAAGTGATGACTTTTTATATCCAAAAGATCAAGTCTCAACTTCACTGTTCTGCAAAATCACATTTCTGGCCATTATTCAACACACATAACTCAGGAAGAGTATGGGAGGTTGTGACCATATTTCACATTTGGTTGGATACTGAGTTGGTGCCACTAATCTTGGGTGCCCACTTTGAAACTGTGGTGCTTGTATAGATCTTCTGTGCTGCTGTTGAAGATGTGTGTGAAAATAGTGAAGACAGTGTGTTTCTCATTGGAAATTATTCAGTGTTATCATACATGCCAGTGTAGTGATATCTTCCATTTTGCCAAAAATACACTTAATACATTTTATTAAATTTCGGTAATTCGAATTGACAAAGCAATATGCTGTCTGATACTCTGTGATCTACAGTGATTTTCCCATCTAAGCAGATTATGACTTAAACTTGTTTTTTCAAGGTTAAAGTAGTTTTACAGACACTATGTTTCACACACTGGAAACACTTATGTAATGTGGTTTGTGAAAGGGCTGTATTTTTTCCAGATAATGTTCATGAATTATAGTAGAGAAAGAGGGAATTAGGTCAGATTACTGAGATTAAAACCCATGGAAGCATGAACTACAATGACTGGTACTGGCTGTTACAAAGGTAGACTGCTGCAGCGGGAGGCACTGTGGAGGTATTAATTTAGATTTGAATATCTGCCACATAAGGCCCACATACTAGCTCTTGCATGGGCTTTTGGGTAATTAGTACTAAAATCAATAACCCACAAGTACAGTGATCTTCAGCTGCTGTTCTGTCTGTTTATGAGAGGAGCTTGGGGAAAAATCACAGAATACAATGCAACATATAAAAGAATTGTGGAAGGGAACGAAAGAGCGAGTGGATAATAAAGATGAAAAGGTAGAGATGGCTGACGAGGAAGACCGTTCACACTAATTGGTCAGAGATAACAGTCAGTTCACTGTTTATCATCTGCTGACTGCCATTGCTTTACCTGGATCACACAGTTTGAATGAAAAAATTCACTCATCTTGGAATGTCTCGTTCTGTGTTCCTCTGATGTGACGTCAAAAAGAAAAAAAAAGAAGTCTGGGCTCAGCTACGTAAGTTGTTGGTGTTCAGGTGGCAGCAATTCCTTTCTGACAGAGTAACAAAAAGGGTGAGATATGCCAGGCTAATCCTGTTTATGCATTTCTCCAAGGACCTCACAGCTCAGTGGCAGGGCATGTAGACAACAAAAAAAGAATTGTATCTTCAGAAGCGGACCAAGGTTACTGCTTTCCACCTGATGTGTGATCACAGCCAGGCTTGTCCACTGTAGCAAGCACCCCACAATATAAAAGCCTTTGCTCTTTATCTGCCTTGACAAAGAGGTCTGTTTGTTTTAGATGATCCCAGTGGGTGGTGGTGGGGGGCTTTGAAGGTGACAGACTGTTATAGACCTAAAGACTGTAGGAGTGTAGTGAATACATGTCAGCAGTGAGAAAGATATTCGGACCAAGCAGGGAAAGAATAGAGAGCTAGTGTGGTGTTGTGAGTTTGTGTGTGTGTGCTGCACAGGGTCTGCTCATATCATATACAGGTGACATTTCCTCTGTACTGAAATGATATATCTATTATACATTATTTGTGGAATCAAGAAAATCAGAGTGAAGGAATTACACACTGGGAACATCACTAAAGTGTGCTCATCAACTACTTGTTCTTCTCTGCCCTTTGCATTTATTTCCATGCCTGCAAAATGTGCAAGCGTTTTAGTCTCACCTCAGGTACTTTCCTGTTCTGACTACTTAAGCACAATATCATATTCCACATAAGAATCTTAAGAGTTACCTCTCAATTATTCCTGCAAATTGCTTTGTGTCTGCATAGCGCAAGGCATTCAAAAATTATGTTGATCCTAGTGTAATTATGAGGAAGGAAGCAACTATTACACTTCCGTTAATGGTTTGTACGATATGTGTAGTGTGTTAAGTAGGAAATATCCATAGGAATACGCAGCACAAAGCACAAAATGGGATGAAACGTATTTTATCCTGCTTGTTGATAAATTAATTATGTTTACCCTGTCAAGTGTGTAGCCCATGATAGATACTGCTCATGTCTCTGTTTACAGCTTTCGCACCAGCAAGGGCATTGGCTACTCTGCACATTTTGTTGGTAACTGCTTGATCGTGACATCACTCAAGTCTAAAGGAAAAGGTTTCCAGCATTGTGTGAAGTATGATTTTCAGCCCAGAAAGGTAAGTTAGTTTTAAATCCTGAGTTCCAGCTGAAATACAACATTTGGTTACGTTATTTAGACCCATATAATTTATATATGTGCCCATGGACTTCATATTTATTCTTAATACGAGTTGTGTTAAAAGAAATATTTTTTGAAGCCATTTGGAGGTAGTGGCTACTTTAAATAAATAAACCAGATCTAAACATGAATTCCATTATACCAACCACTGAATGCCAGAATTGTGGTCTGAGATGAAAGGAAGATTTCACAAATAACACTGCTCTTTCAAAACATCCTTTTGGCTACACCTACCCCTGCTGACTCCCTGCCTACCACCTGTTATTTTATTGATATTACAAAGTTGCATGTCTACACATGGACCTGAAGTGTTTAAGATCCCCATGGGAGTCTTACAGGTGTAATTGGATGTAAATGTAGATGAGAAAATGAAACTTAATTTAGCGTGGAATGTCAGAGTAGCATACCTGTCCCTGCAGAGAAGAAAAACTGGCTCAAAGCACGTGTCAAACAATTAGAGCTTTCACATAACACCTGGGAACAACTATTCATCTCACCTCTACTGCGCACAAAACGTGCTGTGGAAGTTCTTAGAGGATAAAACATGTTGAATTAAATTTTTAATTGATTTTGGGTTCAGACATCTGTGGATAACTGCCTTTCTAAATTATCTCCGGGCAGATTGCACTCTTCCCCTCAGCCATGAATCCTCTTTTAAGTGTCCTTACGTTAGACTGCTGGCAGTGGCCTTCTTTGGTCAAACCGATAAATAGTGGGCACATAGTCACATAGGAGATGGACAGCCTTTTGCCGACTGCTGTGGGTGTTTGTACCAGTCTTTTCCAGGGTTCATACTAAGCAGCTTGATTGTTTGAAGTTGTGGAGATCTTCATTCTTTTACACTTCATCTTGTCTTCATGAGTTAACACAGACAACAAGGAAGTATTACCTATATTGCATTGTATCAAAATTGCCAAAGAAATTCAAATTATTTAAGAGAATACATTTTTTTCCACATAATGTTTTAGGAAACTGTCCTGAGAATATCTTTCCAGCCCAGCAAACCTTTTGGCTGTCCATACATTGGCTCAGTTTTATAAGCTGCTTTAGAATATTATTATATTTAACATGGCTTATTGATGGCTTAAAGCTAACGTGAAGACAATAGAACAAGAACCCTAGGGTATTCATTTATTTGTTGTGGGGTAAAATTAATTTTATACAGCTACCAATGAAAAGTTGTCATATGCCTTGTGCAATTATGTTTTCTTTTATATTTATATATATATATATACACACCAAAATTAAGTATATTGATACGTGGTCATATTCACCTCCTCTTTGACAATGTTCCACTTTGCCTGAAGGAGTTCAGCACAATGGTTCCCTTTCACTCTGTAGTGTTTCTTTATATACCAAGTATAAGTCCTGAAGTTTGGACTGGAGGCTAAACTGTGCACTTCTTTTTTAACTTTACAATTCAAAGAGGCGAGAAATGATCTGAGTAAGGAGAAATATTTGGACAGACCCCCAGTGTTAAATCAAAAGAACTGACATCAGTACTCTTACTGCTGCATCAGCAGCACAGAATGTGAGATAAATCTTAGGATAAAAACAGAGAACTTGAAGAAATAAATTGCTGCTCCAAAGGGTACTGTGTGAATGAATAATATATCTATAGGTTTTCCATCAAAAAATATGAGCAAAGCAGTTTAAGTTTGAAACTGATTTGTTTTACTTTATATACAGTAGTTAAGATATAGTCTGTTCCATTTTATTGACTTGCTGAGTGGCACAACAAATACAAACGATTTAGTGGAAATAAAATCAATCACATTTTGGAGAGCTGTTGACAAACATTAAACTCTAAAGCAAATAACTATGTATGTGATACATATGTATGTATGTATGTGTATATATATATATATATATATATATATATATATTTTTTTTTTTTAATGTAGGAATAATTGCCTTTGATGATGTGTTTAGATTATTATAATAGGTTATGTTCTCTTCACTTTTTCACTGCAAGAGTCCCCTGAGGACGAATCAGTCACAGTTTACATGTTCACATATCAATAAATATGCGCTCAGGAAAGGCTTAAAATTTTTAAGACACTTGAAAATAATTGTTAACATACTCTGTTAAATTGAAATTGCAGTTGTTTGGAGATCAGTTTTTCTTTAATGTGATTTTTGCACCCTGCTGTTCTAAAGTCACCTCTAGCTGTAGTTAGTGTTTCAACCCTGAATAATCCAGTGTCTGGCTTTGTGCGGAGTGAAAAATGACTTGTCTTGCCTCCTCTTAGCCTTTCCTCTAATCTATTATTCACTATCTTCCACTGCAGATTTCAAAACATTAGGTAGCAAACCTCATGGTTGTGGCTTTCTAATAACTGTGAGGTTCATCTGAATTTCCTGATTTTAAAAGAAACAAATGATTGATATGCTCCTCTGTAAACCAAACTCCATTGTAGCTTTTGAAAATCAGCTTAATTACAAAGACATTGATCCACTTAATAAATCACCTGTTCTGTAGCTCACGTATTTAATCTTTTCATCTGACTCTCTCCCCACCTTCAGTGGTACATGATCGGTATAGTTCACATCTACAGCCGCTGGAGAAACAGTGAAATTAGATGCTACGTTAATGGACAGCTCGTTTCTTATGGAGACATGGCATGGCACGTCAACACAAATGATGTAAGTGCTCTTCTTTTTACTCCTCCTCACTAATGTCACCTTTTTCCCCTGGCTTTGATGTTTATTGGTATGGGAGTGGCTGAGGCTGCCACATCGACGTTTGAATGGCTGGAAATTGTAAGAGGAAAAAAAAAATTTAGTACATCTTCAGTGCTCATTGAGCAAAATGAGTTTTACCATATCAACATGGATTTCTCTCAGAAATATGACCGGCATTTCAGTCTTAATTTGACTATCCATTTGTCACAGAATTGTTCTGCAGTAGAGGGTGGAAGATGGAATATGAAACGTTTGAGAGCAGATTTATGTATGAAGTGAAAAATGCTTAAATCTGAGTAGCTGATGTATGCATGTGCACAGATGCGCTAAATATCATTAGACTGAAACATTCTTGTTTAAAATGTATGACAACATTGATGAGTGAGTGATGGTGTAAAAGTATGTTATTTGCATGTTTGATTGACTGAGCCAAATGAAACCTTCTCTGTGGGACAAATTTAAAAAGCAGTTTGCACTTGCACTGATGAGACACATTTTCAAAGGTGTGCTTCATACTGTAGCTGTGTATTCAAAGGGAGGTTGCACAAATCACAGGTGGAGATATGATTGTGGTTCATGAAATATTCCATTAAATTCACTGAAGCTGCCTTAATTTGTGATGGATAGTTTTTGTTGAGGAATTTTCCCACACCTTAAGAGAAAGTTCACCATGAAGCAGCATTATTCTGATAGAGGAGGATTTTTGATAGCTGCATCACAAAGACACTAGAAACCATACCACAGACACACAAAGACCACTCTATTTCAACCAAGTGCAGGGCATGTAAAAATGTATTGAAGATTGTTGAATATGTATAGAATGTAAAATATGTATATGGTTTATGTAAGATGAGCTTGATCAAGATTTTGAATTTTGAACAAATGTGATCATTTTCTTTCCCACCTCCACTTGTACATGTCCTCTTACTGACCGTTTCCTCAGCTATTATGTAACATGCTGCTGACGTTTTAAGCTATCCTTCAGTTTTATAATGTAATCTCAGCACATATTCTTACTACCCCTGAGGTTATATTGAGGTTTCACATCCTCGTAAATCAGGGCCATTGTTTTCATCTTTCCATTAGGGAATTGTCAAGGTAAACCCTGAAACAACACAGAAAGTGATGATGTTTTGGACAGTGACGTTGAAAATACAATGCTAGACCAAAATATAAAAAAATATAGCCAAATATTTTACCTCTTACTTTTTGCCCTCTGCCTAACTCAGCTGAGTGTGAATTTGAATATTTTTTCTTTAGTCCCAAATTACAATATGAAGCAGCTTCTCTTTCTCTGTCCCTCCCTTTGCAGAGTTATGATAAGTGCTTCCTCGGCTCCTCGGAGACAGCAGATGCTAACAGAGTATTCTGCGGGCAGCTAGGAGCCGTCTACGTATTCAGCGAGGCCCTCAATCCCGCACAGATATTTGCAATTCATCAGCTTGGGCCAGGCTACAAGGTATGTACTTGAGGGTGGCTGAATTAGATTACATGTAAGCAGTCCGCAAAACCTATCAATCTGTGAAATCAATGCCCAGTGCTGCCCTGCCACAGTTCCTCCACCTTATGTGTCCATCCTGGGAGCGAAGGTTTTCCTCCCAGATAAACAGCTACATAAATTACCTACTTCTGGGGAATAATGGCACAATACACAGAGAGGGAAGCAGCAGGCGCTCTGAGGGGATAGAGTCCTGAGCCGACTTACATCAGCTGCAGCAGGTGTAGCACTCCCAAACCTCTTGACAAAGACCAGAGGAGCGATTGTGAATGTAGAAAGATGCTGACCTACCAAGAGGGGGATTCAGCTTTGACTGTTTAACTAACAAACAAACAAAATATTTGGTTGGCACATTTTTTATTTAAATTAGTTTTATTAATTTATTTTATTTACACTCTATCCCAAACACTCCACTCATCATAAATGAGATACAAGGTGTGTCCTCAGTATATTTTTAGATTCAGCAATATCTCTTTCTCCCTCTCACTGTTTCACTTTCCCTCCTGATGCTCACAAAGTGCTGTTTTTTCTTCACAGTGTTAAACCCTCCGCTCTGTCACAAATGGAGGAATGACACACATTGCCAAATCAGCTTTGAACACGGGCTATGTCTCACACATTTTACAACATCTCTGGCCATTTTATACCAGCTCTCTTTGCTCTTCAGCTGCTTTTTTAGACAAAATTAGATTTGTTTTATGGCAGGAAGGAATATTAGTCTGTGGCATCAAGCTTGGTATGTACTTAGTAACACCTACACTGTTGATGATTATGAGACGGATGTTTGTGATTTCAATCAGGTCTATGAAAGCCTGGATATTCCCAGGAGAACTCATTGTTTGGTCTTTTTGCTAATGGCTGGTGACTTGCCGTTTCCCTCCATAATTGTGGTTCTGGACCTTCTATTAGAGAGGTAACACAAAGAGGATCAATCCTCCAGATTTCTCAAAATAATGAAGACCATGTCCCGGGGAGACAATTACCTGCAATTGATGAAGCTGTGAACAGTGTTGGTAATGTTGAGTATGATAGAGGCAGCCAGGTGAGTTGAGGAGGAAGGTCAGAGAGTTGTCAGACCCACTGATTGATTGTTATAATGGGAGTGTCGTCCAGGCAACGAGTGGCCTGTCAGTTTTAATTGAGAGCTGCCAGGAAGAGTCTGAGCGCAGCAGATCACAGCATAGATCTGATACACTACGTACATCGGACTTTCCTTATACGCAGCTCAGCTCCACAGATGAACAAAGAACATCTGAGCTGATGTATGATTTATTTTCTGATCCATGGTCTTCTCATCCATGTTTGATGTTTGACACACTTTCCCTTGCTCACACAGTGTATTGAATGTAACTGTAACTTCTGCAGTTAGTTGAGATGCAGAGATTATTGTTGCTTGGGGTTACTATTTCTGCTACGTGTTATGATTAATGCTGTAAATCTGACAGACCTGTTAGTAGAATCTGTTCCCCAGGCTCTTTTCATATTGCTCTATTTGAAATTGCACACTGAACTGACGCGGACATCAGGTTATTTCATTTAAGGTAACAAACATCTCCTGCTGTATATTGCTGTTTCTATGACTGACGACTTGAGACATTCCCAGCCAGAGATAGCATCAAGGGGCAGTGGTGGGTCTACAGACACTGACAGCAGCTGACTGTCATATCAGGCTGTCATTCATCACTGCTGTTTTAGCAGAGTTCATAAGCTTTGGGGAAAGTCTAGGAAATTGTTGGCTGAATGATTCTTACAAGGGCTTCACGATATATCATTGTCAGCATTATCATTGCAATGAGGGCATGAACAATAGTCACACTGCAGGACGTGCAATGTCAAGTAAGGCAAATTAAGTCAAGCAGGTCATGCTACATTTTTTTTTTTTTTTTTTTTTTTTGAAACTAAAAGAAAACTTGTGTGGTTCTCATTTTCCATGACTAATCTACAAGAGTATGTCTAATATAACACGATATAACTCCGATGTAAGGGTTCTTGGATACATATTTTGTATCGAGCGTTTGTTGCTAGTGAGTGACACGCAGGCTCTGCATACACAGCAAACCACCAATGGCAATCATTCATGATAAGTTTATTAAACAACCAAAGCAGGCTCCAACCCCCACTTTTTTTCACAACCTGAAAATGAGTGAGGAACAGAAGAAAAACACCAAAAAGGGAGATTTGATTGCAAAAAGAAAAGCAACATAAGTTGTATTGAATTATTTCAGCTACAGAAAGGAAGATGTTGACCACAAAAAGTAATTCAAGTCATCTGGTGAAAATTACTGTATTTTTTCATATCAAAAAATATGTATATATTACAGAACAAATATTGCAATGTCAGTTTTTTCCAATATCATGCAGCACTAAGGGAATTGCTTCACGATTTTGTGAACCATATACTGGTTAAAGAATACAATTCACAAGAGATACTAGCAAACACAACTCAGAAGAAGAGTTTTCAAAAGGCCTCTTGGTGTGTTTATTCTGGATAACTACTTTACCCTTCTCTTTCCAGCTCTGCAAAATAGCCTGGTCTGTACTCATAAAGTCAGATCTGTCACACCAATATCCAGTGACAACTTCACTGAACACAAATATTTAGTCACTGAGTTGGCTAGTCAAAACAATTAAGCCATGACTTTACGTCTTCTCATGTGATGCTATGCTCTTAGACTTATTTCTGTCTTTTCCCTCTATCATCACTACCATATGCGTTCTACATGAGGCAGATTAGCCCATTGAATTTGTGCCAACACTGCTCTGCAGTATGCACCACAGATTGCTGTAGAATAGACTGAGGAGCTGCCCAGACCTGGTCCTCCCTTGTCAGGGAAGACAAATGTTATCTCTGTGTAGGGACCCTGCAATAATGCAATATCTGATGTGGAACACTACAAGACAAGCTCACTGATGTCAGAACCATCTGAGATATTATGCATATTTGTAGTAAACCTACCTGCCTGTAAATGCCTTCAAGCTGTCAATGGGGCAACAACTCAGTCACATTCACAACCAGAATGTTTTCCACAATAGAACATGTTCAATGATGGTTACATGAGGAGGAATTTTTATATATCAATGGATAAATTTCTCTGTCTGGTAACAAGAAAAAAATGCCTGAATACATCCCTTGATCTGGAGCTGGAACTAACAATATTTTACTGAAGCCCCTGAACAGCTTTTTGAGATATAACCTGCTAGCTAACAGTCAAACAAATATGCAGTGCTGGAAACATAAGATCCTTGACAGTGGTAATGACCAAATTAAAACATAATTAATAATTATAGCAGGATCTATAGATATTCAATGGACGGTTGTGGGAAATGAAATGTTATGCTATTTACACTTTTAGGGAAAAGGAGGAGCAGGTCACAAGAAAAAACAGAGACAAATCCTTGGGAGGTATTTTTGGGTGTTTTTCCTTATAAGGAGGTCACAGGCACACAGAAGGTGAGGATGACAGGTGGAGTGTACATTTTCGGCTAAACCTAAACTTAGTCAGCACGGCAGAGCTTTCCTTCCATCCCAGCTGTATAGAAGCCGACATTCTTGAGATCCTCTTCAGAGAGCAACCATCTCTCCATGCTGCATGAATTCATACCGAGTTTTTGATTCCTCTGAGAACCAGCAGCTCTCAAATACGCAAAAAGAATCTCCACAACAAGTTTAACTGTTAACACTGAGTCATTACTAAGAAAAAATGTTATCTGTTTAACTGGAAATTGTATTATTGACTATATTATTTCAGTCCGTAGTGGTACTGCAGGTAACACGGGGGTGTCTCCAGCTCTTCAGTTGTCTGCCTGTCTCTTGAAGGGAGTTGTGGGGATGCCCCCAGTCAATCACAGCCTTTGACGTTTGGAGAGAAAGGAGGAACTGTGTTCAGATACTTTTTTATGACTGGCTGCTCTGTGGAACAACGCTGACATGCTACAGGGTTTGTAAGCCAAAACCCGTGAGATCATTATTTTCACACTGCGACAGAGCTCACACTAAAGTGCAGGGCACTGCTGCTTGTTATTTCTTGTCACTTGGGTTCCATAAGTAGGACCTTTTGAAGGATGTTAGAGACTACATGATGAGATGCATACTGGCTGTGTGGACTTGATCATAGTAGATGAACAGAATACCTCTTACGCTTTTTTTTATCATCTGACTGGAGGGAGATATGCAATTAAATGTAGCTCAACCCTCGTAGTTTCCTGTACAACTCTTTCTAGAATAATGCAACAAGGCAAGTATGGGCTCACAGTAGGGTCAAAAAGATTTTGAGCTTGTAAAGTGATGTTAACAAATAATTCCAAAGTTTGTAGTTGTAAATCAGCCTTTGTAAACCTGTAAAAGAAGTTTATATGAGAAATGTAAGTTTTTTGATGTGTAGAAAATATTTGTATTTGTACAGTCTGGTTTTTTTTTTTTTAATATATATATAAATACAAATCTTTCTACATAAACTTGAATCAAGCAAAATCTCAAAATCTTTTTGACCCTAATTTGAGCCCTTAGGAAGTGACATAGTGGCTGTCAATATCCAAGGATTTTGACCACTATTTGGAAACATGATTAATTGCTCAAAGTAAAATGTTCTAGGATCAGAAGATTTACCAAATTGACATCAGTATGTGTAGCAGGTATACAATAAACCAATAGCACCAAACTTAACACTTTAAGTGGTGCATTTGTTTAAAAGGTTAACATCTACTTATAATTCTGCACTTCAGAGGCACTCAGAAAAGAATGCACAATCATGTACATCTGACAATTTGAGTCATCTCACCTTTTCTATCCATTTCCTCCTTAACTGAAAACAAGCATTTATTTAGATGCCTTTTAGTAATGAGCCCTGTTTGCTTGTTTTGCAACTGTATTTATCTACAGTGACTCTAGAACAAGATGCGCTTGTTGTCCATGAGTCAGAGAGGGAAGGAAAAACATTTCTTTCATCCATTAATAATTCAGCCCTCCTGATTGGAGGAATTGATTTCCTTATTAAGCATATTCCATTCACACTGCATTGACAGATTAATTCAGCTCATCTGTCAACAGCTAATTGATTTAGTAAATTAAGACTAGCCTGTTATTGATCAACTATTTGTTATGTTAGCCATAAAGAACGTGTTACTGAGCCACTGACTAATAGAAACTGCAGTTCTTTTAACGCAGCCATGGAGACATGTTGGTGAAGGCATAAACAAAATTTAAAGATGCATATGACACATTAATAACATATAAAACACAGGATTGATCCCTATATAAAGAGTATATTCATCATTTTAATCATTAAGCCACCAGTGTATTCCATTCAGTTTTCATGAGAATTACCGGCTAAAATGGTCACAGTGTTAATGCTTACAGATGAATCTCTGCTGGGGGCAAATGTATTCTAGTTTTTCCTCTGTCTCTGGGATGAGGGTGGAGGGCTGAAATTCAATGAATTCGATTAGTAAACAGTCTGTATTGTAATCTCAACAACTATTTGCACAATGTTTTGACTCAAAGTCTTCTTTGTCAGTTTTCATTTGAAGGTGTTTTCAGCCATATTGTATTTGTTCCTGTTCCATGAGTGCATAGCGTATTTGATGAGTTGTCGACCTATGTACTGGTAAAAATCTTAATGTGTGCTAAGTAAAAGACTGCAATGATGGCACATCCTTTTTCCAATTCAGTGTATCTTAATGATAATTCAGCAGTGAGTGTACTTGGCTTCAAATTATTCCAGAGCAGGGTAAAGAGTAAACAGAGCGAATGGCTGGGTTAAATTAAGGCAGGTAAAGAAATACATATGTGGTATCAAAGAAACATTGCTTTTCTTCTCATCAGCTCATATTCCTCTTAATAATTGTACACTGTCAAGTTCCATGTCAACATAAAGGAAAGCTTAAACATTCAAAGTGAGATACTAAAATGTTTGCACTGTGAAAAAAATTGATTTCTTTTGCATTTGTATGTTTCATTTGTTAGAAATGGAGTTACAGTCCATGTTTGTCTTATTTTCTTGCACTTTGAATGTTGTTTTTCTTAAGTAATGTAAAACCAATGTAACACCATACTAAAGCTTATTTTCACTACTTGCCCTGACACAAACTCGTTAATTGTGTTGCAGTGATGCAAACAAATTTATTTTTTTGAATAGTAAAAAGTGTATTTGTATGTTGGAAACAATGGCTTGTATCACCAAAAACCAAATACACAGTTGATGTGTGTTGTTGATATCAGCATTTCAGAATGATAGAAATACAAAGGATAACTTTTAAACTATAGACAGAGAACAGGCTTTTTCAAAATGTTGATAGACTCTAATGTAATAAGTGCCAAGGAAGAAATCCTGACCTCTAGGAATGTGTAATTGCTGATACAAAAAAGCATTTATCTTGTCATTTTTCATTCTTGAATGGATGTTTTTTAATCAAGTTATAATTAAAAGATAATACCCAAGGGACACTGATAGGGTGCATGTGCAGGAAGGAGCTACTCAATCTATCACTTTCACTCTCTCCATCTCCGTCTTTATCGCTCCCTTGTTCTCCTTCATTCGTTTTTCTCTCTTTTTTTTTTTTCCAGAGCACATTTAAGTTCAAGTCAGAGAGTGATATCCACTTAGCAGAACATCACAAACTAGTGTTGTATGATGGCAAGTTGGCTAGCTCCATCGCCTTCACCTATAATGCCAAGGCCACTGATGCCCAGCTCTGCCTGGAGTCCTCCCCTAAAGAAAATGCCTCCATCTTTGTGCACTCACCGCACGCCCTTATGCTACAGGTCAGTTACTTTACTCATCAAGCCATCTCTAACTCTGTGCACACTATCTCAGGTTCTGATTAATTTATTTCTGTTGCACTGGATGTAAAATGTCTTTACATATGTGTGTTTTATGGGTTTTGTACTTTCCTCACAGGATGTGAAAGCCACAGTGACTCACTCCATCCACAGTGCCATCCACTCCATTGGTGGGATCCAGGTGCTCTTTCCCCTCTTTGCTCAGCTGGACTATCGTCAGCTGAACGACAGCCAGGTGGAAACCACTGTATGGTAAGAAGCAGAAATATTGTTACTGTACAAGATGATTTAGGAAATCTGAGACGATGCCTTAGGTGAGAAAGGAGTTATTGGGAATTTCATTACTTTTCAATCCTGAACCCTTTTAGACTTGTTTATGAGGCCGTGTTTGTGACTGATTGAGAGAACAGGGCTAACGTAATATTAATGACTTTTTAAAGTTGCACTATGGTAGATTTTTCTATAAATATGTATTTTCAGCCGAAATGAAAGTGGGGCTGCCACAGAGAAGCATCTAATTTCTCCTAATTGGGATAACATAGACTTGTTGTTAATTATCATCACTATTTTGGTCCTGTTGTTCTTTACAGGCAGTAAATCTCAGAGTGCAGGAAAAGAGAAATCAACATAGAAAGGCTTGAAAACAGCAGGGAGCAAGTGCTTTGCTAAACCTGATGCAAAATACAGTTGTCTATGAGGAGTGCTGAGTTTGCTCAGCATGTTAAATAACATCTTGGTGATAAAGTCTCAATATCCAGGATCTAGAATGTGTGGTGATATGGTGTTACATGAAGTGCTCATTTTGCATTATAAACTGTAATTTCACTGTGGCTTCTGACTGTGGTGCACTGATACCAATATATCTCTAATAAGCCACTGCCTGCTTATAACCTTGGTCAAGCTGTAGTCCAGGTTTCACATTATCTCTACTCCCTGCTTGAGATTTCTTTCATCCCTTCATACTTAGCTGGTCAGTCCAAAGCTTCCCCACTGCGCCCTGAATGGAGTCTGAGCTCTGCTCTAATCCTGTGTTAGTCAACGACAGCAGTACGACTAGATAGTCACAGGACTGGCCACATAGCGGCACAAACCCCTGATGCCCAAAGCTCTGTGCCTCTGTAGTTTCCTCTCATCTTTGCTCTCTGTCCTTCTTTCCCTCTCAGTAGCATGTTGGGGGTCTTCCGTTCACAGTGTGTAACTCTCCCCAACACTTGTTTTGTCCTTGCCTTGGCTTGTAGACTGAGTCCTTCTAGAGCCTCGTGGTCTGAGGAGTTCAAAGCTTCTGCCACAATTATCCCTCTACAATGCCTGTGGATCTGCTGTGGCTGTTCTCAGCAGCACCCTGAGTGATTTAAAAACAAAAAAAAAATCCCTTTTAATAAACGTCTTTTCTCATGTTACTCTTTGCCACCTTGAATTCCAAACAGTGGTGATTTAACATCAGTCACTACTGCTCTGCCAAATTGAAAGGAAGCTTTGCTTGCAAGTAAAGGATCAGAGGCTAAACCAAGAGCACACAGAGCTGACTGTCACCGGGTTCTCTATGTGTTCCCTCAGGCTCAGTTATGGCTAAGTCAGAGCAGTTGTAGTAGTAATGTTCGATCGTATGAGTTTGTATGCATGTAGTGTATGTGTAATATATGGGCAAGCCTGCGCAGGAGTGATTGTGTCTTTGTGATTGTTGCGCTAGAGTGGAGGCCACTAGAGAATGTGAGGGAAAGCCGATTAAGAAGTGTCACCGAGCACCACTGTCACTCAGCCAAAGGCTTCAACTCAGAAACCGTGCAACAAAGAAAAAAATTGCCTTCTGTGCACCGCCTTGCCCCCTTGAACTCCATCCCCCCACCTCACACATACATACACACCCTGTCACAACTTGCCCTTCCACAACACTCTGTCTCCAGAGAGCTCAGCGAGCCAACCTTTTCTTCTGAATTGAAGAGGGATGAAAGTGGTGAGCTAGAGTTCCCAGCTGATTGCTGACATCCTCTGAAAATGACCTTGTTTTTTTCCCTCCTCATGCTGCTGTACTTGATAGAATAACTCCCTTACCACCTGATGATTGTGTGACTAGATGTGTATTTTATCCCTGTGTGAGGCGTATCTTCTTTTTTTTTTTGCAGTGCCACTCTCTTGGCCTTTCTGGTTGAGCTGCTCAAGAGCTCTGTGGCCATGCAGGAGCAGATGCTGGGAGGAAAGGGCTTTTTGGTGATTGGATACCTGCTAGAGAAGGTATAGTGGAGCCTTCATAACATATTGCAACTGTTTGCCAAACTCAGTTCTTAGGAACTTTCCATTTCCAAATTAACCCATTTCACTTCACCCTTATGAATACTGTCTTGTTTACACGCCCGCGGGCAAATGAATATGTCCAACTCATCATTTCTTTCTATAGTGAAATGATAAATGGGACTGATACACTGATGTGCAGTCTTCACAGGTTTCTCACTGAAAAACCCATTTGCTTTTGAAACTTCTTTCACCCTTCTATCAAGATACACTTTATCTTGTCTGTATTCTCCAAGCCCTGTCTACAATATGATCTTCCATTGCCTGTAGCAGAGTCCTGAATGTGTCTTTGAACTGAACAGCACTAAAAGAACAACACCACAAGACTACATCTCTTCCCCTTCCCCCCTTGGTTTCTCTCTCTCTGCATCAGTCTTTATTTACCCATTTTGTGATGCAGATCTAGCAGCTTGCTGGCCTCCCCAGAGTGCTGGCTCTTTTGGAGCACTGAGAAATGACACCACTTTGTCACTCAGTGACTTGCCTGCCTACTGGTTTCAGCTGCTGTTAACTAACAGCTAGACAGAGTCGGCACCTGAGAGCTGCCGTTTTTTTCTTGCTTCCTTCCCGCTGCCAGGTTTCACACTTCCACATATCGCGCCATCTGTTCCTGATCTGTTTATGCCACACCTTCCCTTCTCCCTGTGCCTTCATTTTTCTCTCTCTCCTGCCCTCACCAAGTTGCCACATGGGCAGATAACAGGTGCCAGGAGCAGTAATGCTCCTTGTCAAAGTGAAATTCTCTCAAAGTCAAGCATCCACAACTTGCTGTTTTGGATGCTTGAGTCAGGACTTGACATAATGACTAAGTAGATCAATTTGTCACCTATGCCAACATGCTAACTTGCTGAACACAGAAAATATGGTGATCTTTTAACCAAGCCTACATACAAGGGAACTGATAAAATATATTCACATGTAGTCACAGCAGGAAAAACATATATTTATATTTAGTTATTTATAATATAAGAATAGAAACATCTAATAAATAAATAGATACATGAAATAATAAAGGCACAGCAGACCTGTACAATTTTGAAAAGTGTTTTTCATGCATGTCTCTTATGTCAAAATTTTTCAAACTACTTTCCTGTGAGTGAGTCGTATTAGGCTGCACACAAGCTTGCAAGCTTTTTTTTTTTAAAATCTCTGTAGCTGACCTCTTTTATATTTTACCAGTGTTTCTACCTAAAGGTCATTCAACCTAAAAGGGACCCACCTTTGTGACAGAGTTACAAATGAGGTTCTCCTCTTCGTGACATTTAGCTTTTCTAACTGGGTATTGCAATTAAAAATTTCATGAACAGTGGGGCGCCTCGGTCACTCACCTGGTAGAGCACGTACCACATGGGCTTAGTCCCAACCGCAGTGGCCATGGTTTCAAATCCGACTCGTGGCCCTTTGTCACCTCTGTCTCTCCCTGACTTTCCTGTCTGTCTGTTACTTCACTATCTGAATAAAGGCAAAAATGCCCCAAAAAATAACTAGATGATATGAAATTTCAGTCACCATAGGGGTTTGCTCTCCATAATGCAGTCAGTATCAGGAGGGAGGATACATGTTTGCTGCAGAATAAGCATGGTGATATGACTATTGTTTCACATAACTTTGTGCTTCTTTCTACAGTCATCACGTGTACACATCACCAGGGCTGTATTAGAGCAGTTCCTCTCCTTTGCAAAGTATCTGGACGGTTTGACACATGGGGCACCACTGCTGAAGCAGCTGTGTGACCACATCCTGTTCAATGCTGCCATCTGGATCCACACCCCTGCCAAGGTAAGCTCCTGCAGGTAACACATCCCATGAAGGGGCAGGTGTCTTTGCATGTGATCAGACTGAAGCGGATGTCAGGAGCTTTCTACCACAGAAGGCTTCAGTTGTCCTTTGCATCACCATTATTTTTGTAAAGGTGAGAACTGAAAGTGTAAATCCTCACGTTCCTGTGTTGCAAATGAAATTATGCATGTTGTTAAGTATGTATCACACTGGTGCTTTTTTCTTTGTGAGATTCCCATCGGCAGCCTGTGTTTGGGTACCCTTTTGGGTAGAGGAAAAAGGTAGAGGTGAAATATGATTGGATGAAAAACTATGTTGACTCTGTCCGTTGAATTGTCAAATTAAAGAATAGTTCCACCCCTTTTACCGTCTGTGTAAAGGACCCACCTGACATTCATCAAACCGTTGCCAAGTGTCTGAGGAGTCTTAAGTCAAGTGCAATGGAGCACATGCACCAGATACAGTATATTCTCAGTTTTATGACATATCAAGTGGTTGCAGAGTTCATCACTTGCTTCCACTTTCCTGTCCTCAACATAACCAAGTTTTTTTTAGATGAGTTTAGATTTTTTCTCCCTCCTTTTTAAATAATGACCCATGAAAAAACAGGATGAGGTATATCAAAGAAGCTGAGTTTGTGTGGCAAATACATTCGCCTCAGGAATGCTGCTGGTGGGGCCAAGCCATGAATAAATAAAAGGAGGAAATAAATACAAAAGTGTCTGGAGGCTTGCCTGTGACACTCCTCCAAAATAGAGCATAGAGAAAGAGGCAGAAAAAAATGAGAGAAATACTGAGGTAATGAAGTGGGTTAGAGCACTTTTAGCTACATCAGGACAGAAAGCTACGCTGGCTCCTTCCCTTAGGACATGCCACAAAGTCCACATTTTCTCTGTCCCCATCCTCAAGCTGCACAGGGTACAGAGAGCCAGCTACGTGAATGATGGGAGCATGCAATATGCATTAATTACATGGGCTCACTGACCTTGTCCTAGTACACAAATACGATTTTATGAATGCATTATACTTTTCTGTTCTGATGGAAATTACATTACCTACAACGTGGTGTTCAGTTATCTCCAGTGTTTAATTTCAGTAGCCTCAAACCATATCGCATCATGCTCCCATCGTAACCACACCACCGCCTTTCATCATGACTCACATTTGACTCATTAATATCCTATAATTTATGACATATGGGAAAAAGCTCTCAGTATTTAGTGCTGCAATGGCTGTGGTGGGATTAAGAATTCTTGTCAGGTCTGTTTCTAATTACAGAGGACATGCTAATCATCACTGAACAGAGTGGAGCTGCGACAATTATGAAATTGAGTAATATAGGGTCAATGGCCATCCTTACCATACACCTGAAAGGATAATAGGCTTAGCTAGTGCTATCCACCACGGTAAAATGTCCTGGTTAATCTAAAAAGGTAGAAGGTTCAGGGGATTAAGCTGTCATTGTATGTACTTAAAAAATATACTTGCACTGTGCAGTTAATAACATGAAAACATGTATGTGTGTGTGTGTGTGTTCCCACTCCAGGTACAGCTCTCTCTGTACACATACCTTTCTGCTGAGTTTATTGGCACGGCAACCATCTATAACACAATTCGTCGAGTGGGCACAATGCTTCAGCTCATGCATACACTAAAGTACTACTACTGGGCCGTCAACCCTGCAGACAGCAGTGGCATCATGCCAAAGGGTCTTGGTGAGCATTTTTAGCCTTTTGGATTTTTTTCAGCACAAGTCAAACTAAGTGTTTTTGCTTTTTTTGTTGTGAAATATGATTTTATTTGATTTGGCTTGTTGTTGATTATATAAACTGTTTCCCATCCATCTGAAGGCTCATCCGAGTGAACCAATCACAATCATTGTGTGCAGTCACAAGCCTGTTATCAAAGTGTCTTCCTGAAATGGCAGCAGCTCCCCCACATTTGAAATGACTCATCTCCATGGAGGTGCTTGCCTCTCAGCTGTTAGGACCGTGGCCATCACTGGAGATGACAGTGAGGCAGACGAGCCACATCAATACTGTCATCTCGCTAGGGTGCTTGGTGTGGGTGTTAGGCCTCTGAAACCTGGCCCAGTAGTATGACAGCATCCACAGTCTATGATACAACAGCACGTCACAAAGCAGGCTGTGCTGGAAGTGAAAGTGTCCTTGAACTGTCATTTCCTTTTTGCTCTCCATTATTCTCTTCTGAAACTATCTGTGTCATAGTATATGGCTGGTTTTATAACAGTTCTGAGTGCTCAGTTTATGCTGCACCAAGGCCTAATGAAATCTATTTCCTGAAGGTTAAAGCTTGTATCGTGACAATGTTGATGTAATGCTTGTCACACTGTCAAAGGTGATTTCTTCCAAAATTCTTTTTTTTATTTGCCAATGCCAGCATTGTTAGGAGCACTGATAATTTCTGTCACATGTGACCTTCACATTTATTATTAACACTGCAACATGAAAAGAAAATCGTCATGGGCAGTGTCAGATTTGCCTAAATTTTGCAGCATTTTACCCTCTCTCTCTCTCTCTCTCTATATATATATATATGCGTCATCAGGGCACTTGGCCTACATTCTTGATCTATTAGGACTGATTTATCCTAATTGATTTCCAACTAATAGTGGTAGCAACCTCTTGACTGAGGTTCGCTGGGACAATAAGAACTCTCATCTGTAAGTTAGGCCCCTCAATCTCACTTTTCCTGAATTTAATTTGTCCCTTATCCCATCTACTCACACTGTGCAGTGTCCCTTATCCCTTCTTATACTGGGCAATGGAACTTTACAAGACTTATAAGTGATGAAAGCTGAACCTATCTAGTGCTCATGTTCTAGGGCGATGCACTATATTTAGCTTGGGCATCAGAGAACTTTTCTCATGACTTTATATCTATCATGTCCACTGCTTTGGACAATGTAGGTAGTTTTTTTGTTGCTTCCACCACTGTTGAATAATAGAGTTTGATGCTTCATCACTTTTTTGGCAAATCTGTTTCTGCATAGCCTCAGGCAGTTAGTTAACATAGTTCTGCTTTGTATTGGACTATTCGAGTATAAGACCACATCTGATTAGTTAAGTAAGTAGCTAAGTAATTTAGATACATTCAACTACAGTGCACTCACTGTAGTTTATTGTACCCATGCTATACAGGAGAGTCACTTCCCACAGTCATAATAAGTGGGACAATGTTACTGTCAGTGTGCTGTGTGGGGGTATATGCCTTGATTGTTGCCAGTTGGGTGCCAGGTGAAGGCAGGGTCATTAGGTGACTGATACCTGTCCATAAAACATGTATAATCACCTCACAGGTAAGTGGGAGAACTGGAACAAATGCAGAAGGTAGAACAGGATACAGGATCTGATCAGGCTTTTTTTCTTTTTGCTAATGGCGTTGGCTTCACTGGACAAAATCCTCCAGCACATGCTGGGGTAGTTTTAGCCGAGTGTGAAGTGGTTGGGATGAAAGTGATCACCATGTCTGAGGCTTTAGTTCACTGTCAGAAAGCAGCAGATTTGTCACCTTTGGTTTTTGAGGAATTTACTGCTCCGAGTGAAAGGAGATCAACAATCTCAGCATTCTGTTGTGAGTGAGCACCATGAGATCAATGGTTAGACTAGTAGTGCAGACATTGCTTTTAACTCCAGTGATGAAGAGTGAGTCGAGGTAGAGGAAATGCTCTTAATTTCCTTGTGCATCTTCAACTTTCACCTGTGGTCATGAGTTCTGTATAATGCCTGCAAGAACCGATGGCCCTTCACAAGGTGTTCAGGCCTAAGGGAAACTTAAGTGGAACAAGGTGAGGAGCCCTGACATCTGGAAGAAGCTTGGTGTAGAGAGTTCATTAAAGTCTGTGTCAGGACCCAATGATGACCCAAATGACTGTGGAGAAATTGATACAAACACATTGCTCAGTCCACTGTAGTTGAGAGTGAGCTATCTACAGAATATGTTGTTGATGGGAGAGAAGCACACATAAGAAGCAGTGGTAAGAATCACTGCTAAACAAAATGGTGAACAGAAAAACAGTTTTTGCAAAGGTGCGATGAAGAGACCTGAGACACTGACTCTCACCTTTTCATAGTTTTTCCATTGCAAAAAATTGTGCATATTCACATGTTGGACTACTACTCCATATTTGCCAACCACCCTCCTCCCATGAACTTTCTAGGTTAGCTGTCCCTATATGTCGAATTTTCCAGTAGAACTATAAATATTGGTCTGATTTTTTTTGAATCTCTGGTAGATTGTAATGGCCTGAGAAAATGGCAGAGTTTGTGGGGGAGACATATCTCGAAATGGATCACCTTCATGCTGTAGGTAATTTTCAGTGTGGGTCTGGTTCCATTGATCTGCACTTGATTTGGCAGGGCAGTTTTTCTCTCTGTCCTTCCAAACTGAGAAATGACCAAACAAAGACACGTATGAAGCGAGAGAGAGGGAGCCAAGCAGATAATGAAGTGTTCAATTATAGGACACAGAGAGGACATTTAAAATGGAGCTCCTCCAGCTACTCACTCCTTTTCTGGAAGTGCCTTTTCTTTTTATTCCTCAGGTCTTAATAGAGAGTGCTATCAAATTAAAGCCATGTATCATTCAGTTATACACAGAATCACTGCAGGTACTTACAGACAGATGCCCATTGTTCAACTTCTCTCAGCCTGTGACATGTACCCGCAAGCCAACACATAATCTATCTCAATCTCTATCACTCTCCCTTTGTCTCTGCCCTGCTTCTGTTTTACTAAATAATGAGTAATGAGATGGGAAGCAAAGCTGCTTGGCCAGTCACCAGGTTCAGTTCGAGCTGGTTCTGTCTTGTTCCCATTATAGGAGAAATCACCAGTGACAGACAGGTAGAGGTGCTTCAAACGACTAATCTGATCAAGCCTTGGGGGTGAATTGATTTTTGCGTGTGCCTTCTTTCTGATGAATTAATATCATGTGAGACAAATTACTGATTACAAGGAGGTCAGGGAATGGTTTTAGATTTACACATTTGCACCTGGGAAATCTACTGGAGCAAAAAGAGGTTAGGTGGTGCATTAGAAAAGTTGACAGGTTTTCACTTTTAGTGTTTACTCTCTCATGTTTGCTCTGTGTGTGTTTAGTCATTGTCGTTGAAGGTCAACATACTTAAGATACTGTACTTTAAACAGAGCAGGTTAAGCAGGCAAAGCGTATTGTAGTCACTACTTGAGAAGAATTTTAGAAATTTACTTACTTTGGTATGTTTTAGCTTTTTATCAGCCTTTGTTTATTTAAAAAAAATATAATTATTCTTGTTTTCTATTTAAACGTTTGTATAAGTATACAGGATGCATACTATTGTGTTTTTTGAGACTTTATTATCCTAAGTCATAAGCTGAAAAGAGATTCCTGCATTAATCACATGGACATAAATTATTTTTCAATAAACTCTTTCTCCTTGTGCCCTTGGGATTCAGGAAGTGAAGCAATCTGTGATTGAGAAAAAGGAGCTGTGCTGAGCTGCTGAGCATAATTGGTTGTGAATAACTTGGATGCAGTGGCTGCAGTAATAATGTTCTTATCATCCCTTCCATGTCAGGGTCTGTCCCTGCACTGGGTTTTCCTCTCTCACTCTATTAATCAGTGTCGGGATGCAGTAGCACTTGCCATCCCCCTGCAACCTCAGAGAGCCTCATCATTGATTACATAGACTGGCTGTTGAAGCAGCAGGATGGTCAGGTGTCTGCTGCTGTTGTATCTGTCATCATGGCACTGTCCCCATTTCAAATGAACATGTGTCCAGCCAAAGTGGAGGTTGGGGTTTAAAAAGGCAGAGAGGAGAAGACAGACATTGGGCAGAGAGACCAGTTTTCCCTGAAAGTCTTTTGCTGTTGTATTTGGCACAATTACTGTCATTTAATAAAAATGTGCTGCAAATGCAAAACATTTTTTGATTTAAATGCCGGTTTTACCACCAAAATGGAGCCTTTGTGGTACAGTGAGAGTACTGCTAATCTTAAGAGGATTCATGTTTGTTTGTTGTAAGTGGAAATGTATGCCATATCTTGTATTTTCTGATGTGTCTGACTGCATAGCTGTGTTGTATTGATCTGCCTATTGCAGCATCCCATTAGTGTGCGTACTCAGTGTATGTGCAAACACGTTTTGGTTAAAAGCAAAAGATCTTGGCATATTGAATAGGATCCGTGTTAAAATTAATTGTTGAGCCAACCAAACCAGTAGAGCAGCAGCAGCTCTTTGATATGACAGTTAGTCAATGCTCTCTGTCATATTCTGCCATTTTTCTTTATTTGCACGACATACATACACCTGCTGACAGCATTCGGCCCATCAAGTGTGGAATGAGATTCATGACAGGGATGGATTACAATGTGAGGCTAACTTGGAAGTGCCAAAGTGACCTTAAGTTGGCAGAGGCATTCTGTGTAGTTTTAATGAGATGTTGGCCGGTGTGATGGGCAGGTGTGACAGTGGTGACCTTGGGCTGGCTGCCTGGGCACTATGTTGTGGCCAAGGCTACCTGGGATACTCAGACTTTGGATGCAGTATAAATGACAAATAAATTTGTGTTGAATGATCGCTCCCGAATTGAAAGCATGCTATGCATATAAACTATATTCTACTAATTGTTAATGTTAAAGTTTTTCTTTGTTTCTAAAGTGGGCGATTGGCTCCATGTCTTATACTCCCTGTCTAGACTGTTGGCAAAACCTGGGGAAACGTTTGATACACACATCCAAGGTGAATCAAGTAAATCAGTAGAAAGCTGATGACACAGCAAAGAAAACTGAAGATGACTTTGAAGGTGTCCCTGTTTTTTTTTTATCCCTTTTCCAAAGCTTAAAGGAGCAGAACACAAGACATCTATAAGAGAAATGTTTCATCAGTCAAAAAACATCAAAAATAAATCATTTAAAAAAAAACCAACTTTAGATTATGAAAACAAATCATGAATAAAATTACCAGTAAAAACACAGAAAATATAGCAGCGACTGGGAAACAGACAACAGAAAACAGAGAGATATCTTATTTGGTTCCACTACCTTCTTTCTCATTTTTATTGCCTCTCTCACTCTCTCTCCAACTACAGATGGTCCAAGGCCGACCCAGAAAGAAATAATTTCTCTGCGGGCATTCATGCTTCTCTTCCTCAAGCAACTCATCCTGAAGGTATATTCCACCTGTCTTCATGCCTCACAGCCCCTCACACAGCTAGATTTTGAGCTGCACCGGGAAAATATGGAGATCGTCAGCTCTTCCTGTGTTATCCTTTAAAACATTCTGCTGGTCTGCTCCTTAATAAATTCAGTTTAATACATTTATTTATTTATCTCTTCGAAAAAGTGTGTGCTTGGGAGAGCACCAGTTGTGCTGAAACATTTTTAATGAAATCATTAGTTGGATAATAAATGACAGTTTTGATAATTACTTAATCATTTATGTAATTTATCAAGTAGAGATACCAAACATTTGTGAGTTCCAGCTTTTCAAATTAGACAAATTGATGTTGCCTCTGGGTTTACTGACCGGTTCAGACAAGGGTAGCCTCTTTTAAGATGTCAGTTTTGGCTCTGGAAATGTTTGACAGATATTTGTCCTCATTGTGGTTTTTGACTGACTAAATGAATTAAGTTATTTAAAAAATTAAATGATAGACTAATCAATAACAATAGTATTGGAATGCTGGACCGCATTTTACACATTTAACTAGGTGTTTGTTTTGCACTGCACAGTTTAAGTCGGTGCATTGCTGCTCACATCCCAGCATGCCATTTCTCTGCAGATAATTATCCTTCCACATTCTATAACAGGCTTTCCAGGGCATGGCAGAAATAACAGGAATTTTAACACTAGACAAAAGACAGGCTTGGAGTCTGCATGTTTTCACCTGGCGGAACCAGGTTCTTAGGCAAACAACAGTTATCTGGCTGTTCAATTTGTTTTGCTGTAAAATTCTCATCACAGGTATATCAATTGCACAACCAGTCTAAATACAACAATAAAAATTGTCACACTGGATGCCATAGCACTTGGTGTTATTTCCTCTAGTAATTTCTAGTATCTGTACAATGTAAAGGTACCAAAACGAAAAATAATGTCATGCTTTTTGTCAGAACATTGGCTGACATGCTGTACAGTTATAATGCAGTGCAGTGCTTTTCCAATCACTTTCCCTTTATCACAAATTTTAATCTGTTTTCCTGTTTCTGCATTTTTTGCAGGACCGAGGGGTGAAGGAGGATGAGTTGCAGAGCATCCTAAACTATTTGTTAACAATGCATGAGGTACATGAGAGTCTATCTCTGCTCTGAGTGTATTCTCTCAGTGTGTTTGTGCGCCACTTTGCTGCACTAGGCTTCAAGGTCACATTTCATTTTCAGAGCTGCTATTCTAGGAGTTTATTTTTTTCCAGCATTTAAACTAATCACCAAGATAAATTAATCTTCTCCATTGCCAGTGCACTTTTCACTGTGCAGTAGCCAGCCACTGCCCCCTGTTGTAAGGTATACGAGGCGCCCAGGTGTATTCAGCAATTGCAGGTGATACAATTGCAAGACACATACTTAATGTCTTCACTGGATTTGCATTTACAGAGTCTGAGCAAAGAACAAAAACCGTATTCTCTCTCGTCATCTGGTCCCTTTTCTGTCTGCCTATCTTTTTCCCATTATCTTTCTCTCCTGATTTGTCTACAGGATGAGAATCTGCATGATGTGTTACAGTTGGTGGTAGCCCTAATGTCTGAGCATCCAGCCTCCATGATCCCTGCTTTTGACCAGAGAAATGGAATACGGTAAGCCCCTCAGGGGAAGACACAATCCCTCCGCTGTTCGCGCACAAAGTGGAGAGGTGATTTCACAAAATAAACCTAAGCACCTAACGCTTGTGCTGCTTCTGTGTGCCTATGTGAATAATTCATATGTTCAGTGAGAAATAAACTATGCATGGAAAAGTAACAATATTAACATATTGATTTCACAATATGACACGGATGATCAAACTTCCCCATGTGATACTATAAAATATAAATGCACACAGTGTCGTACTACTTGTGGGTTCTAAGGAAAAGGCGGCTGCTTTCATTGGGACATTCATTTAATGCTAATGTAAATTCACTCTGAAGGAAAGTGGTTGTCAGCTAACCAGCGCAGGGCCTTTTCATCAACAGGAGTATATTTTATTCTGTCAAGACTGTGCACAGCTTTCGCTGCTTGTGTCTATTCCAGGGTAATCTACAAGCTCATGGCCTCTAAGAGTGAAAGCATTCGAGTACAATCCCTCAAAGTCCTTGGGTACTTTCTCAAGCATTTGGGCCACAAGTAAGTAACCCCTTCCTATAGCTGTGTATTAGACTGTAATTACACACTTAAACTATAATGAATGGCATCCTGACAAATGCTTTAAAGAACAGGTGCCTAATGCATGTCTAATGTTGTCAACTATTGTATATTGTTTTGCCATCTTTTGCTTTCCCATGTCCATACAATGTCTGTTTTAGCAACATTACAACAGGCTAGTTAGATAGAAACTGAAAAGTCATAAATCAGATTTAACATTCAGAGAGATAATTGATCTGTTCCTTTCACTCGTTTGAAAAAGTGCACAATTAAAAGAGTCAAAAACTTATGACTGGATGCATTTTTGCAAATTAGGCCGCACTTCTTGGTAGAACACCTGAATTCCTGGCGTTGTTCCCTCGAGCCATTATTTCACCTAAGAGATGGGTGGAAGAGGTCCAAGTTACTGTCCCGCAGAGTGAAATAAATTACAACCTATCTGCTAGGATGTCAGCATATCCCGTGTATACTGCACATTGGAAAGGAGAGAGAGAGAGAGAATGAGAGCCTATGATTCAAAATGTGGGATGTAGGGTGGGATGAAGAAGATATCGGGGTTGTGCTGGGCTCACAGTGGTGGAGCACCAGGTGTTGTGGTATTACTTGTGCCTGCTGAATGGGGAGAAAGGGCAGGTGTAAGCCTATGCTAGACTGCCCAAAGGCCTATATCCTCAAGGGACATGAGCGCTTTATGAAAGCCTGCTTTCGCCCCTTACTTTAATAGCTTTCATTCATTTTAAAGCACAATGTAATTCACTATGAGCTTTAGTGCCGCTCATAAAGAATTAATCATGTTTCTTCTTGCCTTCTTTCTTCTTCTTCTTTCTTTTTGATTGATGTTGTCATTTTGTATTTATTAGCTCAATGAAATTAGATGTTGATAACTCTCTCTGCACTGATAATCACATAGTATGATGTAATGTACAGATGTTCTGTGATTTAATATACAGATGTATTGTACAGTTTTTGGGGGGGCATGTGGTTGAGGAAAACTAAAGAAAAAAGCATGAGAGAGAGCAAAGGCAGAACATATTCTTTGGCCCAAATTTCTGACTTTCCCTATAATTGTATTTGCTCCACCCATTAACATAAAACTAAAGATAAAAATAACATAATGAGTATGACATGTCAGTTTTAGAATTTTTGAAAGAAATTCTCCCTCCTGCTGTATGATTGCTTTATGTCTCTAAGAGAAGGGTATTAAATGTTTTCTCACTGAATAGCATACATCCAATTTTCACATTTTAAACAACGTGCCTTCATTTGAACTTTACTGATGATCTAAGCTATATTCAGAGTGACTTTATCTGGACTTATGCTGAAAGTATTTACAACAAGGCTCAACCTCCCACTGTATGTTGATGGCAGAGCAGACTTGTACAAATTCCACCTCCATTAGTCTACCTTTTCCCCCAAAATTTCCACATTTTATGCAGTTGAGAGGAATGCTCCTCTTATCCTAAATGTACAATTTTCCAGCCTCTGCAAAATACAAAAAAAATTGCAGACTTATTAGGAAAGTCCCAACTCGTCTTGAGGCAGTGGCAACAGAGTAGAGCAGCTTTGGCTTAGCATTATGACAGCAGTCCTTATGCTGTTTGCAGAAATATTTTGTCACTGTTGAACCTCTTCACCTGTGGTATGCCTCTGTTGTATTTGGAGCCCTTCCTAGTGACAGGCTAACTTCGTTATCCTACACACCTCCAACGAAATTCCCCCCAATTTATGACAGCAGGCAGTTCCTGACACTTGTCTCCAGAGCCCGGCTCCCTGTGGGTGAGAATAGGGAAACAAGCTGACGGCACTCACTGATCCTTTCAGTGGCTTAGGGAGCTCTAAACAAGCCACTTTACCATTATGTCTCGGTGTGTGTTCGTGTGTGTTTATCCGCAGGAGGAAGGTGGAGATCATGCACACACACAGCCTCTTTACTCTCCTGGGAGAGAGGCTCATGCTGCACACCAACACTGTGACGGTGACGACCTACAACACTCTGTATGAGGTACCAACACAGTTTCCTCTAAAATGTCCCAATATCACTGCACCGTTGGTCTCTTTGTACAGACTGTGTGACTGGTGTCTTCTCACTACTTCCTGCACCAGATTTTGACAGAGCAGGTGTGCACACAGGTAGTTCACAAACCTCATCCTGAGCCTGACTCCACTGTCAAGATTCAGAACCCAAGTAAGCCTGTTATGTGTCATATCTGTTTTGAGTTTAATTCTTCCTAAAGTATTTTGTTCTCTGCGAAAATTGACAATATGCGTATATATTTGTGTTTGTGTGCGTGTGACATCAGTGATTCTCAAGGTGGTGGCAACCTTATTGAAGAACTCTGCCCCCAGCACAGAGCTGATGGAGGTTCGGCGGCTCTTCCTTTCAGACATGATCAAACTGTTCAGCAACAGCCGAGAGAACAGACGGTGAGCGGGACTTAAACCACCTTTTTCTCACCCACTCCATCAATTATCTTGTTGATTAATGTATCATTGAAAAGACTAAAAAGGCTCTGTGTTCCCTCTCCTTGCGCCATGTTTAATAGACTCATATTGATGCTAAATCATCCTTAAACATGCACATGTTCCCCAGCAGATGTTTCTGTGACAGTTTGTGACAGTTGCTCACTCCTGCTTTCTCTTTTTTTACTCTCACAGCCAACCTCTCCTTCTGATACTCACACAGAAACACACTTTAAGACATATTGCAATTAAATTATAGTTCTTAGGAAACCACTGACCTAAATCAACAACATAATTGGCCTAAAGTTAATAGGCAGAAAGTTCTTTGTGAAGTCAAACTGTTGAATTGGAGAAAAAAACACATTTTTTACTTGCTGCCCCTTTTCTGTATTGGCTGTTTATTTTATTTTGTGAGATACAGCTGCCGAATAAACAAGCAAATGAATATATGAACGGCCAAATGATCAAAGCAATCTGTTTTAATGGGACTAGCAAATGCCAAAGAGCCCTGTATGCTCTTTTGGCACAATGAAAGATGTTTAGGAGAGGCAGAAAGAATGATTGGCTGGCTTAAATAATTTTTGATTTTAATGGAAAAACTCAAAGTAGAATGTCGAAAAATGATTGCTTCTGCCTCCAACATCAATTATAAATGTTAAACTTGCAAAAGGTTAGAGGATCAGAGTTTTCTTAAACTAACTACTCAACTGTTATCATTTGTCTCACATGCTGCAGATTTTATTTGTTGATTGTATAGTGATGTGTGTATTGCAGGTGTCTACTTCAGTGTTCTGTATGGCAGGACTGGATGTTTTCTCTTGGCTACATCAATCCTAAAAACTCAGATGAGCAGAAGATCACTGAGATGGTGTACAACATCTTTCGAATTCTGCTCTACCATGCCATCAAGTATGAGTGGGGAGGATGGCGTGTGTGGGTGGATACACTCTCTATAGCCCACTCTAAGGTGAGTACTGTACTGCACAACAGAGAAGAAACACTGACCTCTGCTGTTGAATGGGGCATTTTTATCTTATCTTTCATATCTTAACTGTTAAGCTTCTTCTAAACTGATCTTCCCACTCGTTGGGATACGTGGCTAACATCGCCTACAACATTGCCATTTTTACAGGTGACATATGAGGCACATAAAGAGTACTTGGCTAAGATGTATGAAGAGTACCAGCGCCAGGAGGAGGAGAATATTAAGAAAGGGAAGAAAGGGTTGGTCAGTACCATCTCTGGTCTATCTTCTCAGGCCTCTGGCATCAAGGGTGCAATCAGAGAAATTGATGATAACTCCCAGACACCTGAGAGTGAGACGGACTATGAGAGTGCCGACTCACGCAACTTGCTGGCTGAAGGAAAGGGGCCTGAAGAGGCTCTGAGTGGAACGGGGGGTGCAGTAGATGGGGTCAGGGTTGAAGTTCATGACCTTCTTGTGGACATCAAGGCTGAAAAGGTGGAGGCTACTGAGGTTAAACTGGATGATATGGAGTTATCCTCTGAAACTCTGGGAGTATCTGAGAATGGAACGCTGGTGGAGGTCGATTCTCTGTTGGATAATGTTTATTGTGCTGCAGTGGAAAAGCTCAACAGTAATGCCAACAGCATGTTGTTGCCAAAGGGCAGCATAGATGATCAAAATGCACCCCCGCTCATTACGCTAGATGATGACAAGGATAGTATCCCTAGCAGCAACAACTTCCTGTTTGGCGAGGTGACAGGCAGCATCGAGGATAAGCTACTGCCTGATCTCAGTCCAGCTGAGCCTCTGGTCCTGCCCAGCCCAGAGCCTCCAGTGCACACCAGTGCCAGTGATGAACTGGGCCTTCTAGCTCACATGACAGGTGGCTCTGAGCTTGGCTCTTTACCTAGTATCCTGGAGAAGGATGAGTTTGAACTACAGGCAGCCTTGGAGGGCATCAGCTCTGTGGCTGGTACTGAGGCTGAGGCCTCCTACAAAAGCCCAGAGGTTACTGAGGGCACAGCTGCAGCGGTATCTGATGGGGACCCCTCGGCCAGTAAGACCAGCAGTACAGCAGATGCAACAAGCAACACTTCTGACACAGAGAGATCAGATGATGGCAAAGACAAGGAAATGAAGAAGATTCAGACAACAGCCACCACACAGGTTTGTCTGAAGCTGAATCATCATGCACTTCATCCATGTAAATTGAGTTATGCAGTAACATCCAACTCAACACAGTCTTCCCGTTTTCAGACTTGTGAAAAAATAGTAGAAGTTCGCTGACTTCACCACTGTCAAAATAACCTGAAAGCTATTTATCAGAGGGAAATATAACAGTAGAAATCATGAATCTTGAAACATAGCAGCACCAGGATCAAAGAGTGGAAAGTGAGGAGGGAGACCATTTGCCATTTTCAGGATATGTTGGCCTTTAGTGAAGAATTCTATCTTATCAGACCCATAGGGATCATTCTCTTCCCCAACTCTGCTTGTAATGGGGACAGAATGGCCTGGTGCACATCAGGCAACATCCCTCTGAGACTCGGGAAACTGGGTTGCTGGAATAGTTGGCTGAGCCAACAGAAGGGCAGAAATAGACAAAGCATTATTCTGCAACAATCACCTGGGATTTGTTCATTGCTCCCCTTTCTGTGGTATGAGATGTGCTCTTTCTCAGAGGTCAGGCTCTTTTGCCTAGACTGGGTCACTGATGGAGGGCCAGTGGGAGGTAGGATTTATTTTTAAACCTTGCTGTCCTGTTGCGTAATTGCTCATGTTCAATTCATTGCTGCTGCCTTTTAAACAGGCTTTTTCGCAACACCTTGCTGACTCATTCATCTTATGTTTAGAGGTTGTTGTATTTTTTCTTTAAGCACAGGCAGGTGAGGTTATTCGAGGATTCACTTTAATCTGGCAATTCATCTTTCACAGTGAATAGTATGACGGTAGTATTATATCTCATTAAAGGTGCACTATTGATCTTGACAGAGGAACCGGATTAGCAACTAGTCTGTATGCAATATCTCATGATGGACAGTGATTTTGTATGTGATGCCAAATTAATTAATTTGAGTGATTAGTTGGTCTCCCATCAGAGTCTACATGGCCGTCTAGCCACTCAAATGGAGCGGGACATACGTGTGGACCTGGGCTTCAGGGGGATGCCCATGACAGAGGAACAGCGACGCCAGTTCAGCCCTGGCCCACGCACCACCATGTTCCGCATCCCAGAGTTCAAATGGTCAGCCGTGCACCAGAGACTGCTCACTGACCTGTTGTTTGCACTGGAGAGTGACGTCCATGTCTGGAGGAGGTGTGTGAAGTGGTTTATGTGTGCTTGAGAGAGACAGAGAAGGGAGGGTGAGCATGGTGCTTGCAGTGATACTCAGATTGCCCTTCTGAGTCAGAACTATTACAACATTTTATTGATGGTTTTGACATATATTGAATCTGGCTTTTTATGTACAACCTATAAATTATTTTTGTTTACTCCACAGTAAATTGCCCAATGATTTATATAATGTGAAAAATGTTTGTACCTATAATAATCCTGTTTTTTTTTTTTCCCCCCCCACCTTTCCTTGCAGCCACTCCACCAAATCTGTCATGGACTTTGTTAATAGTAATGAGAACATCATCTTTGTCCACAACACCATCCACCTCATCTCACAAATGGTAGACAACATCATTATCGCTTGTGGAGGGATTTTGCCCCTTCTCTCAGCGGCCACCTCTCCCTCTGTAAGTGCACCTTACTGTCTCCACTGAAGGGGTATAATGCCATCTAGTGGTAGCTTATTATAAGTGCTTGGACTATAGTCTGTAGTTCACAACAATACTCTATGCATGTGTGGAAAATGACGTGGGGTTACCTTTATTTGCTCACTTTCACTCTGCTAAAATGAATGCTGAAGACTGTACTTTGGTACAGTTACATTTTTTATGTTTGTAATTAACTTCCCTGTGTGTCATTCATGTTTATTTTTATTGCCCTTCTGTAATTATCAGATTTAATTTGCAGTCTTGAATTGAAATTGATTTTAATCATCTTCTTTTGTTTATTTTTTCTGTGCATGTCTAGAGTGCCAAGGTAGGTGTTTATGCTATTTTAATTTCTCTTCTTTAATTTCTTTCTCTTTTTCTCTTAATTTGTACTTAATACTCACTTAATGGATCTTAAAATCTGTTATCTATCTGAACTAGTACTTATGGCATTGTTCTGTAATATTTTTTTTAAAACATCTCAATGTATCAACACATAAGAGAGCTAACAAAAAAGTGTCTGCCTTGGATCGACCCCCAAAACATAATTGGTGGAGTTAGACAGTCAGCTGAATTCAGATCAAGCTCTCTGCCAATTTCTGCAGTTTGGATAGTATGGATTCCTCTGAGATGAGATCCTACTTAACTCACATAATAATAATCCTGCCCTTTTCCTGACCTACCACTGAGTCTTTCTCTCCTAAATTCAGCAAAACCCACCACTGTGTTTATATGTGTGATATGCCCCTCTTTCCATATCTTATTTCATGTTTCTGTTAAAAAGCAAAACTTTTAATCACATCTGCGGGTTAGACTGTGGAAGAAAGGATATTGTACATGTGCACTTTTGTTTTATATGATTGGTGTCTTCCTTGTTACTTGTGTAAGACGGAGTTGGACAACATCGAGGCAACGCAGGGCATGTCCTCAGAGACCGCCATCACTTTCCTGTCCCGTCTCATGGTTATGGTCGACGTGTTGGTGTTCTCAAGCTCCCTCAACTTCAGTGAGATTGAGGCTGAGAAGAACATGTCCTCTGGTGGCTTGATGCGTCAGTGCCTCAGGCTTGGTGAGATCATCATGGTATATTTGCTGCTGTAGAATTGAATATCAGTCAGTGGGGGGAATGCACCAAATACAGTATCTTTATATAGTTTTTGCATGTTTTGCCACTTACACTGGGAAATTGATGAAAACTAGAAAATGCCATGACAGTATTCTCTTCACACACTAATAATTCCTCTAATCCCTGAAAAGCCTCTGTTTGATCAGCAAAGCTAATTAATTTAGGAGTCCTTTGCTAATTGTATGCTGAATTGGAGAGTGCGCAGTGTTTTGCTGCAGTTTCCAGCAGTAAAAAATGACACGATCATCATTTTAGAATTCATAACAAGCAGAGAGAATAATTTGCAGTGCGATCAGGTACTCTTTGCAAATGGTAGCTTTTGTGTCTGTCATTGGTGCATCTCATAGGACTCCATGAGGTCCTCTCTACCCTTGTGTGTGTTTTACTGTGTCTGTATACATAATAAAAATTAGATGAATTACATTTGAATGCAAAGTGGATGAGTGCAAAATTCAGCATTAGTACAATGTGAATTTTATTGAATTAACTGTGAAACTCAAAATTCAGTTGATTTGGTAGAATAATTTGATACATAAAGCAGTCATAGAAACTGTGTATTTGTGTCTCTTTTTGTCTGTGTGCGTGAGTGCATCTGGATCTATATCTGTTTGGGTCTGTGGGTCTGTGTGTGCGAGCCTGTGCTTGCTGGATTGTTGACTCCCAAGTTGTGCTCAGGGGGAGATGGGAAATAGGGGGATGGGCCTTCAGACTTCACAGTGTCCTTGTTGCAAACATACAATTTCTCATCACTGGCTTCAGTGTGAAATCAGTCTGGCTGCTGATTTTACTCCCAGTGTCTGTCCCAGCAGCCTGGAACAAATAGTCATCATAGATAACTGATTAGTTTAAAGAGGTCATGCATGTTATCAACAGTTAATTTCCACTTAACTCTGAAATGAGAGCCTATTTGTGTGTGTGTGTGTATATGTGTATGTGTATGTGTATGTGTGTATGTGTTTTTGTTACCTCTTTGGGACCTTTTCTGGTATAAACACGACCTTGTTGGGACCGGTAGTCCTTATGGGGATCAAAGGATAGGTTAAGGTTAGGGGTTAGGGTTTGGGTTACATTGTCCACAATGAATGTAAGTCAATGCAAACTCCCAAGCATAGCTATGCAAACTTGTGTGTGTGTGTGTGTTATATCTGTGTGTGTACAGTGTGTTGTGTGGCTGTTAGGAACTGTCTGGAGTGCAGGCAGAGACACAGAAATAAGTCTTCCATTCCCAACAACAACAAGACTCAGGAAATCCTGCTAAATGCTGTGACTTCCAGCAAGGTAGGATGTGATGTCATAACTTTGGTTTCTGTGCTTCTACTTTTAAAAAAAAAAAAAGTGCATTTTACTGGAAGAACACTCCCCGTGCTTATGTGACCGGACTCGTGATGCTAAATCAGTTTTCCTTTGTATTCTATTTTTTCAATTCCATATTTGTCCTCTTTCTTCTGATCTCTAAAATGATGTAAAAAGAAAAGTAATAGCAAAAACTCGATTAACTGAGCTTTGACTGAACAGAGTAGCATGTCATATTGTGTTATCTTTCTGCTTTAGACAGCCATAGAGCTTGTCCCTAGTAACCTGTCTCCCATCAAGGACCCTGATCGCCTTCTGCAGGATGTGGACATCAATCGTCTGCGCGCTGTGGTGTTTCGTGATGTGGTGAGTGTGGGTCTGTGCATGTGCACTGTATTTATGTTCGGGACATGCATGTGTTTGTCACAAAGACTTAGCTGCAGGTAGAGAGGGTGGAAATAGGATTCATTTTTTCCAGACAAACAGGTGTGCAATGTAACACCCTTCAATCAACAGGTGAAACACTAAAGGTACCCTTGTCAATTGAGCTGCTGTCTGTTGTACACAAACCTACAACATTTGAATGGATATATTTCAAAGCAAGTATAAGAAATATGTTAGAGTAAAAGGCATAACTTTGAATGTGTTTTCATGCTCTATGCAAGCTTCATTTGCTGTGACAGAAGAATTTAAGGCAGCAGCAGTGGATTGTGTGATTATGTGAAGATCATCTGAATACTGTGGCATAACCATATTGTGATTCTTCTCCACAGGATGACAGCAAGCAGGCCCAGTTCCTGGCTTTAGCTGTGGTGTATTTCATCTCTGTCCTCATGGTCTCCAAGTACCGTGACATCCTGGAGCCCCAACGTGAGACTGCCAGGATAAGCAGCCAGTCAGTCCGCAGCGCACGTCAGGAGATCACCTCACCAACCAGCACAGGTGTTGACAGCTGTGCTCTACCTTTCTTCCATCCATTCTTCCTTCTCACTAATCTTAGCTAGTGCTGATATAAATTAATGTTAAGTGTCCTCGGTCCTTTCTGATAAACTGCTGCCAGCTTGAGCTGAGAGCTCATTCAGTAAAATAGCAGGAATACCCATTCTGCACTCCACTGGCTCACCTATGATTTATTCATGAACTCTGCTAATTGCACTGCACAGAATTAAATGTGGAAGCAAACAGAGACTGGGGCTGGAGATGGTAGTCATGAACTTGAATAGGCATCATCGTTCTCTCTGAAATGAAAGGTAGAATATGCCTCAAGTCATAAATCATACATTAAGTCACATGAAAGGAAAATCAGTGGCTGCCTACAAAGGTTTAACACAATGTCTGCTGCACTGCCAACTTGCTTTTACGAGATGCCTGAGCGAGCATACTTTATCAACTTCCATTCAGACAAAAGGGGAAGTGAATAAAAGAAACAAGAGAAAGAGGAGAGAGGCCAAAGGAAATATGAATGTGTAATTTGAAGAGGTAGGAACACACCGAAAATGAAAAAAGAGGAGATGAGCAGTGAGAAGTCAAGAGTTGTGAAGGAAGCAGCATGCTGGCTAACTACAGTGGGTTTTTGGGGCAGTGGAGCCAGGCTTGCTATTTTCAGCCCCATCTGTCAGTGCCCATTAGGCAAGCAATCCACCAGAGGAGAATGGGATCATAGAGGTTGCTGGGAGGAGAGAGGCACACTGCCGCCTTCATAAATTTCACCAGAAAATGGGGGAATTTTCCAGACGGCATGTGGCAGACGATTGTCTGATGGACCAGGAAGCCAGACGACTTGCTGGCTAAATCAGGCCCTGCTGACCTCGTTAGGGGGCATGTGATGAATATTAATATGGCCAGCCTTGCATCTAGGTAACCACTGGGTCAGGATGAACAGAAATCAAACTAGAAAGGCACCTGTGCAAGCTGACGGCAGCATTGACAAACATTTTATTGGGTCAAGTTGATCGCTATATTGTCAATGGATTTTAACCGTATGAAGCGACAGGATGTTGCAGACTTTAGTAAAGTTTTTGGTTCCCACTCAGTATCTTATGTATATAGAAAAGATAAGACAGTATAGAGTATATTATGTACAATAATAATACAGCAGCTATCTGACTCCTCTGTCACTGTTTCAAAGCAGTTCAATAAATGTGTTCCAAGGCTCTAGGCAGGAGGAAGCTGAAGAAAGGGATTCATGTTTTATTAGCATAGAAGAAGAAAAACAGAGAGATAATCTCACCAGAGGATCAGAGCTTCTGGAGAGAGATCTAAGAAGCTGTGTTAGCACATGGCTCTTTCTACACATGCTAAATTTACTCTTTGGCTAGGAATGTATAGCTAGCTTTGGAATGCAGTTTTAGTCAGTGGTACTGGCCTCAAATTACTCTGTTTAAAATCTCCATTTCTTTCTTCTTTGGATAAACTTTATTATGTTAATTTAGTAGGCAGACTAATAATGATAAATATATGTAATATGTTGATCAATGTAGTACAGGGAGTGATAGAAATGTATTTATTTATTATTATTCAGACTATTTTAACCAATGAGCTCATTTGTCCAGTAAAAGGACCAAACATTAAATGGTTCTTATTGTTAATTTGATAACTTTAGGTTGTGGGACTTTTTATAAAACAAAAATTTTAGTTTGAAAACTTTACTTTGGACTCTGAAATTTGTTTATTCTTGACATTTTTTTTTTTTTCGTATGAAAATTGTAATAAATATTTGTAAAGAATTTAATCAAACTTGACACACAATGATTATTTTAGCTACCTGTTGTCTGTGTGTAAATGTGTGTGTGTGCTCTACAGAAACACCTCTAGCATTTGACAGCAGTAAGGACCATCTTGTGCCATCAGAAGACCTCCACATGGAGAGCTGTCTTCCCCACACAGACTCTGGGATCGGAGAAGAGCAGGTAGCCAGTGTCCTTAATGGGTCTGACCTAGACCACAGCGCTGGAGGGCCGTTCACCATGAGTGAGCAGATATCTACGTTGTCCTCAGAGGTGAAGAAGTCCCAGGAGAGTCTGTCCGACCCACCCAGTGTGGAGGTGCTGAAACAGACCTCCTCCATCACCAGCATTAGCCAGCCCAACAAGGGCATCAGTGTCAAAGAGATTTTGAAGAGCCTGGTGGCGGCTCCAGTGGAGGGAATGGAGGCTGGGCTGGAGCCTGTGTCCTACCCAGACCCTGCTGCTAAAGCTCAGGCCCAAGCCATGCTTCCCATGCAGTTTCACTCCTTTGACAGGTGAGGAAGTGTCATTTTGTACCAGATGTTTTGCATGTTTTAGCCCCATTCACTACAGTCATGTACATTTTTCATCACAGTTAACCATTTTGCAACACTTGCTGTTTTTGGATGTATTCTTCCAACCATTACAAGAATCCACTGGTTTCTAGTTAATTTATGATTAGTAGTTAAAGTAAGAAACAAAAACTTGCCCAAACTCCAGTATTGCCCTTTAACTGAAGTTTTATATTGTTCTTAATATAAAACACAAGTGTGTGTGTGTGTGTGTGTGTGTGTGTGTGTGTGTGTGTGTGTGTGTGTGTGTGTGTGTGTGTGTGTGTGTGTGTGCGCGTGTGCATGTGCAAGACCACTCAAATTACCGGAGAATGCTAATGTTAATCCTCTGGGTTTATTTTAGTGATCCAGTATACTGCTAATGGTTTCTAAGTAGCTTGCGACACATTATTCATTTCAGGCCACTTGTATTTTACTCATCCCCCATGGCAAGGAATTCCTGTGTTTGAAAAGGGCTCTGAAGCACTGTGGCATTGCTGCGGTTTATTTACATTCCTGGATTAGATAAAACCACACAGTAATCTGTCTGGATTTGGGAGTTTACAAACCTGCTCCTGCAGGGACTTCAAAGCTTCAGATCCTTGTGATCCCTTTCTCCTATGATTGATAAGGTTTTGAAAATCGTAATTTTCTGAGAGTAATTTGAGTTGGTTTAGCACAGACAAAAACTCTTCCTGTTCTCTGGACACCGTTGATTTGGTTGAGTTTTCATGTGTGTCTGCGTAGTCGCTGCCAGGCCCCAGAGAGAAGGCAGAGGACACAGTGAGTCAGGAGGAACAATGGGGCCTCCCTTCTATTTAATGCATGCATGCTGCTGAGCTGAGGTGAGCCTGATGAATAGGGGAGAAGATGGAGGAGTATGTGGAGAGAGGACAGCTGAGAGGGTGGGGGTCTCCAGGGCGTTGATGACAGATTAAACAGAAGCGGCCTCATGCCACACCACGGCCAGCCCTGTCACCCTCACTGCTCACGCCGGTAATGGGAAGTGGCAGCCTGAAATGAGTCGCCACGGCAAAGTGTATTATTTTTGAAATGCTTTCACACAAACCCTCCTGACCACATATACAACTTTGTCTCATGCTTTTCATGTCACTCCCTCTCCAGCCTCTATTTGCTGTGTCTAATTGTTTGCCACCTGCCAGCGAAATGAGCTGCCAGCCATGGACAGGCCTTTCATTTGTCTGTCAGGGCGGCAATAGATTGGGAGTGACAACATCAAAAAAGAAAAAGGAGGGAAAAAATGGCTTAAAGTGGAGTGCACAGGGGCAGTCATCGCAGAGGGCCTTTTACTAGAGACTTTCACAGAGGAGGGGTTTAAATTGCTCAACATCCAGATTTCCGTTGAGCGGATAGGAGTACAGTACAGAAATACTTAAGTGATGCTTAACTTCCTCCCTTTCCCCCTCTCCCTCCCAAAAAGTATCCAAATTAGCTCTGTGAGATATTGTTTGTCCTTACACATTTGATGTTTCCCATGATGGAGAGCAATGATAATTGGTTTTAATTGAATTTGCGAGTGAAATGTAAGTACATTTCCTCTGTATCTATCCTTATAGTCCTGAATTAAAGCACTATTAGATTAGATTCCATCTGTTGGATTTACCATGGAAACATTTCTTTGGTTATACTTAACACTGCAGTCATCTCCCACAGCTGCACACCACATTAATATTCATTCTAAGATTAATCCTTGCTTTATCCTTTGCAACTCAATTAAGACAATCCTATTAATAAAATATGCGCTAGATAATCTATACATGATTCATGAGCACTCATCTTATGAATTATTCATTTAAAGAGGTTCATGTTTTATCAACATCCTGTAGATCCAGTGTAACGTCCCAGCTATGCCAAAGATCGGGGCAGGCCTCCACTGGAAGATGCGAACAAGGGGTACATTTAGAAAGGAAGATTAAATCCACACCCAGGTCCTACAATCACAACACGCTGCTCGTGATGTTCTGATAGCTGTCAATGAGATTTCACAGAGGAGAGCAGTACAGGGATCTACTAAATAAATGATACTTGTCATCAGTGTTCTTCAGAGCACGGATGTATCTCTGGAGATATTAATATTTCAGTGAGCTTTCAAGTTTTTCCCTGACTCTCTTATACTCTCCTGTGTGATTGAGTTGATTTTGATCAAATTTCAAAAATACAATTCTACTGCTATTTATGGTAGTGTACGGTGGTTGTTAACAAGGCAACAGTGTGACTCTTAATGTGTAAAATAATCTACTTTTTGTGTATTTTATCCTTAGAGAGAAACCGCAGAGCTATTCTCTCTGTTACATAAGACATCATAGCTTTGCTAAGTTTTGACAAATCAATTGTACGGTGGGAAAGGATGTAAGATAAATTACCCAAAAACCGGAAATACACCAAGTTAGGTTTTCTTTCCATGGTGTCCAGCATGTTTGACTTCATCTATCAGATGGACTGTGGATATAAAATAGCAACATAAAACAGTAAAAGTCTGTGTTGTTTTGTTGAGGGAGGATTTCTGGGGATTTACTTCAGATGACAGCAGGCTTAGCTCGTGACAGAGCAAAGGCCTGGCCTGTGTCACCCTGAGTAACTGCAGGGGATTGGACGAGACATTATCTGGCAGCCGCACAAACCCAAAGGCCAACTGCAGACCTGATAAGGACAAGCTTTCCTTCTCTTTCCTGTCAGAGAGCTCTTGCAGGGCCAAGTTCACTGCATCATCTTTAACCCTTGGCCAATCAGATTGCATGTGAACAGAGGTCTGTTGGGTTAGTGGCGTGTCTGTGCTTTCCTGCATTGTTACATGAGGTCACAAGTGTAACTTTCATCTCAAGCCTCCACAAGCTTTTCTTTACATGTTTCATTCATGAGCTCTGTCCCTTTCTCTCTTAGCGCCATGTGATGTTTTGTACAGTAGCTTCTATAAATAAAAGGGATAGCACTGTTTTTTTTAGGTCCCCTCTTGAGTTAATGTTTGTAAGTGTTCATGGTTTCTGACTCTTCAGTCATTTTCCTGCCATATCTTGTATATCTACTTTTCAAAGTTTGTGTTTCTAGAAAAAAAGTGATCTATCTAGGAACCTAATATAAAAACCTGCAGTATGTAGGCCATAAACTAAGAATATATCTACATGCACTTTCTGTCCCAACCAGATGCTGCTCTGTGCAGAGCAAATGCCAAAAATAAAGTTCTGAAATCTCATAGTGACTGAGCTGTAGTTTTGTCAGCTTGAACAGAGACAGTAACTATGCAAATGTGTGTCAGTGCCAAGTTGCTCCAAGAGATTCTCTCATTAGGGCTGAGGAAGTTTTCAGCCTTTCTGAATAGAGCAGAGGGCAGCAGAGGGCCACTGGTGGCAAGAGCAGATTTAAGGGGAAGGTGTAGTAGGCGGCTGGCTGGCCTCTCACCTCTCAGGTTCATTCATTTTAGCCTTGTGTGTGTGTGGGTGTGGGTGTGGGTTGTGGGGGGGTGGGGGGGGCTTGTATTGCACATTATGCTGAATAATGGAGTTAGAGGTCAGGTGTGCTTTTCTGAATGTCCTGTATAACGTCTCATGCTAGCACGGCCTAAGAGCAGTAAGAGATGATCAAGATCATTACTATTCTCATTTTTTTCTTCTAAATACGTGAATAAATTTTATTTCCTCCTGCATTTTCTGTCTCAAGAACGGCTAAAAACCCTCTGCTCCACATGCTGGCTTTACTGACAGTCAGTTTTATCATGACAAATTTTGTCCTAAAGCTAACCTGCTATATACTTGGCCAGTTTGATCATAACCTCACTCTCTGTTTCTCTTTGTTAGTGCACTCAACTATAACATTCTGACAAAACAGTGTTTCACCCGCAGCTCTAGCAGTCTATTTATTTAGTTATATCAAGGCCATAAATCAGAGTATATGAATAATTCTACAAAGTTATCACAGTTCGAGTCCATAGTTACCATCTGTAGTTGCTATAGCCTCCTGGAGCTGTTAGGGATCTAGTGTCTGCCTCAAGGAGACTTTGGCAGGAAAGATGGGACAGAGGACAGAAACCCACCTCTAGATTTTACATCTTCATTGTGTTCATTTGGAATGTGTTGTTTACTCTGCAGCAGTATGTGACCTCTGACAAATTTCTGATTTTAATATTTTAACTTTAATTTTTAATGTGTGTTCGTGTGTGTGTGTGTGTGTGTGTGTGTGTGTGTGTGTGCGTGCGTGCGTGCGTGCGTGCGTGCGTGCATGCATGTGTCCTGTAGGAGTGTGGTTGTGCCTGTGAAGAAAACCTCCCCTGGCAGCCTCGCAGTTCACACTGTAGGAAGTAGCAGCACCACCTCTGCTGGGCTGACAGCTGGCAGCACCCCCAACATCTTTGCTGCTGCCTCTGTGACGCCCAAAAGCATGATCAACACCACAGGTAGGTCATTCACAAGGTTACTGGAATATACTTACATGGTTAAAATACTGTGGTCAGCCCTGGTAATGTGGTTGGTTTACAAACAATACTACTTCAGAGCAATTTGAGAGGGTGTGATTAAGTTAATTTCACTGATGCCATTCCAGGAATAGAAATGAAGCCTTTTCCTTCAACTGGATCATGTGATCCTGCATGCCTGTGAAGGGGCTCATTGTTACCACTAGATGGTGCTCTTTACCTTCCTTGCAGTGTCTGCAGCAGAGGCACAAGCAAATAATAACTTCTGTCCTGCAACTACGAGGATTCCTCCTGATGCAACCAATTCAAAAAATTCTTATAATCTTCTTGAATTATACAATTAAACACTTCAATAGTTAAAATGAATTTGCACACACAGCTCTCCTATGTCATGTGTGTTCCTGTCTTGATTCCCTGCATACCCCTCTCCCTTCCCTGCTGTCACTTTGCTTCTCCTGGGGTTTTGCTGCATTGAGCTGGTTCCACCTCAGGACTCCTGGTCAGGGCCTCTGAAAGGACCCACTTAACACCAAGAACTACTAGGACCTCCAACACCTTTTAATGTGCTCCATTTTAAAAAAAGAAAAAAAGAAAGAAAAAAAAACTCTCTCTCTCCTCTCTGAGCCTTTCTGCAGGAATGTAAGAAATGTATCCAAGTCAAAGTATGCTTTCAGCTAAAGCCACAGACCCCATGATCTCACTTGCTCTGGTTTTCACCTCTCATAAGGACAGTGATAATGATTTTATACTTGGGCGTGTGCTGCCAAAAAGATGTGCTCACCTTAATTACTCTTGTATGATACCCTAAATTTAGCCTTGATGCCAAAGTATGATATGTAAAAAAAAAAAATGCAGATATTGTTTTTGATATGTCAGTTGATTCTTAATCTTTGTCATCTTACTAAGCAAAATAATTCCATATGCTGCTGCTGGCACCAGTGTGAACACGCAGCGTAGTGCACTTGGATTTCGTTAAAGATTTGGTGCATGATTTGACACTGTAACCATGTTTCCATTTGTTTGACTTGGTTGAAATTTGCGCTGACTGCTGAAGTTTACTGTCAGGAGACAGATTGTGGTTGCTTTTATACCGTCCAATTCTTTCTTTCTTCTTCTTCAATTATTTTAGTCTGTGTGCTGTTACATGCATGGATTTTCAATCTGTCAAGGTGACACTCAAATGGAACTTATTTGATGTTTTTTTTTGTGATTCAGGATTGAATTAAATCTTTGAAAAGTGTCATAGTCATATAAGTGTCATAGTTTTAAAATACTGAAAATATTGTTTACTTTAAACAGGTTGTCATTTCCTAAAAGTTAATCCTCGCACAGCCTGTAAAATTATGAAAGATTATTAAAAACAAATGTTATTTGTAATTTTGTGCTGCACTAATGTTGCATGCCTCTGCTGGTCTTCCTGCAGGAGCCACTGATGCAGCCCCCTCTACCTCCTCATCTTCTAGTTTTGTTAATGGAGCAACCAGTAAAAATCTGCCTGCCGTGCAGACGGTGGCTCCGATGCCTGAAGACACAGTAGAAAACATGAGGTAGGACAGGGCTCTCTCTGCTCACATAAACTCCTATTTCCCGTGGTTTTAATCTCACTTTATTCTGTTTGTGTGATGTAAAAGCTGTGTGTGAGGCTTATCTTTCAAGCATGTTCTTTTTCTTCAAAGTTTTCTTTAAAAAAATAAATAAATAAATAAAAAATCACACTTTCTTTGAACTCACTGATTGATGGGTAACTATTGTAGAAAGTCTGCAGCTCACCTTTAATGAACAATGATTCATTTGATTTGATAAATTCAGTCATTTTCTTTTTCTCTGCAAAGTCAAAACAAGATGGCATAAATAAAACAGTTTGATGTGAACGCTATGACACAGTTTGGACAAATTCTTTACATACCTTTGTGTATTTCTTTGTGTATATCTTGTTGTGACCTTGACTCATCTTTCTCACTTGCTCTAATAGTTTGTGACAGACATCTTTAGTCCTGTTCTCCCACTGACTGTTGAGAGCCCAGGCCTTTCTCCAGAGTCTCTCTCTCTCTCTTTCTCTTTGCCTCAGTGTGTTCTGCTGGAGGAACAGAGATTCAGTTGCCATGGCAGCAGTAACCGACATCACTTAACGTAACTGTGAAGTCAATGATAGTATTATCTTGCTGCAGACCTTGCTCATGCCTAACTTATATTTTGGATGAGGAAAAAACATCCAAGCTGAATTGCCTGCTCCAGTCTACTGAACAAATAAATATGATTATAATTATATATTTTATCATTATAATTTTAGAATTGGTTTATGAGCCCAACCCTTATGTCACCAAACAACATGAAGTGGTTTCTTTTTTCTCTCTATTTCAGTGCCTTTTGTGAAGTGGACCAGTGTCCACTACGCCAGGGACTGACACCTCCTGAGCTCAAACCCTTTAGCTCCCTGACAGGATTACAGGCAGCCTCCAGAGGTGCAGGCCAGTGTCTTAGGCAAGGACATTTATGTTAGCCACATAAACTCCCTGCATCCTGTTTTTTTATGCGAATCTGTCATCCCTCTGCTGTGTTTTCCCAGGGTGCTGGAAGGCAGATTACACTACACACTCTTACAAACCCTAAACCAAACCTTTCCTCCCCACTCTCTGTTTTTCTCTATCCTGCTGCTTTCTGCCCATCTTAGCTGGGAAAACAAGCTTCAGCTCTTCTCACGTTGCCCACTATCTGTGTGTGTACACATAGGAGCACAGCAGAGAATCTGTATGTTGCAGCTTGAGTCGTATCTCTGCCTGTATACAGTCTGAGTTGTACGGCTGCATGACTCCAGCTCACAGTTTCTCTGAGGTGCTTAGATAATGTCGAGCAGCAGCATGTACTGAGTGTGTAGAAGATAAGGAACTTCCCTCTGCAGTGTTGAACACCTGTGATCCCATGTACAAGTCTGGTTACATGTCACAACAAAGAATGCAAACAACTGGTGAGAGATCCTATAAAAAACATGTGTTCACATTGCTTTTAACAACATAAACTCTTCTCTTATTGACATCTCCAGTGATAGCACCCATATATCTGGCTTGGTTTGCATCCACTCAAATGTGTTGGTGACCCTCTGCACCCACCAAGACCCCTTGACAGTCTGGCTACGCATTAAATGCTGTTAGCTGTGTGCACTGGGTCAGCTTGTGAGGATCACACTGCTCTTTTCATGCCTTGATGGAGGGTCCATTACCTCCTTTACATTTTTGCTCTAATTCAGCAGTCTTATATTATTTTGTGACTTCTATCTCTTGTTCTCTTCACAGCATTACTACAAAGCTGGAGAGGGCCTTGGAAAAGGTTGCACCCCTGCTGCGAGAGATCTTTGTGGACTTTGCACCTTTTCTATCACGTACCCTGCTGGGCAGCCATGGGCAAGAGTTGCTCATAGAAGGTACAGACATTGTACAGTGTATTTTATTCTCAGAGCACTGTGTGGAGTCTTGTCCCCATCACCAAATTATTGTATGTACTCCACTGGCTGCCTCATTGATGGATGCGTACACAGTAGTTGGTGTTGACAGGAGAGTCACTATTTTGCACACAAGTGGGGGTCTGTCATAGTCTGATTAAATCTGCTTTCATTCATCTTGTAGCAGTCATCTTGTATTTTATCTTCTTCATGAACCATTCCACATTTTGAGAATTATTTCTAGATGTGGTATTTTTAAACATCAGTGTTTCACAATTGGTGGCCGTTGCCCCCCTGCTAGTCGTATTTTTAGTGCTAATGTTTCTCAAAAACTGAGATCACATTTCCCCACTCACCCTGCTGTTTTGTGTTGTAAGCGGATTTTTGTCTTTTTCAAATGTTTTCAGAGTGACCTTATAGGAAAGGATTTTTGTCAAACTCTTTGCCATTGAAGGGAAATCTGAAAACTTTAGCTCTATTTTTATTGGAAGAACAGTGAACCTTTCTTTTTGTGCCATGAAAAATCCAGCATCTTTTCTCAGTCCAATCCAAATCCACTCACAAGTATAGATGCTAATAGAAGCATTGTTAAGCATTGTCTCAGAGATAATGTTGTAGCTTGTTGATGTGATAGTGATGTAGCACTGCGAGTAAAACCTGGAATCATGAATGTTTTAGCACTGACTTGATACCTTGTCACGATAACGCAGCCTCCAGGATTCATTTCTTCACAATAATAGACCTAACAATTTTATTTTAAACTGCATTACAGCAGTCACATTGCATATATTTAAAGTGCTGGCCTGACTGGCTCGGTTGTGCTCAGTGTTTGCAGAAGTGTGTGATCCCTCTGCTGCACTCCACTCTGGGCTCAAGTCTTATTTCCTGGTGGCTGTGTGAAGGCTCCCAGTGCCTTCCCCAGGCCTCAGGCTGGCAGCCTCTCACAGTGCTACTTGTGCCTAACCTCAGGGACTCTCTGCCTCCATGCATGTGCACTGCCACTCCACTTCTCGGGCTTGTTTTGGCTTGTATTCACAAGAGCACACTGCCACCACAGCCAGCAGTGTGTGACTGTGTCTCTGCAGACATTTATCTGCATGCGGATACACAGTGCAGGATATACAGTATGTGGGGCCTCTGCTCTCTTCACTTGCAGTTGACAATCTAAATTATATTATCACTGCAAGAGTCTCTTTTTTTAATTTCAAACTAATTTGATATTAGTTTCAGAGGTCTATGCAGAGAATGAGAGCAGGCTGAAAGAATGCTCTCCTGTGACTTTATTGAAGCCCTCCCTATAAGTTGTCTGACCCAATATGTCTGTCCACTTTCCTTAACATAGTTTATTTGTATACTTTTTATACTTCCAGTTGCCTTAAAAGATTCTTCAATTGCTGATATTATAGTGTTTTAAGTAATATCATATCAAATACTATATTTAGTCTTGCTAAGCTTGTTTTTCTTATTAAGCTGTTGAATCAGAAATTTGAAGAACTTTTTATTACTGGTAATTAATTTAAGCTTTGAAAGCAATCACCTTTGGCAAGCCTAATCATAAGCAGGGCTGATAGAAACTGATCCTGTCAAAACGATTGGTCAAAGGATTAATTTAATTCTGTACAGTCATTAAAATGACATTTACAGTATAACTAATTTCTTTCTTTAAAATATTTACATTCAAGCCAGTAAAGTTTCATAGACAGGCAGTTTTTCCTCTGTATATCATGCATACACCATATATACTGTATATACATATGTAAATAGACGTGGGTATGCCATGTACATGTGGCTGATGCCACTCGCACAAGCTCAGGGGAAAGGAATGAAAAATCAGGTAGCATAGCCTTGACAAGTGTGAATATGTCTGTTACCCTTTCACTCAAAGTCTGTCAGCAGACTGACTAAGCTGACAAACCAGAGCTGAGCTGAGAGTGTAACCCCACAAACAAGGTTGTAGATAGACAGCTCGGGCCTCAGCACTCTTCACCAGACATGTTCAACTCTGTCTGGGTCTGTGTGCACCCTGACATGGATTAGAGCAATTTTATCAGACCAAACAAATGCACAGATTTATCACATGGACTTTAAATCTTTAACTTTGTCGGGCCACTTCAGTCTGTCCTAGTCTCAGCGCGTTTGTCCAAATGCTTGAACTGATTTTGCTGTTTCTCCCTCTCTTTCTCCTTTTTTTCCCCTCGCCCTTCCCAGGCTCACAGTTGAAATACTGTGCTGTAGTGCAAAGGCACTCCATTTACGAGTAATTACCAGCCATCCATCACTCCTTAGATTGCCTGGGGTCGAGCCCTCCTGTGCCCCGTTGCCCCTTTGCCTCACCATATTCCTTCACCCCCCTGCAGACATGTGGTCACTGGGGCAATTATGTTGAGTGCACCCTGAGCTTTACACTTGGAGTTGGTGGGTAAGGCCTGTGCATGAACACTGCTGCTGTTGTGATGCCTGCCGTCTGCTTCTTGCTGTCCCCTGAGTGGCCCAGCCTGCCGACACATCGCCCCACAATGCCACATTCACCCGTGCCTTAACCCTGCCCTGTTTACAGGAAAGGACTGGCAGCCCATGTTTAAATAGAATGCATTTAGTTTGTCTACAAGCACAAGGCCAGGGTCAGTTGGCCACCTGACTCCTGTGTCAGACTGGACTGACTTATAGCTCAGCATGTCACTGCTATAACAAGAGGTCAGCCGTGGCACTCTGTGTACAAGAGGAGGGTCACATCCTCTCGGAGTATTTACAATACGCTCCCTCGGACAGTCTCTGCTCATGAATAGAGATGGATGGAGAAGCAGCGACTACAAGATCCATCCATCGAGTTCTCTGAATATTTTGCATTCTGTGTTACAGCATTCTCATAAAGCAAACTATGTTCATTGAATGTTGTCTCATTGACCTTTAAGGCCCAATCCATAACTGTTTTGACCATATAAATCTGAGTTACATTAATACGTAACAAGTTTGAGTTTCTTAGCGGATCACAGTTGAAGATAAGAGCACAAACACGTCAATAACATGATATTAATGTAGATATTTTGTTTCTGTTAGTTGGTGTATTCAAAGACCTGTCAGCCAATTTAAGAATCACAGCAGGATCTAATCTTGTGATTTGTATTTTGGTATTGGGGCTGCAGTTTTCTTTATATTTGAACAACAGATTGTGGCTTTAATATAAATATCATATTTTGGTGTAAATTAAAATTGAATAGAAACATTTTTTTTGCTAATTTTAACATTTTATTCGTAATGCAGTTACAGTAGGGTGCAGATACTGTTGCATTTGTCAATAAGTTATACAGTGTGGAGGGAGTTTCCCCCTCTCAAAAGTGTTTAGATGTCTTCTGCATACTGTCATGTCACTGCCTTTTTTTAAGATGCTGTGCTGTACAGTGCGCAACTCGTGCTTTTTCTAAAAACATCTTGACTGAAATCTTAGATTAAGAATGTTTTGCTCTCCCCTCTGATTGACACCCTGTCATACATTAGACAATAGCAGCAGGGTGGCATAGACGTCTACTCCTGCTGGCCTATAATGAGTCCTGCAGAGTTGCTTTCTTTCCTTTACAAATGACTGCATCTTAATGGTTCTCGCCAAGTGCAACAGAAGGAGCTGGAGGTGCAGAATACGAGACCAGTTGTAGCCATTGTTTCTGCAAATGAGCTTTTCACACCTGCCCTTGTTTCATTAGAGAGTTGTCTGCTTCTGCAGCTCACCATCTACAGAATGGAGATGAGGGAAGAAGCTGTGAATGTCTGTGTTCACTTCTGTGAGTTTGTGTGCATGTGTAAAGGTAGGTGTGTGTTTGTGTGTGTGTGTATGTGTGTGGAAGGGGTGTTCACATGCACATGTGTGCATCTGTTTTGCGCACATCTATTCTGTGCGGATGCAAATTACTTTTTTTGCAGTTTCATGACAGGCAATTTGAGAGCACAATTAAGGGGGATTACAGATTTGCCTAAAATTTATTTTATGCCAAACACAATATGCAGTAATTCTCTCAAGGTCCTACACTGCATGTCTGTGCATTATTGTATACTGTATTTCTTTTTCAAGTATTATCTCGCACTGCTACACAAATGTTAAATTATACCCACAGATACTTACATACTCAACTACTGTACGTACTAACCTTTATGGGTAATATCTATTCTGTTCTGTTGATCTGCTTGTCCCCACAGGTCTAGTATGTATGAAGTCAAGCACCTCAGTGGTGGAGCTCGTCATGCTGCTTTGTTCTCAGGTGAGCTTTTTTTCTTTCTCCTCCTCTTCACAGTCCTCTTTTCCAGATTTTTTTTTTTTTTGTCTTTTTCTCTAGGTTTCATCATCTCTTCTTTTACTTTTGTGATATATCTTTCTGCTGGTTTCACCTCTTGTTGAATATAAAGCGACACATTGCACAATCATAAATTGGAAATGGTCAGTGCAATAGCCCATTTCTCTCAGCTCTATAATTCTTTAAAATATAGGAAACACACACAAACACAAATTGATCAAGTCTTTATCCTGTCAAAACTGCAGATATTTTGTGATTGTATAAATTTAGGGTTAATCCATGATTAAAATCTGTCTTGTATCATAGAACAAGTTATTTAATCTCTGCTGGAGTTTTGCTTATCGGTATCTTTCTTTTTTCAAATGTTCCATAAGTGAATTGTCCAAACGGATGACGACATGCAGCCGCATGCAACTCTCTAAGAATCCAGTGACTTTCTCACTACACCCCAGAGCTTTAATCCCCAGCCCTCCTTTAGAGAATGAGCCCCACCTCATGCATTGCTGCTAGTGACTGATCACCTCCGAGCTGACCCTCTGAATCTCTTGTTAAGCCCTTGTTTTAGAGAAGGTCAAAGCCCCAATGTAGCAGTTAGAAGAGAAGATATTTAACATACCTTCTGTCAGCCCATCATTCTTGCATTGGGAGCCCATAAGGAAGCCATTACTTGGTGCCTCTTTGTGGATCCAGACGGCAGGGCCAGAGCCTTGAGGATTGCCACTATGTGTGCTCCATGGTATCCGCAGTCCAAAGCCCTCTTCAGCAGGGAGCTCAGCCTATGTTATATGGAGGCCATTATTCAGGGGCTTTCCTCCAAAAAATGTACATAAATGGGGCAGCCAGGACTGAGTTATTGTTGCTCTTTTGAAGGTTTTTGACAGACTCCTTTTTGCGATGCTTTTCTGTCTGTGGAGTCTCTGTGGGAAGTTGCGTTTTCGAGTCCTAGGATTTATTGCAGATGAGAGCGTCAGCATGCTGTTAAGGGTCTGAGTCCATCCCCCCTTTACACAGATAGCATTACTGCGGCTCCAGAGGTTCCTGCCATTAGGGGCTCTCGGGATGAAACCCAGGCTGAGATATCGATCAGACAGTGAGGCGTTGAAACTGGACCATATAGCTTAGTGTCCTTCTACAACCTTTCAAATAGAGATGAGCCATTGCTTTACTTCGCCGTCAGTAATGACTCCAGTTATGTTGTGAGCTTATATGATTTAAAAATCACATTGTAATGATGGATATTTGTTAATCAGTATCTTCCATATTACTTCTTCCAGTTGACAAAGGTGATGTAGACAGTATATTCTGACTGATAATTACATTGCACTATACTACTAATTAATATCTTTGATAACACATACTGTATCTAAATTGCTTTCAAAAAGCTCAGCAAGTCTTCTCAGATGCAGTGTGAGCTTTGGCTGACATCACTATAAAATGCCAACTTCAACATATCCCTCACATATTTCAACATTAATGTCTTAAGACAGCAAGGAGGGCACTTAGCTGACCTTTAGTCCCTCTCTGTTTTGTGACCTGTCAGTTTTATGAATAAATTAGTGCTAATGATCTGCCTTTTCTTATTTATGCATACTAATCACAGCAATCATCGTGTGGTTGGCCACGGCTGCAGACACTGTGTGTCTCTCCTCAGCCTGGGCAGCTGAATGAAAAGGTCAAGCAGCTCTGTTTCTTGTAACAGCTTAAACATACAGGGGGGATCTAGAGTGGAGCCACAGAGATTTAGTGATGGAAGGTCTCCAGATGTGGAGAGTATAACAGAGCAAAGCACAGCAGATAAAAGCAAAGGCTCCCGCATACTGACAGGCTGGATTGAAACACCACAAATACTTAGTGCCCTGCTGAATTTCAGGAAGATGAAAGTAGGAGGAGTGAAAATCTTCTCAAGGCCAGCAAGCTTTTCTCTGGGATAGGACTTATGGGATTTGAGGTCCACAAAAAGGTGGTGGGCTTTTCAAAGATACACGGAAGAATAGTACCATTGCCCCAAGTGAACCTACCCAACATTCCCCTTTGTTGTGTGAAAGAATTCACCAGCTCTTCAGCGTTATGGAGCTTTTTTTTGCCACTTTTAGCAAATTGTTTGGTTTTACACACAAATTTACTGTATTCTTCAGTTTCTTTGCTCTCATTAACATTGTCTCCAGCAGCAGCAGCTGTTTCAGCAAAAAAGCTCAGGTAAACTAACTGTATACAATCTGCCCAACACCCAACACAGTGTTAAAGCATTTGTAGAAACCTAAACCTAACATAAAAAGTGAGTGACAAGTAGACTTACATTTGTCAGGTTGCCTGAAACAAAACTAAGAGAATGCTAATGTTGGCCATGCTGTTGAATTTGTAAATAGGCAACTATTAGCTTACAAGTTAGCAACAAAACAGGTTGACAAAACGTCAAGGCTGTTTTCCGGTTTGTTGTGGCGCTCTCCTGCCCCCAAAAGGCCAAAAACTCAATGAATGCATCTCTAAATCCCAGCTTTTCTTATTCAAGCTACTAAACAAACTTCCAATGGCCAGAGGTGCTTCATTTTGGTCATGGTCTGCATTTACATCAAGGATCACATCTCTTTTGTAAGGAGGTGCACGTCAGGCCTAATTCCCTTCAAATGGGTAGCAGAGGACTTTCTCTGCAATCAAAGGCAGCCTCCTCTGGGAGCTCTGTTCTCCAGTAAAAAAAAAAGAAGGCAAGAAAAAAGAGAGCCTCTGAAGTGCTATCTCAGCTGTCAACAAGCATACCCCAGACAAGATAGCAAATATGACTCGTTCATGCTATACCTCCACTGACCTGCTGCCATTTTCCTGGCATTGCCCGAGTGTCACATCTGCCTTGATTTCCGTATTTATTTTTGTCACATGAGCATGGTGCAAGTGGAACCTCAGAAGACTGGCTTTACATGATCCCTGTCCAAATCAAGAACAGCTTATTCCAGCCAGATACTGTAGCAGTGGAAGGGGGTCATAGGGAACATTTGGAGACCAGATGCTCAGCAGTTTGTCAGCACCATCTTCCTGACTTAACGCATCGTAGGGTCAGACTGTGTACTCTTGCATGAACCGGTATGTGTCAGGCAAGACAACTGTGTACAAAAACACATGCCCATACATAATAATGTCAATGTCAGTTATTGTGGTACTATACACAACAAATGCTGTTTATCTTGCCTCCAGACACTTAGATAGAACAAACAGTGTGTATCACTGTTTTGCATGTATGACTACAGATAATATATCTCCATATATTCCTTATGTTGGAAATAACAATAATATTAATAAACTGCAATTTTTAACTGTATAGTCACAATCTAAAGCTCCCTATATACACAAATAGCTTTGAGTTGCATATACGTTTGTAATCCTAGGTCTGGAAATCTTTTCTTTTCATTTTTCTCTGTTTTTCCCTCTTCTTTTGAACTGTGGCCTTCTCTGTTTTCTCTTCCATTTGCACCTCAGTGAGGGTACAGGAGAGCTGAATTTCCCACAGTGAAAGGCGCGCTCTCAGACTGCTTTTTAATCATTTCCAGAGCATGTTGTGAGACAGCAAGTGCTGGCACTCTGGCCCAAGGCTCGGATCCCTTCCAGGCGCACACTGCAGGGCTCAGTGAGCCTGCTCAGTAATCTGTCACTGTAAGGGACAGAGGAAATGGCTGTATTTAAGTGAGAGGATATAGTTTCATCCCACAATTACATCTCTCCTGTGTTTACAGATCTTTTCACAGAGGAAGAAAGGATGGTCACACATGTGGTGCTGGATTTCAACTTTTTATAGCCATCACTTTTTTTCCACAAAGGATATATGAACTAAATGCTTTCTTTTCCTACTTGAATTACAAGCTATGACATGTAATCTAAATTACAGTTGAAATATGCAATTTGGATGGTGAAATGTGATACATTTCTGAAAGATCTTGTTGCATATTGGATTAAAAGGGTATTTTGATACTGATACTCTGCCATTTTAACTTTTAATGTGCTTTGCAAAACTGCATGAAGAAAGTGCTTTTTCATGAGTGTTAGCTTTTGGCTTTGCTGCCTCTTTGTGGGTGAACTGTCATTCTGACATGATTTTTTCATTAAACCCAGATCTAATATCACTTATAACGGTGTAATTATATTCTGTTTTCTTCAGAACTTTTAGCATACTATTTACTCTCCAAAATCAAAAACAAAACAAAAAAACACATTTCTGCTTTTGTAAGTAACAGATCACAAACTCCTTCATTTCAGGAATGGCAGAACTCCATTCAGAAGAATGCTGGCCTGGCCTTCATTGAGCTAATTAATGAGGGAAGGTAATGTATCCACTCACTGTAATACATAAGCTAAAATCACACAGCCAAGCAGACGTTTACTAATACCCTCTGTTATCAGTAGGTTTATCTTATTTTAGTTTTCTGCCTGGCAATAACAAAAAAAATTGTTGGATTAAGTGGAGGGGTGTAGATTAGCTCTAAACCTCTTGCCCCTGTTGACTGCTCTGCTGGGGGTAAAGATGAATAAGGCTGTGGTGACTGGAAGAAGTAAGAATGTCGACACAACAGTGCAGTCAGCCTCTCTTATTTTCTGCTTTACTCTATCTTTATCTCTGCCTCTTTCACTGCGCACATCCCAGTGTCTGTGTTTCGCTTTCTGTCTCCCTTCGTCCTCCGCTCGTCTCTGGGTGCGGCCAGACTCTGGGATTTCCGTAGAACAGATCAGGGGCGGCTCAGCCCCCTTGCCCATCTGCTGACCCATCTGCCCAGGCTCACTGTATGCCCAGGCTCTTGTCTCAGCCCAGCCAGGCTTCTCCGAGTCCCCCACTGGCCCTGGAACAAAGAGCTACAGTCAGTAGGGCCACACGGCGCTGTCCAGGGTGCTGGTGACAGATACATAATTTCCCAGTCTTACTCAAGTCTCTGCACACCTGCTCTGCTTAACTAGACAGATCTAGAGGTAGCAAGAGTCTGGTAAATCTGTTTGCCTTACAAAGCGTGCCTGACACAGACGTTGTATCTGCTGAATGTGCAACAACACGTACAGCGGGTATTTGTACGCTGTGCCTCTGTTTCATAATGCAACTGCTTCATTGCTAAGCTGCTATCAAACACACTAAAATGCCCTGATTAGATCCTCTCGAGTATCCCTTAGGTTTTCATGTGGATGCAGTACAGTATATACAGATACGTGCAGTATTATTTGCTGCATACAGCTCTGTTAAGACAGTGTCTTTAAGCCTTAAAAGTAAAAGCTACAGAGATCACAGTATTGACCCCTGACTAGTTTTAAGATAAAGACAAAATATACGGTGCTTTGAGGCACTCAACATGAAAAGGTTTGAAACACAATTTAATAATAGATAAACAAAACTAAAAAAAAGACCAGTTCTACAAATCTGTTTGATCTGATTTGCGAAGCTCTGTCTCCAAATTGTTTGGGTGTTATGTTTTTTCATTTACAGCACATTCACAATCACCAGGCATTGAACTTTCAAGAATTTTCAACTGGGATGGTCACTGATTTTATGTGGCAGCCTACATTTATATCAGTCTAATCTAAGGCTAAGTGTGAATACTTGTATTGGTTAGTGTTTCCCATGAACAGAATACTAATGCAGAAGTGTGGAATCTTTTTTTCCTATTTTCAAAAATCACTTGTCAACGTGGTTTCTCATCTATTCTTGGTTTGAAAACAAAGCTTGGCGTTGTCAGCCTCTCTCTTTGAACAGTGGACGTCTGTCTATTAATGAGCGCTTGTCAACAGTTAAAGAGGCAATAGCAGCTGATGAATGCAGCCTCGGGATTACTACCTCTCCTTGGGACAGGAGGAAAATTACAATCTGTATCAAGCACTGGAGAGGAACAGGGGCCGCTTTAATTAAAACAAAGCTAGCCTAATGGTGTGTAAAATGGCATGTAATCGACACACAATAGCCATGGTGTTTTCAATTATTAAAGATACTGGAATTTAAATGTGAATATGGGTGGAAACCACGGAGCCTCTAGAGCCAGCCATGTGAGAAGTTATCCACGGCTCGACTTGTCAGCAATATGGGCACTGGGTTGATGTTCTGGTCAGTGGGAAGGGATGCTCAGTCAATCTGGAACGTGCCAGACAGGCTTCAATGCTCTAATGACACTCCATTCCCTCCTTAATGCTACAGAGGAATCTGTCACTGACCTGCTGCCTTGCAACATAACACAGACAAATGATACTGTTTACTAGTCTGCTCTTTCAACAAGCCGAATGTTGCACCATCCTGACAAGCTATATTTGCCTCAACCCTGCTCCTTCCTTAGGGGTGTCATTACAACAGATTTTAGCCAATAAAAATGATCTGTTTCCTAATGAATGATTAATGTGTTCATGAAAATGTCTGCTGCATTTAACTTTCTCTGCGATGTTAAAGGTTGCTCTGCCATGCCATGAAGGACCACATAGTTCGGGTTGCCAACGAGGCTGAATTCATCCTGAACAGACAGCGAGCGGAGGACGTCCACAAACACGCAGAGTTTGAGGTATAAATTGTGCCATACTTTCTAGAACCTGAAATGAAATAATAAACGCAGAGTCATACTACTCACAAAATATTGTACAAAAGAGTCTAATCACACATCGCTGCTTCTCCGAATTCAAATTTTATCATTCGCTGTGAAAATATTTTGCCAATTTTCTGATGAGCTCTAAACAACTCATGTTAGTATAAAACAGCCATACATTTTCAGTAATCATGTCCCTCTGTGTCCTCATGAAGACTAAATCCTCACCCTTGCAGTTCTTATGAAGCAATTTAATTACTGGTAGCATGGGGATATGCCAGCAATATTAATTTAGGATTTTGATGAGCTTTTACCCACCAACTCAGGGGACAACCTCCTGAGTCTGTATTTTGCCCACCCACATCAAACCTCCCCCATTTCAGAAATGAAAGGAAAAGCTATCAAAGCTTAAGCTATTTGTGAGTGTAATTAGTGTTAAGCCATTATTTTCTTCTAATTATCTGTATAGAAAGTAAGTAAGAAAAATATAGACCTTGTATTTTCAGTAGTTAGTCAACAAAATAGCAGATTAGAGACAGAGATTGATAGAAAAATATAAAGCTAAAGAAATCTAAAAAATATTGAATATAGAAATAGTTGGTTTGGTTATTGTAGAACATCAGAAGACGCACACACACACACACACATGCACACATATAATGTAATCGCACAAACCTTTAACACACACTTCCGCCACCTCTGTTAGCAGCTTGTACATGTGAGGAGTGATGAGTTTCTTATCTGGGAAAAGCAGCCATCCTCAAACAGCTGCTTGATATACAGTTCTTGAGGATCCTTGACCTGCTAGATAAACTGGAAGAGACGGCTAGATGTGCAATGTCAGGAGAAGGGGGAAGTGTACCTGGCCCCATTCGTTCTGTCTGCCAACTCCAGACAGCCTACACTTTTCATCTAGGTCTGACGTTACTTTATTACCCACTCTCCAAGATTGAAGATTCACAACGCAGATAAGACATTTTTACAATTAAGTTGGTGTCAGGGCGAAGCATCATATGTTTTAAAGTGATAAATAACATTTGATATTTGTCACAGCATCACGTGGTAATGCGAGGTGACAAGCAGAGATTGAGTTATCCGCCCCGTGAAGAATATGTTGAAGTATAATATCTGACAGAATTCAAATTTGAAGCAGGAAATTCGATTAACTTCCAGCTTCTGTTAGCAAATTAGATTTTGAATATTAGCAAGAGTTCCCCTCAGGTGGCATAGTAAGACAATCTAGAGTTAGATCGGCTCCTCTAGATTACTTTTAGCCACTTAGAGACTTGCACTGACTTGTGAAAATTGATTTAAAACCAATATGGCCATTTTTCACACATTATCTTTCTAACACTTAGATATTCCTCAGTATTTAATCAAACGTTATTTGAACTAGTGTATTATTGATATTTTTATGGTTTATTTCATTTTTGTTTTTATTTTTGTTATTACAGAAGACATTGTTTTCTTATGGTACATTTTGTTTTGTTTTTTAATAACTGCATATTTACATTTTACAGCATTCCTATCAGGCAACAATAACACACTTCTTCATATAATGGCAGTGTAGCTTTGTAAACCTTGACATTTGATAGTCTTCGTGGATCTATTAGGGTATTTTCCCTCCGCTTCTAATAGCACCATCCACATCTTCCTAGCAGGGAACCTCATCTGTCCGCAGTAAGGGAATGGCCTGCCTTCATGCGCTTGCCATGATTTACTACACTCCTCCAAGGGAGCAGAAATATATCTCTCAGCTGTCCACTAATATCTTTATGCACTCAAGTGTGTTGAATGAAGCCATAACATTCTTCAGTGTGACAAATGCTCCATTAGAGGGTATATACTACTGTAGCTTTATTCAAGTAAAACATTCTCAAATGCTATTAGCACAATATCAGATATCACTTTTGGCAGTGGATATGACTGCACCTAAAGCCATTAATATACAATGGGTTTCACACTATGTTTTTCTTTTTTCTTTGTCTAAATCTCAAATTAGTCCAACTGTGCCCAATATGCCGCTGATAGAAAAGAAGAAGAGAAGATGTGTGACCACCTGATCAGTGCTGCTAAACACAGAGACCATGTGACGGCCAATCAGTTAAAGCAGAAAATCGTCAACATCCTCACCAACAAGCACGGAGCCTGGGGGACACTGGCCCAAAGGTAAGGTCTTACACTTGGACATGTGAAGATCAGGTTCAGACCAACACGTTAAGTCTTTCACATGAACCATAGCTGCTTCGTGTTAGGTCCAACCTAGAGGACAAAAGTTACCTGTTCACAAAACTCTGCAGTGATGGGATAGGCCACCAGTTAATGTCATTTTCCCAGGATCCGATAGGGTCAGCGATCGGGTCAGCAAACGCAATTACAGTGTGGAGTGGCTTAATCCCCTGGGGACAGCTGATTGGCCAGTCGTCCGACATACTCGGGTGGAAGAAGGGGGTTGGGGTGTTTCTGCAGTGTTGTCCAGGCATTCATTGACCCTCACAGTAACACAGCCCAGCACCTGGTGTTAGTTGCAGACTTCCCCATGGGCCCTGTTAAAATAACCGCCGGCTCTCCTGCTCTGCCTCTCACCTTCATCCACATGGTCCCACAGATGCAGAGTGAGTGGAAGGATCAAGAGCTACAGAAGTGTTACAACATACTGTGTGTATTTACCATTTATCTTTTGTTACTGATGTAACAGCATACATGCAATTGCTATAAAAACAGAAATGTGAAGCTCCAGTTTCTGCTTCCAGGTAAAGCTGTAGTGGGATTTATTTTGAGACAAATTTTTGTCTGTAAAAAAAAAAAAAAAAAAAAAAAAAAAAAAATCAGCATTGCTGGATGCAGGACAGATGGGGAAATGAACAGTAAAATAAAATATATTTTAAAATCTTGGCCACAAACGTTAATCTAAGTACTTGAGCTATATTCTGCAAGAGACTTTAGAGAAAGTCTGCCTCTTTACACATCCCACCACTGCTGATTTGCCAAAACAAATTTTGCCTCTTTGCTGGAACAGTAGCTTTGGTTTTGTTATTAAATTCTAAAAATACAGTGCAGATGTTCAGCCATGTTCACTGAAAATGGGTTTGTTTCATATCTAAACCCATGTTTACCATTGTCCAAAATATTCTAGCTGGTGTAATTAGTTTTTACGGCTGTATTTTATGTCTTTGACTTGCAGTAACATTCAAAGAGTTTCCACACAAACCAGCAGATGCCATAAGCAGCTATATTTGCTTTATGTTTTCATGGATTCATGGAAGATTATGCACTGTGTCTATTTACTTAATGATATCAAATGTGTTTATATTGCCATTATTGATTTTGTCCTTTTCATGTTTTTTAGAGGACATTAATTTGTTTTGAATAATTTCATAACTACTACAGAGAAATAGAACATGTGCATGTTTAGTATTATAGCAACATTTTGTCTGAGACTGAGAAGTTTACAGTATTCAAGTAGAGATTTTCATTTTCTGACTAAACCTTAGCAGCATGACAAAATCTATTGGATTGAATTCTGGGCTCTTGTTCAAATATTTATGGAGCCCCTCTCAGAGGCATAGCATTTGCATTGAAACAAAAGGTTATTGAGCGTGGGTGCATTGTAAATGATACCGCAAAACTTCCAACAAATTCAAATTTAATGGTAACCTGCTGGTGAAGAAAAATGATGCAATATGCTCACAAGCTCAAGGCAGTGTTGCAGTTCAACAGCTTAGTCTTATTCAATGCTACATTAACTTTCCCATTTATGCTGCTCTTGTAAAATATAAAGCCCTCAAGCATTTTGAGGTGGCTGTCTGTTATGTGTGTGTGTGTGTGTGTGTGTGTGTGTGTGTGTGTGTGTGTGTGTGTGTGTGTGTGAGAGAGAGAGAGAGAAAGAGAGAGACTTGCTAATGTTTGTTTTCACCCTCATGCACAGAAATTGCTTTTGCCTTTTACTCCTAAGTTCTGCCTGGAGACATGCCAAAGGATATTTATCATTTATTTAGAATATATTATAAACAAAATTATTCTTAGGCAGCTGGTAGACAGAAACTAGTATAACTTATATGTTTATATTTTTTCTTCTGCCAGTGTGTGTTTGCAACTGTGCTCATTAAATGGATATAACCACCTGGTCTGCCATTAGATGCATCAATTTTTGTCTGAATTACAGACATCTGCAGGTTATCTGTGTCTCTGAGGGCCACTCTGTTGTGAGCTGTTGTTCTCTTTGTGGCAAACAGTGTAAGAAATAGTGTCTCAGCACACACAACAGCCAACAATGAGGAAATAATCTGTGCAAGGCTCAAAAACAGCTGCTCTGCAGTCATGTGATCTGAGTGTAGAATAACCAGATCAGACCCTATGGTGGCCTGTAAGATCATACTATATGCTTGCTTGATGATGAATGTCCCCCTGTATAGAGTCAGCATAGGAAAATCAATACTCCTCAAATTGAAACAGTATAGGGTTGTATTGATCCGCTGTGCTAAATCAAAACGAGGAGGCTTTGATACATCTCTCCAGGACAGCTCCCTGCCCAGTAATGACACACTATCAATTTTAGCTTTACACTGATAAATCAAGTTGAAAATTGGATGTCAGAGTTTTTTCTAGGGAGAGAGTGATTTTCCGTGCCCTCTGGTCCCCTCTGCTGTTGACCTCTGAACCGTGCCAGTGGATTATAAAGTTCAGGCTCGTCTAAAGTGAAAGTAGATGTCAAGACAAGGCTGATAAATTCGTTGAGGAATAATGTCCAGCACTTTTGCAGCAAAGGACCACCTCACTGTGATACTATAAATTCTCTCTCATTTTGCAGCTCTGTCACACTGCAAGGAACTGCTGAAAGGGTAAATTAAGCAGCAAATGTTTGTTTCGCTCAACGAAACTCTGTAACTCCTCAAACAATTTAAAAAGCACTGTTAGAATTACACAGTGGCAGGTTTACACACCAACCTTTTGTTATTTTCATTAATTAGTGAGTTTTTACAGCATTATTAAAATGTAGAGTTATCTTTAAAAGCATTCTGCCTCACACCATTTATATCTTGTGGCGCTAATAAAGCCATACACAGATACCCGGACACTCCTAGATGCTATGGACATTTTAACTTACGTATTCACAATCTGAACTTCAGTGAATCTCTCTTGTGTCATTCTCTACCATTCATCCGCCCGCGCTCCTCAGGTACTAATTGTTTCGACACAACCAACCTAACAGAAATGTAAAGAGGGCTGAAGGAGACAAACCTCCCTTTGTTCCCATGCGGACGTCCATGTTCACATCAGCAGCATCAGTGACAGCTGACGGAGGAGCCTCCACTGGCCCCCACAGCAGACCTTAACCTTACCTGACTAGTCTATTGATTGTCAACATTTCTTCTGTATAATTACTTTTTTGTAGCAGAGAGGAGAAAGGAAAATGGCGGCATATATTGATCTGTGGCAAGGCAGTGAAACAGCCGTTTCCCTTGACTAACAGTGAGTTTCATCTCTCACACGTGATGAATGGTAACAATCTGCCTGTGGATAATAACTTTGTGATGGAATGAGCCTTTTTACTCACGATGTGCCTCGAGTATTTGGTCCCGCCTGAAAGGGTTATCAATTCTAATAGAAGTCCACTAACACAAAGGGGGAGCACCTGTATATGGCCTTACAGCCTCAGAGGGTTCAAGGTCTGATGACCCCTTTGGGGCAGAAAAGAAAGGCCAAGGTCTCTGGTTCATCCTGACAGTATAAACAAAAATCAGCCTGGCAGGATATCAGATATAATTCAAAAATATTGTTTTTGACATCTAGAGTAGTAAAATGTGCACGTTCTTTCCTTTATGTGTAAATCCTAAAATTCCTGTGATCAGTGTATGATGTTAGTGACTTACTTTTGTATTAAATTAGTAAGAATATAGTAGAATTACCTCATCCTAGAATTCACTATAAAATGTACCTCCAAGTGTCCACTTTTTGCTATGGATTTCATGCAGACTTTCTATTCTATTCTGTCTGAACCAGTCCTCTGCATACCCTGTGTCATTTTTCAGTCCGCTATCTAGAGAGGCTTCAGTAAAATGCAGCCTGATTTACAACAGCTCACTAGTGCTGTAATGTTTTTTTTTTTTTTTTTTAATTCTTCATTTAGTTAGATTTTATTTAAAACATGATGCTGCTTTGTTCTTGCAAGCTGATATTCTCTCAACTGGCACTTGTTCTTGACCTACACCAGGCTTTATTCCCTTGAGCTACTTTTAACCTTGCACACTGTGCTAATTATCTCTGGAAAAAGGCCCATTCACACAATCATCAATTTCATCGGGTGTTGAAATTGAGCCGGGCATTGCCTGACTGTGCCCCATTTCCGATGAAAGATGGGCATCCACAAATCTGGCGATCCAGGGGAGTTCACCTCCAGTACAGTACAGTACCTCATCCCTCGGCTGATCGCGTACGTCTGTCTTCATTACACCAGATGACCTGGAGTTAATCTTGTTGCTGCTGTGTAGTTTCCCTTTTGTCTTTGTCCAATAACCATTCCTCAGTGTGTCTCTTCTCTATCTCTCAATCTACAAAAGAAACGTCATATCCAGTAACTAAAAGCATTTGGATCTTAGCTTGGTATCCTCATGTCTGCAACAGTGTTGAGTGTAGTGATGATAAGAAATGGGGAAATTAAAGAGATGAAAGTCTTGTGTACCATTTGCAGCCCTCTGTGATAATCTGATCATGATGTTGGCTATACAGTCAGTTAACACTTGGCGTTCGACAGACGCATGATCAAACTTGATGTGTTTTTATAGAGGAAATTACTGTGTATTTTTTTCTTAGTTTATAGGTTACTTTGAAAGCAGTGGGCTGAGAGATGCTGATCACCATATGGTTGCCAGTCTCCACTTTTTGATACAGTGTCTTCCTTTTTTTTTTTTTTTTCTTTTTGGTATTTTTTGATCTAGCAGCAGTATATAGAAGAATGTGGCGTAAAAATGCTTACCAAAAAGAATGCGCTGGTTGACAGACAATGTTTTCGCATTTCCTCGCTTTGGTTTGTAGTGTCTGCCAGCTGCCTGATGGTTTTCATGACATGTGGAATCCCTGTCATTACAGATCCACATATCTGGTTGTCATTTTAATGAGATCAAAAGACTGGTCCAATGAAGCCAATATATTACTATTATTTGGTCAAATAATAGTAATATAATAATAGTTTCTTACATTTCTGGGCTGAATATGGTGCCAGAATATCCTGAATAATTCTTTTTGGGCAGGTACATGTTAGTCCAGGTAGTTGAAATGGACAATGTATTTTGTTTATTTTACCTTCTAATCAAGTTTTTATTCTCTTCATTTATTTATTTTTAAATTTTTAGTTTGTATTCATTTTTTCATTTCTACTTTGAGGTGGAGCAACATTTGCATCTCAAACAAATTCTTCAGGGACTTTGTGACTCATAGTCAGAGTCTATTAGGACAACCGAAAATTGAAAGAAAAGACTGCTTGTCCTCAGAGTTACTCTAAAAGTGACGTGTGTTCAGTGTCCCAGTGTGTGTGTGTGATAGAAACCAGTCACTGCGCCTCTGAATAGAATTGTCACTGATTACTGGTATTTATTATAATTACCCCCTACTCATGTCACCAATGGAAGCTTTTAAAAGGAGTATAATGGTGTTTTATTGAATCAGTATGTCCCTGTCCTTCCTCCCGTCCGCCTCACACAAATCTGCTCTGAGCATAAATAGAATAAAAAGGAAACCTTTAACCATGAGATCCTCATCTTCCTGCAGTTCATCCCTGTTCGTGTTTTAATGAGCCATTCTGCTTTCATTTTTTATTTCAGTGATTTTATCTTCGTTGTAGGGATTTTATTTCATTTGCAAAGATGACATTATAAGGCAATTGCGCTAATTACAGTGAGTATGGAGCACTCTAAAGTAGCTGATCTTTAATGTATATTGTTGTATAGTGTCTGGTTTGACCGTGACAGTTTTGTTTTGTTTTGTTTTTTTTAGCTGACAGACATTTCAGACCTCAAACAAGCATGTTAAACCAGGTAATGGCATAGGTTCAAGTTTACCCTTTTACTCAAACACCAATACCATTCTCCAAAAAATCAGACAAAATAGGAGGAAACAAAATAGGGTCTCTGCTGCCCTAATATAACAGTAGCACTAAGAATATATCACTCTCTAATCCAATATGAGCCCTTGTCAGCTGTCAAAAGTATCTCTCTTTTCTAGAGTGATGTTATAGTTTCCTTTCCGTTATCATTCCTTTTATTTTTATTTTCCTCCCCATCTTATTTTGAATTATTCCTGTCAGCTTTCTCTTTGCTTTTACAAACAAAACACATTCCCTGTAGACTGGGGTGATCTGGCACCTCAAAAACCTCAACACTGGCTCCTCGAGGAAAGATGTGCTTTAAATACCTATTTGAAAGAGAAGAGAATAGATGATAGTCTTCTTACACATTTATCCTACTGCACTTAGCAAGTCTGGAAGTGTCCATAAATAATGGTGCTCCTGTTTCCTGTAGGTTATCAGTGCTGGAAAATTAGCTTTTAAAATGCGGTTTGAAATCCATTTGGGTGATTGATGGGTGACGGGACTAATAAATTTTGCCAGTTTCTAGGAGGCCGGCTTACAGCCATTCTTTATGGTTGTCATGAAGCCAGACACATTTGATGTGGAAAATAAGGGGGTCTCGAACAAACTCTGCTTAATAAAGAATGCTATTGGATGGACAATTTGTTGTTGTTACACAGACAATACAGGCAGCCTGCTTTTCTATTAATGATTCTGAAGAAGGAATTGGGTTTTATCACCTATACTGAAAATTTATTGTCTGCAGTCTTGAAAAATGGAGGTTGGTTGTTAGCTTTTGCAGTATATTAAATGGCACAAATGTGTACCATTAAATGTCTTGCTTGTTCCCCATTTCCCACCATGCTTTTAAGACATGGATGAGCTGTTTGGTGGCTCTGTGCCACCTCAGAAATCCCTTGTTTGAGCGCTCAGTAGCTCCAAGCTGTGAGTCTCCATCAGGAGTGTAGTCCTCCTGTGTACTTTTCGGACCACCCTCAGAGAGGCAGTTCCTTTAGCACGGCACTTTGGCGGAGTCCAAATCCGGTCCAGCACTGACCACATAGTCTAAAATATCACAGGTCCTACTCAAACAGCAGAATACCACATTCAAACTGAAACCATCTGCTAAACGAGGGGAAGAGACATCAAAACGTCGGCATCCAACTCATTAATCAGTCATTGTAACTTGAGGGTTTCATTTGTTGTGCATTTGTTTGCTGTTAAAGACAAATGAAGATATTTTTAGCTTAAACTAAAGTTGTACTCAAATGACCAAATAAAATGCACCAAATGCAGTTAATACTGTTATAACGAAATCTTCAAAGTGGCAGCTTTATCCCCCACTGGCATCTGCTGTCTATTTGCACTAAGAATTAGGGGACATAATCTTCAGCAGTAATCGCCCAGTTGCCTACAGTGGATTTACATTTTTCACACTGTGTAATCTTGCGTTTACAATATCATTTACGTGGGTTTCTCCTTTCCACCCACTGACATCTCTCTTTTCCTCAGTTAAGCTTTGAGGGAGATTGACAGGGGACAAGCTCAAGGCGTTAAGGCTTGGTTTGCATACAGCAGCTCATGATACTGTGTGCATAGAGCGTGTGCACACACACACACACACACACGCGCTCAATTTTGATTGATACTTAACTGAAACTGAGCTCTTGTTGCTGTCAGAGCCCAGCTAAGTCTCCTGAGCCTCTTGATTTCTGACATTTGTAGATATTATATTCATGGTGCAAGGAGGCTGTATTTTGTGATGTGATCCCCTGTAACACTTTAATCTGTTTAGACTGCTTCAATACTGTGGCAGGGAAGGGGGCAGAAACCATACAATGAAATAGACGGCTGCCTGCCAAGGTTTTACTGTATCCTACACGCACTGAAAACGCTCTACTTGGATTTGGACACAGTACCAGATCCAAGTCTTTGTTTGCAGCTTTGAAAGGCTGTTTCTAGTATTTTACCTGTAATATGGAGGTAAAGACAACAATTTAGATTTGAGCATAACGAGTTGTGTTTTACTACATCATGTACTTCATGTTTGTGTAATAAACAGCAATAAAACTGTCTATATGAGTTAAACTGTGTGTTCTCCCCTCATACTGTAGCTGTTGAAGTTCAGCAAAATGAAGCAGAGTGAGTGATGCCATATTTCTTCACATTTGGCTGACAATGAAATAAAAATGAACCTCATGCCAGGCTGATGTAATCACCTCTTACCTTACTGTCAACTGCACACCAATTATTTGAATGATCACTATTTTTTATGTATTACTCTTCCCTGTTAAGAGTAAATTAAAGCAAGACTCTTTTTGCTGCATTTTCCTCTAAAGGAAACATAAAGGCTTTGAAATAGCTCCAGCTAGTGCACAGTTGGAACAAGCAGCACTTAGTAACCTAATGCTAGTCCTGGTGCTTAATGGTTTGCATTAGCTGCAAGCAATAAAATTATCCCAGGTCCTCACTAATGTTGGAATAATCATTTACAAAGATGGTTACCACATGCTGGAACTGTTTTCTTCTTTTTCTCTTTTTTTATGACCCTAATTCGCTGTTATTAATAATGAATAAAAATGCAATTTTCTGTCGGGTTGCTCCAGGGCTCTGGGAATCATTTCAATGAATATTTCAGCACATTATTTTAATCATGGCTCCACATATGCAGGGAGGGGGCTTGTTTTATAGGCTCATGCCTCAACCGCCCCAAGACCCTGATCATTAAACCCCACGCTGTCTGCGTTGAGGTTTCTACCTTTGATTTACAAGACTTGTTAAAAAACATTGTAAAAAAGGAGGCAAGCTGTGCCATTTATACTTGTAATTTGATGCTGTATTTGTTAATGGGAGTGCCTGTGATTTATGTGTGCAGCGGCTGCTGCTGCTGCTCCCTGCTGTTCTGATGCTATAGGCTTTAGCAGAGCTAACATTACTGGGCTTCTGCAGAGCATGCCACTAGTCAGCCTAATAAATCTACTATCTGTGGCCTGATTTTTCTCCTCAAGATGTTTTCCCCTGATAAAGAAGTGGCTGCTGTAATCAGACCATCACTGAGGGGTGCGGGCTCTGTCTAACCTGCCTGTCTTCTTGTCTCTATCATAGTCAGCTGCACGACTTCTGGCGTCTTGACTACTGGGAGGATGACCTGCGGCGGAGGCGGAGATTTGTCAGAAACCCATTTGGCTCCACCCATTTAGATATCACATGCAAGTCACTGCAGGAGTATGGTGAGTTTATCATTTCTCTGTAGTTTTTTTTTAATCTGGTAGAATTAGGGAACTGAAAAGTGTTGCCATTAAAGCATTATAGAAAAAACATTTAAAGGGCACTAAAGTTTAGTCCAGACTTGTCCATATAGTTTAGCATATTCCTTATAGGAGTAATTAATTGTCATTTTTATTGGTAACATATTCATGAGTCCTGTGAATTGAACATGACACATTCATTTCATTGATCTTTTTTAATTCCATCATAACACATACTCAAGAACAAATTAGATCTCTCTCCCTTTGTTGTTTTCTTCTCTTTGTCTAAAACTTTCTTTATTGACCCAGGCACTCTTTTAGCGTTGCCCACCACCTTGTGTCAATTTTTCCTTATGTCATGCAACACCGCCCTTTAAGGGAAAGCAGCTCAGTACTATTAAACACTCTTGGCCCTTCTCTCCTGCATGTAATTGAATAACAGGGCAAATGTATTAATGGCATAGGAGTGAATGTATTGATTTTGAAATGAATGGAGTAAGCACCTCTTTAACTTTATAGAAAATAGAAAACAGGCGATGCATTGTGGTCAGGCTAGCCTTTTTAAAACGGCTGTAGACTTACAGCAACACATGCATAATGATTACAATGTTCGCTGACCTCATATGTGTCTCAGTGTTGAGCTACTGAAGCCGACCGTTGGCTGGACTCAGGATGTCATCTGGCTGCTTTCAGCTCTAGCTCTGCCATGGCTGCTGTACGAAGATCATGGCAGCTCTGTAGATAAACACATGCCAGCTGCTGCCGGAGCTGCAGGTGGTCCATATATGAGACACACATGCAATAATTGCACCTCCTGCTTTAGATTTCGTGGTGGTACCATAAGCTAATTGTGTGGGGTTTTGGTGATGTGTTGATTCTGTTGTGGGGAGTGAGGGAGGGGGGGGTGGGACTAAAGTAAACAAAAGTTACAACTTTAGTGTTTTTAACCTGTTTAGGAATTTTTATGGCTGTTAAAACTTTGCTATCACGAGCAAAGACATTGCATTGCATTGCATCACCATTGCTTTCCTGTAAATACCAGTAAACCTGTAAAACATATCAAAACATCATTAGAAAACTCTCAAACTTCTCCTGCAGCATAAGCTACTTCACTATTGAGCCACACTTTCAGTATGTTCCAAACAATCCTCACCTCACTCATAACTAGTGTTACAAATTTTACAAGGCCTAATAAGCTCTGGCTTCAGCTTACATCTTTTTGGTCATCGTTATAGTGTGTTCTTGACATTTACTCATTATTTTGTAGCTGTTGACGCTCAATTCAGTTCAATTTAGTCCTTCAAATACACTAATTGAGCGGAGTTTCTGAGGGATGCGGAGGCTGTAGTGTAACAGAACAGGAACATTAAGCTATGTTGTATAAAAACTATGACTGTCCTCATCTGCAAAGTTTTCAGAGCTAAGATAAAAAAGCTATTTCATCCATTTCTGTTGCTCCATTTGCTAACTCTCTTGGTTAGCATTGCCCATTGACCTCTTCATCGTGCATTGGCTCAATTTATTATATGTGTGTATTAAATCCTTTAGTGAGTTTTATGGCAGATATCCTCAAGACAATGCCACAAATGCATATCATGTTAGTTAGGCCATCAAATCACCAGAATATGTTTTTCATAAGTTTTCTTATGTTGTTTGACATTAGAGCCTTTGTGTAGTGGACTGAAGACTTGCTGAAGTCCTGCTGGCGCGCGTTTTAATGAGCAGAATAATGCATAAACTTGTCAAGTGAAAGGGATCGCCTGTGGTCGGATGGCCCGCTTGCTCTCCTTGAGAGGTGAGCTGCACTTTCAGGCTTTTTCCTGCAGGCTTTGATGTGGTTGCACAGCGGAGGCCAGGTTTTGTTATGAGTTAAAATGAGAAGGATCTTTTGTTCTTTTTTAGAGCTGCAGTAGATTTTGTTGGCAGTGACAGTTGGCAGTTTTTGTTTTAGATATACTTTGACAGTCGGTGTGTTTTTTTATGAATATTCACTTTTAATTAGCATGGTATTAAAGATAGGACCCGTCTTTAGCAGACAACCCTGGTGCAGAGGCTCAGAGGTTGGATATCCATTAGTCATAACATCCAGACTTTGTTTCTGGGATATGACAAGGAGTCTATAGAACTTTTTAGTAGGTTCCCGGCTGCATAGGCACCAGAGTAGAAAAACAAAGAGGCTTGTTTGAGTTGGCCCTTGAGAGTCATTATTAAAGCTTTAAAATCTGAGACTATTGGAGAACCACTAGGTTGTCCAAATTGAATACACAGTTTCTGGTTTGACAGCAGGATATGACAATATACACTCAGCCACCATCTTGAGTTTGAAGAGGGCAAACATACACTGTTGTGTTCACAGTAAATGTCAGTCTTTTGAGCTCACTTGGGGAAAATGAAAGTGAGTAGGATTTTTTTTTTTTCACAAAGAACATTTCAGTGAGTGAGTGGCCCACATCATTTTTGACAGCACCTAAGAGTCTCACAATCCTCAGTTTTTTCTCTGAGCTATTAAGAAATTTTTTTTTTCCAATCCAAGCTGAAACCGAATATATATCATCTTCTACTGAAACTATTGAAATTAACAGTCTTTGAGAGTGCAAATGTCGAACGGAGGCTTTTTTAAAAAAAATCAAGTTGATATATTGGCAAATCCCGTGCATCAGTGTAACCTTTTTAATCACTTTTGTGCAACTTGTGTGTATGTGTATGTGTATGTGTGTGTATGTGTGTGTGTGTGTGTGTGTGTGTGTGTGTGTGTGTGTGAGAGAGAGTGTACATTCATGGGCGTGCGTGATGGGAGGTTAAACTCTGCCTTAAACTCTGCCTCGTTGTCTATTAGCAGCATTGACAGCTTAGCCAGCACATTCTGTCTCTGCCCTCTGCCTGTAATAACCTGCCCTGTTACAGCCAGCCACGGCCCAGTATCAGGGTATATTGTTAGGTGATTGGAACTGGGCAAGCATGAAATGGAAGTCACGTTAATATTGATCCAAGTGTTTAACGGGGTGTTTTACCTCCGGGTGTCCTTGCTGTCTCATTTCAGGTGAGCAGCTTCTCTCGGAGCTGATTGCCCCAGGCAGAGATCTTTATAGCTCTTTCCAGCAGCAGAGGCATCAGCCTCGTGATGTGATATTAACCTTCTCCAGCTTTATAATCAAACATATTAAACTGTGACAAATGACATCAGGGCATTTACTAGCATGCAGATCTGCACACTGGAATGCAGCCATTCAGTAAATACATGATATGCTCTGAAATGGTTATATTGAGTAACTAATGCTCAGGTCCAGATGGGGATTATTAGACACTGCTGTTAATGTTTTGATGGAGAGAAGATGAGATTGTTTGTAACCTCTGGCAGCACAGTAGACACGCACTGCACATCCCAGGATATTGAATAAAGATCACCCCAAGAGGAAGCGTCTGCACTATATAAACTTCCCTACATCAAAGTTATAATGTTTACTTTTACAGTCTCAAAACACATACTCTGCAATACGGATGGCTTGCATCACAGGAAGTATGAAGCTGTCATTTTTTCCCCTCATTTAATCTTTCAGTGCAGAGTAAATAAAAGTGAAGAGACAGAGGGCAGAATTGCATCGCCCTAGCAGTAATGCAATCCCATGGACTGGACTTTTTCTCTCCATGTGGAATGTGGAGCCTGTGGAGAGGGTGCGTGGGAGGGCAGGATCTGAAACGGTCTGGGAAACGGAAGAGATATATTTAAAACATTCTATAGAGCTCACGTTATATGGATGTTAGTGTGACTGCACAAAACACTGATGTACATTATAAGATAGTGTAGTAAATAAGCTATGGAACTGAGGCTTAAACTAATGCATGCTATCTACAGAGATCTGACAGAATGAGACACAAAACAGAACAATTCCTGCTAAAACCCAAGAGTTTAAGATCTGCTTCGTAGTATTTGTTGGCTGGACCGGCCAGGGTCCAGCGCAACATCCTCAAATGTGAGTGAGTGATAGAGTTGAGTTTGTAATGAAGTTATACCATTAGTTCGCTCTTGGAAAATGGTTTAACATGAACGTTTTCACTTATGTAATCAAGAGGCGTTTACAGTGGATCCACAACAGTTTTTACTTTCATCGAAGCAGCAGTTTGTTACCCAGACGGAGGCTGTGTGAGCCATTGTCTTTAATTTATGTGTTTGGTGATTTTGTCAGAAAACGTCGTGGTTAGAAAATCAGGATTTGAGCAGTGCAGAGCAGCAGCTTGGAAAAGGCTTGGAAGTTAACATATAGTTTTAATGGGCTGCGTTTCAGTCACTATTTCAAACTTGTTCCATTGTGTGACAACAGAAACAGAAAAACAAATGAGAACAGCTTTATTGGGAATTTGACTGTATTGAAATACCATATATGAGCACGGAGAGTATTGGAGAGAAGCAAACAGATGAAACTGTCTAACACTAAGCTGAATGCAAAAATGACATGATGAATTCATGAATAAGCCAATTAGCATATTACGTCATCTAGTGACATTTAGTGGCTTTTCCCAACAGGCTTTAGCGTCTGTCCATTCAATGTAGTTGTTTACAGCAGTTTTCAACTACGGCTTCAACTTTGCACATTGATCATATACGATCCAGCAATATAGTAGTTTTCATCATATTTAGAAAGAGGTCAAGATAATTTTGTGTTTTTAGCTGTGTCCATAATGATGCCTGTTGAATCAAATGACAAACATTATGTGATTTTTACAAGAGCCATGTATTTGCCTTTTTTTTAGCACATTATCCAGATCTTTCCTTGCTGATCAAGGCACTTCATGCAAACCTGAGGTATTTTGTGTTTTATTTATAGTTGTGTATATTGAATTACCCAAAGTATTTGTGAAATCAGCTTTTTTTTTCTCCTAAGTTAGTTGAACGTTAAGTAAAACATGATGTTGTGGATTTTTTTTGAGGAGAGGCGGTGAAGTGGTTGAGGCGGGTGTATAATACATAGGAGACTTAGAAAAACACATGCTTGCTGGCTCTACTGAGGCTATAAAAATGAAAGGCCAGTGCCACAAAACTCTCCAGCGTTGCAGTATATGAAACACGGACCCTTGGCAGCAGTATTATAGTTGATTCAACAGTCTTTTAAAGGCCTTTCAACTCTTATCTATTCCATACTGAATAGTAAAACTACCGAACACTGAAATATTTTCAAAATATGAGCCTTTATGTAAGATTATAAAGTTGTAAAAGTTTGAATTGGAGTTTAGCTTGTTCGCAAGAGAATACATTTACTTGGTTTCATCACTCTTTGACTGAGAAAAAATATCCTTAATTTTTGTTTTATGTAAAACAGAAAATACTGCTGCTCATGCATGTTCTGTTTTTATGCAACTCGAGTTTTCATTATAATGGTGAGAACAATGAAATTCACACTTTAACTTTCTGGAAAACTGTCACCATTACCAATAAAAAGTTCTAAGTACTCTCCCCTGTGCTGCTTCTATCAAAACAAACAGCCTTTTTTCTCCTGAACTGATTATTCACTGGTTTACAGTACAAAAATCCCTTGTTGTGTTGTCCCGTGTTTCAACAGGAATTACATTGCGTTAAAGAAGTAAAGAGGCCATTTTATGGCCTCTTTAAAAAGAATCACATCCCTTTTTAATGACTCTCAACATTACAATATAGATATATTTTCAAAATTAAAAAAAGATACAATCAAATGCCAGGAGGTTTGTAAGATGGGCACATTGAAATAGCACTTCAGCAACAACTGAAACTTACTCACATCATTAAGTTAATATATAAACTAAAAAGGTTTCTTGGACTCCAGGTTGACATTTAAAATATGAAAGATTTATTTTGACCCATCAGGTCATCCCATTACCTGAGCTTTGTCATGGAAAATGCATTGTAAAAGAAGTCCAAAATGTCACCCAACATTATGTTTTTAAAATGTAAACATTTTCAGTGTGTTGTCAGGAAAACTGTACACAGTGGGCCATTGGTAGATTGTCCTAGAAGGAGTTTGGGACCATGGGTCCCAGTTGAACCCCAATGCTTAGGGACGGCCTCCGTTGGTCACAGCTGGCACGTCTTTATCAGCCTCCAATGGGGTCACGAAAACTCTGCAATGCACTTTACTGAGTGTAATTAGTGCACTCCGAGGCAGCTTCAACTCAGTGATTGAACAATAGGACCCGTGAGACTGGTGATCGGTGGCTTCTCTTGGCACTGCTCCTGAAGAGCTTGAGAGCAGACATGAAATGGAACTGCTGTGATTCTTACAGAGAAGTTCAGAAGTCAGTGGCAGTGGCTTCTGATTGACTGCTCACTTCGCAAGGTTAATTAGATGGTATAGCATCATTATACAGTGACACAGCATGTTCCTTTCTGTGATATAAATTTGAATGTAATGAATATTGGTTATAAATGCACATCTCATAGGATTTGAGAAATAGATTTGACACAATTTGAGTGTACTTGAAACTAAATCCTACATCTGCAATTGTATTGTTGGTAGTTTTGTAATTTGTTGTCATTTGCACAGGACCAACATAACAGTATTCTGAAGATCGGTTCAGTATCCTACTGATCATGTGTGGAGTTTAACCACAGTTGAATTCAAGGATGATAAAATATAAAAACAACTGAACAAAGAATGAGTAAATCCTTCAGTATTTCAGTATATGGTCATTGGAGTTGCACATAGTATCTACACCAGCCTGCACTTGTCTCTTGTTGTTTTTAATTTTAGGTCACTCATAAGAGTTAGATCATATATTCAAAGGGTCATTCTTTTTGTTTTACTCTACAGTGGTCAGGGGTGAACAGCTTTTTAATGCTTCGGCTTTGACACTGCTGCACAGCAAGTGCTGTAATAGTGACAAATTGTGACTCTTTTCACTGCAGCACTTTTCATACAATAATGTCCCCAATTCCACAGGCTATCACTCATGAGGAGATCACTTTTCATGTCAGCGCAGTTTCTCCTTCATGTCATAGCTCTTCATTTCTTGTTATTTACAGCCATATTACTTTGTCTTTGAGCGCTAAATTGCATTGTGGGTAAAGCTGGTCTGCTACCCCTACAATGGTTGATGTTGGCCATTTGCGTGTAGAAATCAGCACAGTTTATTTGGTCTACTCAACCCTGTACAGACTTGCCAATCAGAACATCAGCCCGTCTGCGGAGCTTTCCCTCATTTACTTGGAGCATAATGATGGTTTACAGAATTACAGTTTTAAGTTTCACTCGTTCTGCTTTGATCTCTGACCGCTGGCTGGCTTTTGCCTTTAACATTACACAGAATTCATTTCCGAAACTTACAGACTTCTTCCCTCTGTCTGATGAAAGCACTCCAGATATGAGACAGAGCAGGAAGCAGACTTTTTTCTCAGTAGCAGTGTTGACAACAGTCAAATGTGACCTCTTCAAGACAAGGTACACGTTCCTCAGGGGAGGGAGAGGCGAATTAAGAACCATGCTGAAAGGAAACATGTCAGACGGGTGTCAGCCACCTCCCATTTCTTGATATGTGTTCTTCCTTTTCGTACACGCGAGTTTCTCCTCTGGTTATTTCCTACACTGGACTTCAGAAAGACAAATTCACATAAATGTTTCGAGCAGCCGTGTGGCAGGCACATGTTGGAGATGGGCTGATTTAAGCTGATAAATGTGTTGTGAGACCTCTTTGTTTTTCACGATGTATGAACACATCTTTTTCAATAAACGGGCTCTAGTCTAGCTATATGATGGAGTCCTGGTGTAAGCAGCCTCCTAATTGCGCTGTCTGTTCAGTCTCACTCTTGTCAAGTCTCTAAAAGCGGCAAATGATATTTTCTAATCGACTACGAGCTCGAGATGTATCCCCCGACTCAGCTGTTGGTCTTTCAAGATACGGATAGTGTTTCATTGTTGACCTTGTCTAAAAATAAAAGCTGAAAACTTCTGATGTTCACCCATGTGAAATGTATTCAGTGAACGAATGTGTACTGTGACATTCTTTCATATGCTATGGCAAGTACATTAGTGAGCATCTCATTTCGAGTTCATCCTGCATATTATTGTGTATTTCATACAGAGATTGTCCATGCTTTATTTCCTTTTTCATATTTGACTAGATGTTATGCATTTTAAGACCCTATAAAAACACATTCTGTTGTTTGAACTTGTGGATATGCCCAAATTTGGTTAGAATAGACCATGGCTCATATTGAGAAATGTGGTTATGACGCCTAATTTGCTCAGTTATTTTGAGGTTTGTTTGTATAAATCTACAAATATTGTTCCAGTATTACTTGGGGTCTGCATGAGTAATAATTTATTTTTCATACTTTTGAAATGTAATGTGAAAACAATTTACATTTTTCACAAGGATGATTAGTTACTGTGCGTGTGTCCGTGTGTCCGTGTGTCCGTGTGTGTGTGTGTGTGTGTGTGTGTGTGTGTGTGTGTGTGTGCGCGTGTGTGTGTGCGTGTGTTCTGTCCATTTAAGCATAGTGACGGATATCTTTTTGAGCTTCAGAGGCCAAAGTGCAATATTTAGTGGTCTCTCTACACCATAATTGTTTTTACAGGTACAGAGGAAGATGAGTTGGTCAAGTCTAAGAAGGCCTTCCGCAGCCAAACTGTGGCCAGCCAGAACCCTGAGACAGAGCTGATACTTGATGGAGACGATGATGCTGTCAGCCTGCTGCAGGAGAAGGAGATGGACAACCTGGGTGGTAAGTCGGCACACCAGCACCTCCTTTAATCCCAAGTCAACATCACCTCTGCTGAAGTGTCAGCACTTGTCTGTTATCTGTCTTCTTCTGAATAGCTGGCGTAGTTACTGTATACATGATCAATATCAATGCAACAAATGAATTGTTCAGTAGTCAGTGTAGTAGCTGATCTAAATATTTTGCATTAGTATTATTAAGTGTTCAAAATGTATTTATGTATTAAAGGTGTGAGTTTACTGTTTGGGTTCTGCAGTTCACCTTCAGTGTAGTTGAGGAGTCAAAGCCTTCGTCTCCGTGTTCTGATCTGGAAGTTTATACGTTTGACAGCTACATTTTTGTTTTGGTCTGATGAGTGTCCCTCTCTGCTTTGTTTTGGGTCTCTTCAGCACGGTTCCTTCCTCGTGTGTTTATCTCCCGAGGCAAGTCTTGTAAAGTTAAACTAACACCGGAAAGATGATCAATCCAGATATGTCAGGATAGGATTTTCCAAGCAACCAGTGATTAAAGTTCATATGAACCACTGCTTGTTTATTCTTAACTTTACAGTGGCCTTATTTAATCCATTGACCTACTAATGTAACCTCAGTGGTAGGATGACACCATTCAAAATCTATTTGTATAAATTGAGTTCTTGTGTTTTGATCATGTTGTTAAAGTCGTTTTTACACTACAGCATTACGGTGTAATGGAAATGCCATTGCCCTATTGGTCATTACGTTTTAATAAGGCCACAGTAAATGTCACTTATTCTAATCAAAGTGATCTGCGCTACGGCACCTGATAACACCAACTCTTCTTACAAATCTCTGGATGATACTGATTACACATTATTTAAAAGGACTTAATCTTGTGTGTAAATCTTATAAGATCAGATGCAACATTTCATTACTCTGAATCAAAACCCTGCATCATAATAACACACATAATCAAACACATATATCTCTATAAATATTGTTAATATAACAAACGAATGGATTATTTGACAGTTAGAAATGATTTTTATTTAATCAAACTGTAAACTGGACAAATGAATGTATACATTTATTTTCCCAGTGCATGTAATTCATTCCATGGAAAAAAAACCACACCAATTAATTTTCCTAATTTAAAATGTGTTAAATTTTTACTATACCTTGAAGGGCCTTGCCAAGAAAATAGCATATAATGTGTCTTTTCCTTGTGAATGTGAGCACTTGGATGCTAAGGGAGAGCAGACAAAAACTTAATTATTCTGCAATTAAACTAACGCTCTGTCTCTACAGCAATCATAAAGAGATTAATGGTCCCTTAATAGCTAATGAAAGACAAATATAGTATTAGATTAAAATTAATCTTTGATTTATTTTAGCCATGTGAATGTTACTGTGTTTCTATCAGCTTTGATACTTTGTCTGACACAGTTCAGTCAATAGTGCAACTTACTGCCAGGGTGACGGTTAGCCAAACCTCCTGTAATTTAACCAGCATCACACTCCATGTGTGAGCCAAACTATCAAGCCAGAATTGAGTTGCTTTTCAAGTAACTTTGCCATGGCTATGAAAGGTAAGTCATCCAGAGTTCACTTGTGTTTTGAGGGGAGATCAATATTGCTGCACTACATCCTCGTCAGTAAAGCCAAATCCTCACTTAACACGTCATGCAAATAGTTGGTGGTTTAAATAAGCAGAATCTGTTACTGGTTTGATGCTTAAATGATATGACTTCTTAGAAAAATATAAAGTAATATTCATCCCTGGCAGCTGTAATCAATTCCAAAAACAGTTCTTATATTCCAGTGACAAAGAATAAATTAGTAAAGAATTCATTTCTGCTCTGATGGTGAAAACCATCGTTATCACTCTTGTTGTCACTGGATGCTGTTTTATTTTAGGCCGTTGTGGCTTCAAATGATGTAAAATACTGTAGGACTATGTATTGTATATACTATTGTTTTATCTATATTATTATCTATATTTGTAATACACACAAACACACACACACACACACACACACACACACACACACACACACATACACATATATGTTGTGTATTATTATTTGTGTATGGATAGGATAAGGACTGCCACTGAATTGCATGTTAACAGTAACAAATATGAATACATGTGCGTAATGGATTAATTCCAGGTGTAAATTGTATGAAAAAGCCTGAGACTCTAGATTCCCAGACACTTAAATAATAATCTGTTTCATAGCCCTGCATATATTACCCAGTTATCATGGCTCGGTAAATGAGGCTCAGGCTGAACCAGGGCACAATGCTGAGCAGTGAAATCCTCTCTAAGATCCCACAGATGAATCTCAGAGGAGGAGACTAACCCCTCCTCTTTGTCCCAGAGCCAGCAGGCAGCCAAACACTGTCTGTCAGATGAACCCTGGACTGCCCGATCAAAAGAGCAAGGCAAGGGCTAAAACACAAGCAGAATGTATTCACGTGAGAGAACTAATAACGACCTTGTACGAAACAGAAATGTTGAGACTGAACATTTGTGATGCACTTAAGATGTTTAAGCTTGTTTAAAATTATGAACCAAACATTAACTTTGCAGAACATTCATGATCATTTTTTTTTTTCTGTGTGTGTGTGTCTGTGTTGAATCAAAGTTGAATTCATTTTTTTTTTTTTTTACCAATAGGGGAGCTCCCTCACACTGTAACATTTGGGTAATGTTTTTACCAGGATGCACTGTCTGTGCTTGGCCAGTATCTAATCTCAGGCATGAACAGCCTTAATGAGAGATCTGGGACTAGATCCTGTCAACAACAGTGCTCCTCCTGCCAGCCGTTGGGTCAGTGCGGGCTGCTGCTGCCAAAGGGGCGGCGCCTGCACTCAAGGGCCCGGGCAGTAGTGGTTACTGAACCTATGATTAGTTTTGCTCCCCCACAAACATTGGAAATGCTGTCTGTGCATGCACTAGCAATAAATGCCTTTCTGTATGCACATATTAGAACCAAAATCGGGTAAAATAGAAACTTAAGATGAGCATGTGAAAAGCTCACATGCAGGAGTCGGTACATTTGACTGTTCTGCTGGCTTACTGGAGCCGTGTTAGTCTATCCCCCAAAGTGAGGTTTAGCAGCCACAACCATTTTGTTTTGTCTTAATTTAGCCTCTCTGTATCTATTTTAGTCCTCATTCACAATACTGAGCCTTTGACTTGTGACATGTTTATAAGAGACTTAAACCAACACAACATTTCTCAATATGAAATCTCAGGGGGAAAAAAGTGAAAGAAGTGTGTTATTCTGCATTTTGCATTTTGCATAACCAACTTCCCCAAGTTTCTTTTCTTTCTTTTTTTAATTTATATATTTTTTTAATTAAAATATCTACAAGTCCTTAATATAAACAGAAAATGCCTTAGATCAAAACAAAAATATAAAAACAACAGTGGAAAATGTAATTATTTATGTTAAACATTTAGGTATTTTTCTGTTGATTTTAAATTTAATTATTGTATGCTGCAGCCTTATTAAATATACCACAGTGCAATATAGATTTCTCTGGGCTTTTATACATCAGTGTTATATGCTGAAATATAATGCATGCTGTGAAAACTGGGTAAAAAAACGAGCATTGTTTCAGTGACTCAGATGAACAAGGCACTGTTTTTCAGATACTCGGCAGACAGTAGGCTATAATGGCAGCAGCTGCGTATGCGTGTGTATATGTGTGTGTATCTATTATAAGTCAACATGTACGTGTTTGCAAGTAAATGATAGTGCTCAGGTGTGCAAGTAACCCACTTCCACTTATATTTCTCATGATGTAAAATATAGAAGCAGTTGGCCTAATCAAACGCTGCAGTCCAGCGGATGGATTGTGGGTAATAATACACCCATCTTCTCGGCAGTTCTCCCAAACTCCCACCACACCAAAATGAGACTTTTCATCACTTCATTAAATTGGCCTGTCATTTGACAAATATTTGCATTTTCATAAAAAAAAAAGGCCCAACAGCTGGGTGTTCCCAGCTTTAGCCTATATACACCACTCATCCTGTGTAACTTGCCCTTAATTTCATTATTCTCATGTAAACATTTTAATGCCATATAGCCTAATTATGGAAGGATCCCTGAGGGGATTACTGCCTAATCCTCTTCCTCCCTATGAGCAATGGATGTTGTGGCTTAATGCTTCAGGCTAGTGTCTTTCTCTATGTGTAGCCCAGTGGGGCCACAATATAGTGCACCAGTTCTATGTGTTGTTTTTAGTAAGAGGTGAATGGGCTTGTAATTTAGGGGCTGGGAAATAAAGACAATCTACTATTATTGTAGCGGAAAGAGTTAATGCCACAATAAGGTCAATTGGCAGAAAAATAGACTAATAAAAATTATTTGAAAAAAAGCCTAATAATAGTTTTACATAAATACTTTCACTTCTCAGTGACGTGCAAATGTTTTTTTTTTCTTTCCTTGTTTATTGTAAGCTATCCTCTTTACCCTCTAAATGCACTAAACGTTATCTGAAATGCAGTAAAACAGGATGAGGTTACTGCGAGTATTTACTTTTCATATGAAGCTTGTAAGCAACGTGTAGCGCCTGGGCTGATAGCATCAGCAGACGGGATCACCGTTAATGGACCCGAGCAACGCTGAGAAAAAAAATCCAGGGAGGGCGGTTTGACTGTGCAGCCTGCAAGAGCGATGAAGGGGCGCTCTGGGAGTTGAGACCGAAATCCACTTGTATTCCTGTAACACTATCGGCCATAATTGGCTGAGCAACGCAGATTAAGATTGATGAGACATTAAAGTGGCTCTTTGGAGTTTAAGGGATCGATAAATATCCTGATTTCGAGAGCTTTCGTTTGAGAGCAGACAAATCACTGTAACGGTGCTCCACAGCGACACTGATCTGAGAACATGGAGGATGAAGCAGAGGCGGAGAGAGAGGGAGGGAGGAGACTGAAATAAAGATGTGATCACTATCAGCTGACCCGGGTCACAATCCCACCTTAAAATTCTGGACAATTATTCCGTCTTAAAAACAAGCTTGTAGTTTTATTGTTTCCCTGCATGTCATGTAAAGCAGGGACAGCCTGGACACCTGTACTGCAGATGCCTCATGGCGATATAGGCTCTGACCATGAGAGGCAAATAAGGATTAGTTTATTTTATGTAAACTAATGAACACCTTATTTCCCAATAGTGGTGGTTGTTTTCGTTATGATCGCACCATTTGATAAAACATTTTTGTTATCAGTGCATCACTGGTTTACAAACAGGTACAAATAGGTATGTTCTGATGACACCTCCATCTATTTATAGGTCTGATGAATCCACCGCATTGTGCGCATATGGAAGTGTGCAATACAAAGACAAAAAGGCGTATCAACGCCTTTGTTTTATGGCACGATGAAAACTACAAAAATGAAAAGTTTGACGGAGCTGTCATAATGCACAATATCTGACTGAACTGCGAGAATTCATTTTAAAATTCTCTAATGTTTCTAAGCGCAGATTGTTCACGCACGTAGCGGTGTGGTGTGATACACAGAGGCCGCTGGCATGATGGTATCCCCCTGTAATCGCATTTATCAGTTTCACAGAATTAACCTCACTCAGCTTTGCTTTGAATATGTTTTTGCGTGTTACTGATTCAGCATGTGGCTGCCCCCTCTGCACTCTGCAGGCCCAGTGGTTCTGAGCAGCCCGGCCCAGCTTGTTGCCCCTGTCCTGGTGGCGCGGGGGACCTTGTCCATCACCACCACCGAGATCTACTTTGAGGTGGATGAGGATGACCCTGCCTTCAAAAAGGTCGACCCAAAGGTAAGTAACACGCAAGCGAGTGTGCAGCCCAGGTTTGAAACGGGCACTTTGGTTTCCGACATGCCTCACTTTAGATTTTTTTTTTCTCCAGGTATTAAATATTCACTAGTTTTTAAATACACATTTTTGATATATGATGAGGATGCGCGGGTTGCAGATAAGGTTTTCGGAGGTGTGCTGCGCCTCTGTCCATGCTCTGTTTTGCTTTTTTTTGTATTATTAAATTACGTTTGTGGCCAGAATTTTATTATGAATCACGATTAATTTCTATTTTGTGTGTGTTAATTTGCTGTATTATTAATGCATTTAAAAAAAAAAAATCATATAATGACCTCTGAGGTCTACTCATCCTGCAGACTCAACCATCAGACAGCGTTGACAGATGATCAAGTTATGCCAAGTTAACTGGTTATTCACATAATTAATAACGCAAATTCCTTTCACAGGAGGTTGGGGTTTAAAAAAAAGCCCAAACTGCTCTGCAGGGTTACAGATCTGGTTAAAATGCTGTGAATGGAAAATATTCCTTTTTTCCTCTATTTTCCTTTTTAAAGTGTCAAACTCCTCTAGGTAGAACACCTACATGAGCCAGAGACCCGAGATTAAAAGTTCCATTACATTATTATTGCATGTTAGGCCTCACTACCTCACTGCTGTCAAAATCACATTTAATAAAACCATAATGGGACACAAATATAAAACAGCTCGTTTTATTAGCTCTTTAAATTAGATCAAAGACAAGAAATTAAAAAATCAGATCACAGATGTTATAATCCAGTGTATTTCAAGTGCATTTTTTTTCAATTAAACTGTAATATATATATATACTATATATGTTATCATTTTCATTTTTTTATCATGTAGGCCTAAGCATGGTAGAGAAAAACAACAACCAAAAAAAGTTCGAGTACTTTAAATAATAATTCAAGTAAATTGATGGAATGTTTTCATTGTAACAAATGTCGTACGCCTACCATCAAAATGTAAACTTTCAAAAATTAGAAAATGTCCATTGAAACAGATGAATCAGACTACCACTGATGCAAGTATAAATTAATAACGTTTCTACCAGATAAAGAAAAAAGCTCAGAAGTAGATTTAAACAGGTGGATCCTATTTACGTGTCACAGAACAACATTCACAATTTCAGACCACTTGAATCACAATGTATGAATGTATTTACAGTATAAAATGTACACATGTGTGTTTTTATTTTTTCCAAAGTTTGTCACGGGGCTTTATTTTAAAGCATTTAAGGAAATGTAGGGTTTAGGCAACCGTGTGGCACGGATAGAAAAGAAACCACTGCTGAGGTGGCCTCCTGATTTAATGGTGGCCAATAATTTAAACTTACTCCTAAATATTGACACCGCCAAAAGGTGCATGGGGACAATGACAAACTAAACTGTTATAAAAATCATCTTGAAACAGGCTAGGCCAAAACATATTCAACAACAGAGGACAGCCACATTTCACAAGACTTTGCAAACTGGTTGGCAATATTTTTTCTGTCCGTTAATAAGCTCATTAGGCCTCTTTACCACAAATTGTAAGACGAGCTTAACTATTATATTTTTACCTCAGAGTTTCTCCAAGCTTTTGGGGTTGGTCAGTATTTCTCTTGCCAGTCGCCAAGTCTGTTTGGCTGCGTTCTCTAGAGCAGAGTGAGGTTTTCCTTGAAACAGGTCTAAATTGGGCAGGAAATAATGCGGGCACCTTCTGCATTGCAAACATGAAATAAGCTGCAATAGTATCCCGTTCAGGCGGTCGCCGAGGCAGTTCTCATCCCAGTCCGACTCCCTGGGATGCTTCTCACACTCGTAGGAAACCAAAGTTTTCATGTGGTAGTTGTTGAGGGGTTGTCCGGGCAGTTCGAGGTGACGGTCGCGTAACGCTTTGAGGACTGACAAGCATTTCTTCCTGCATCCACCCAGGAGGAGCCGGTTCTCGGCCTCGGCGAACTGCAAGACCCAGGCGTCGCTCTCCGCTGAGCTCTGCTTGCCGTTCAGCGAGTAGCACTCTTTGGATAAAAGATTGAAACCCTCCGCTTTGACTTCTGCCACTCGGTTAGGTCCCGGCCAGGGGATGTGAGGGAGAGGCCAGTGCGCAGCACTTCGCGGCCAGATCCCAGTGCACTTGAAAGCCGGCGTGATTTGCACCACGTATCTGTCTCTAATGCGCAATTTCACCTCACTCGTGTCAGCGACCATTTTGACAACATCTCTGTAGCTGCATTTATCCACTGCCTGCGCCACCAGTGTCTGAAATCTCGACCGGATCTTGCGCGCCGAGAGGTAACCAGAGGCTGTGATGAATTCAACCCAAAGAGACATGCTTCTCTTGCGGCCGTCGCTGAGCTTGAGCACGGCGCAGCCCGGGAGAGACCCGTCATCCACAAAGTTGAATACTCCCATCTGATTCAGATAGAGCACAACCTCGAACTCGGTGGGTGAAATGACCTCCAGTCCCTCGAAACGATTATCCATCTCGCTGAGAGAACTGATGAAGCGGGGCTCCTGCACCTCGACCTCCTTCAGGACATCCGAAACCACCTTGCACACCTCCCGGATGGTCTTGGAGATGGCTGCTTTTCGAGACTGACATTTCTCGTTGTAGTATTTGTTGAGGTGATACACCAACTTTGCCTGGGCGGCTATCATATTAGGGCAGAGATCCGGGTTATACACCGGAGTCTCGCAGTAAGCCGAGGGATCCAACGCGGCTGTTTGTACGGGAGCCAATTTTAGAGAAGAAAGAAAGCTATTTAAAAAGAAAAAAAATGTCTATTTATAAGACAACTATTCAAAGCTGTGCACAGAGCACATGCGTAATAATCATATCACAACATTCACAGCTGTTATATCGTAAAATGCATTGAAGTGCACGAAGCAAATCCTCTAAATTATCAGGATGGCCTGATTAAAAGTCCATTTCAACCTTGTGAGCTTCAGTAGCCGAAAAAATGGCTTTTGGTTTGTCTCTGATCACTGTGCCAGTTAGGAGTCCGCGTAATTGCGCAGAGTTGAGTGTGCCCTCCTGACGCAGACGCCCGGTGTTGCTGTGTTTTACAACAGGGAGAGACACACACACTCTTTATTATAAGGGAGGAGTTGAAACCAAGATGTCCAATCGCTGTCGGATGCGTCACCGCTTCCCAGTTTATCGAAAACAAATTCATCCTCGGGTGTTATATACAAGTAAAAAGTACAGGTAGTAGTAGTATATCGAGGAGCGGAAGTACACCTACGCATTTGGAGAGAAGAAAAAAAAAACAGCATTTTCACTGCGTTGCGTTGCTTTTCCTTGGACTTTATCTGCTGCTTTTTTAAGTCTGCTATATTGAAACATATATGAAACAGTAGGTGGGTTTAGAATTGCTAAAGTGTTTATGTCTTCGGAAAATAAAACATTTAAATTTGCCGCAGGTCTGTTATTTAAATCTCTTCTTTTTTGTTCAGGGCACCGAATCTAATTTCTTCCACACAGATAGATTAAAATAGAACGGAGTCATTTCGGGAGTTTTTGTTACGCAAAGAATATTTGTATTTTGTAAATGAGGTTTGTCTTATTTGCACGTTTTGGTTTTGAAGCAGTATATTAATAAAATTGATTTGATCAGTTAGGCATCTCAGGATTAGTTAATTTATTGGACAGCCTGTTGAGGAAGCGACCAGGCTTATTTCTGAAATATGAAAAAGTTATGGCGCTAATTAATATTTAGCATTGTGATTATATTTGACACATTAATTATCGTGGCTGTGATACAGGAGAGAGTTTATATCTCAAAGCTTGTGTATTAACCTGCAGATTGAGGTGTATTTGTTTTGCTCTGTGCTGTGCAATAATCCCACGCGCCAGTATTTTTAGCCATTTAATTAACATAGCCTCGATTGTAAAAAAACACAAAAAAATAACGGTAACATTTGTGATCTTAACACCAAATTTCTTTCTTACATTTCTCCAAAATGAAAAGTATCTTAACCAAGAGCAGAATGTATAAAAGTGAATGAAGAGTGAATCTGTGCTTTTATGATTATCATTTTATATTTGAAAATACTTGTTCCATTGAAATTAGTATTTTCAAAAATAGCAATAATCCAAATTAATTGTTATAATGAAGACAATAATATACATTGGTCTTCTATGATCTTGGTAATGATAAATGTATTTATTTACTTCAACAACAAGATAATAATAGCAGCAACAAAACATTAAAAGCAAAAAATACATGGTTTGAGTGTTTAAAAAGATAAGAAAACTAAATATAAAAGATTAATTGCTAATAATTCTAAAAATTAAGGTTGACATGGTTGATCATTTTATATAAAGTCCCATGATGTATCAGTGTATTGTTTTTAGGCACAGCTGGTCTGATACAGACAGTGATTCACAAGAAAGAGATCTTGCCTCCACACTAAACCCTCTCTGGCTCTCATCATTGCACTGGCACTCCGTCTCTCAAGGTACAGTGTCTGCTTTGAAGAGGACTTCAAAAAGATAATGCTGCACGGATCAGATAAGGAACACAAAGGCATTTACACTCATCTCTGCTCTAGTCAGAACTGCATACGACCAGACATTATGAGGGCAAACCGCCGCTCGTTAGCTCTGACTCTCACTACATGGATGCGGCTGAGCGGGAGGTGGCGTGTGCAGGATGGACCGTGATAGATAGGTGACTCCCATTATCATCACAGCCTGTCATGGACACACTGCCACTAGCTTCTTGGCAGGCCCCAGTGATAATTTCACACTTACTTAGTACACATGCAGATATGGAAAAGCATCTTTTGTTTTTGGGACATGATAGACGTCTGCATAAAGGTTTATTCTGAAAATTAAATAATAAGATTAAGTCTATATTCTAGTTGTTGTCACAGGTCTGATTTAAGTTCACAACCAAAAAATTATATTTTTACTGATATATTTCTGCAGGATATGGAGTATATTATGGAAGGTTTTCATGTGGTGAGAGGTAGCTAAAAGCCTCTTCCCCTCTCAGGCTTTGATAGTCTTTCCTCTCACTCTCTCCCACTGTCTGTAGCCCAGCAGGTACTTGCCTTTTATTGAAACCAGACTAGCCTCACTTTCCAGGCAATCTTGCTCCAAGTCAGATACCTCGGAATCCAGTTGCACCTCTTGAGTTTGTGCTCCAGCCTTTTGCCATACGTATGCGTGATAGAAGGGGGGATTTTCATTGAGATTATCACCTCTTAATCTAAAGCATGTGGCTGCACAGATCTCACAGTAACTCAACCTGCTCTGTAGTCCCAAGACTCCAGCAGTTGTCAGGTCTGGCCTAAGACAATCCAATCTTCTTACCCGCATCTTTACCATTACAACATTGCAAGCTTTGTTGCTTCATTGACCATCCCGCTAGGCTATTGGAGGCCCTCCAGTGTGATATATGGGGCTGTGATTCCAGCACAGGCCTATTTCTGACCCAGCAAAATGCATGCATGATTGTGTAAATCAATACAATGACTTCTGCTTCCCCTAATTTTGCACAAGCATGTGACCCTGTTTTGAAGGCCTCTTTGTTTCCAGAGCATGCCTCTACACTTATTCATTTTTTCTCCTCCATTTTTCTTTTTCCTTTCTTCTTGAAAGACTGATCGTCCTGTTAACATGGCCGCCAAAGGGTCAGTGGTACTTTTCTAATGGCTGAAATTGCCCTTTGATGACACCGCTCATGCTTTGAGTGACTTGAGATGATATTCCACTGATTGTAGCAGATCTCAAATGTATGTTAGTGTATTTCATTCCCAAGGCTTTATGGGCTACACATATATACGTATACAGTATATGCATTTAACTAATACATATGTTGTTCATATACAAATAAGCATAATCTGTGTAAACACTTGATTCACTTATTGTGTGTACAAAACAATATATAGCCTTCGGCATTGAATAAAAGATAATGGCATTTTGAAAAAGTGAGACTTAAGGAGGAAAACTGAAAAACTCCAGCTCTACAAATATTGTTCTGAGCTCATTTCACCAACTAAATCCTCTATGGCTCTTGCTTTAGCAGTATTTAATGAACAAAGTGTTTCACATTAACATTTATGCAGACTGTATTTAAGTTTTAATTTTCTGCATTACCTCATAACAAAACAGTCAGGACATTATACAACTATAGCATTTAGCTGAGTTTAAGCTGGATCAAGACCTTTATGACCAGCAATCTTCTAGCAGGCAACGTAATTATGGATGACATTTTATTATTTTTGATAATCCTATTACGAAAGAACAAATAAGGCCCGCCATATACTTTTTCATTACATTTCTAGGGTCATTTAGTATGTAAGAAAAAGATTCTCAAGCCATATCCCATACAAAGGGAATGTACCAGCTAGTTCCCAAGCTAATGTGCAGATTAGTCAAAGTGGACTTAATAGGATGACATATTTCTATATAAATCAGATTAAAAGCAGCGACACTTCAGAGATGTGACATCAGTACTGGCTCTCAAACTGTGTGAAATAATATACTTTAATCTCATGGGATAGCCACTCACGTTGACACATTTTCTATAATTTTATTTGTCATAAAATGAAATTGTCATTGGGATTTTTAATAACGAAACATTATTATTCCAAGCAATATGGTGTCTCTGTAGGAGGCCAGTTCATTTTTGGGCCCAGAGCCTCACTGAGGACCCCCTTTGGATTGTGCCCATTCATTTGTTTTATTCTGCGTTGTGTATTAGCAACCTCCTTTGGAGAAGTCAGGAAGCTGGACCACATAGCCAGAGGCTCTGAGACCCTCTAGTGATCAACTCAACAGGCTCTATTTACTGTGAACACTTTCTTTATCATATGCGCACACAGAAAACACCAAACCTATCAACATGATGGAAATTTTGAGAAAAACAAAGCTGGAGAAAAGTGTAAATTATGAAATTTAATTGATTGTCTCAGCCTCATTTGGCCCTTCACCCCTCCCCTCTGCAATATGGTACGCTTGTCAGCCTTTGTGATAAATTACATGCATGTATTTGCATGAATTTAGCATGAATACTTCAGTTTTGTTTGCCAAAATAAGGATCCAGAAAATGTCTAGTTTTCTACACAAAAAAAGGAAAATACAGGCTTACATAGCGTTGAGTGTACTTTTTTCCTGCACATTATGCATTTGGCAGTTAGGTGCGGTGAAAGTGCTGGTACAGTGCATTTCCACTCATTTTATGAGCATACAGTTTATTCTTGTATTTTGTTGTACATGACAGTGCTACACACGGTGTGCATGTTTTTCCAGCATGCTTTCCCTGTATTTTCTGCAAATTGCTAGGGCTTAGATTGCTCTCAAAGAAGTGACTAGTTTATTTGTAAATATGCAGTTCTTTTTCATTATTTTAATTCATCATAGAAAACTATGTCGCTGACTTCCATCTCGTCTGTTGTGAAAGGCAACCATTCAGCAGCACCAGCTACAGTGTGATTAATCTTAATGCCTGCGAGATGTCTACCTTCTAAAGGTGGGCGCTGTAATCATCTGCCCACTGACCCCATGATGCTCATCTACAATCCTCTTTGCAGTCCTTGTTTCTTTCACGTAATTTCAAATCTCAGATTAACTGAGCACAGTCCTCACCCACATGTCATGTGATCTAAGAGCAGGAGTACATCAGAGCACAAAACAAAGAAAATGGAAGAATTGGTGGCATATTGTAGGTTTAAGGCTGCTAGTAATCAAATGCTGCTGGTGAGGCCTGTGATGAAATTAGGCGATGTTGCCTAAATAAGGGATGAAGGGTTCATAATTGCCAGTCCTAGAGATCTGAGGTGCCGGGTGCCAACTGTCAGAGCAGGGCTAATGATGACAAATGTCTCTCTATGCAGATTGCTGCAGCAGCACGGGTGTGCAGCTGAGAAAGAACAAGAAAAGAAAAATGCAGAGGACCTAATAAGAGAAAGCTTGTGTGCACATATTTAATGACCTACATGGAAACAAACCTCCCTAACTGATGGGCTGACTTTGAAAGTACTCGAGCTTGATGCTGTTTCGAGCTACCATAAAATGGAGTCCTCGACAGTACCT